AGTAGTCTTATGTGTGGCGCCACTCACTCTTTCCTTCTGCTGCTGCATTCTAATGAATGGGTTTGTAGACTCCTTTTCTTGTGAACTAGCTTGTGGTTGAGGTTGTAGTTGGGGCGGCTGAGGTGAAGGTGGAGCTGGGGCCGGAGCTGGAGGTGCTGGAGCTGCTTGTGGCGATAGAGAGGGTACTGTAGGAGCAGCAGGAGCAGCAGGTATGGAGAGCTGGGGGGATGGGACAGCGCGCGGCACGCTAGCCGGGGTCGGGATAGGAGCTGGTGGAGCAGGAGCAGGAGCAGGTGTCGCCGCCTCTGCAGCCTGTCTAGCATCGCCCTCAGCGCGCAATCTAGCCTGGCGCTCCTTAAATTTCTTCTCCGCTTCTTCTAACTCCTTCTCTTCGTCCTGGAGCGCTTTCATACGCGCCTCCTTAGCTTTCCTGCGCTGCTCCAACAGTTCGTCTTCCGGATCGGCGGGTGGAGCAGGACCAGGAGCAGGTGGTGTTGGGACGGCAGCTTTGCTCGTCTGCGCACCCGGTGCAGGACGTCTCGAAGGGGGTGGAGGGGGTGGTTTCTTACCAGCGGGCTGACTCTTTTCTGGAGCTGGAGTTGGCTCAGCTGCTTTAGCTGGTTCAGGGGCTGGTGCAGCTTGTGTGGCTGCATTACGCGCGCCCTTCTCCTCCTCCACCCGCCTCAACCTCTCCTGCTCTCTTTTCAACCTAGCCTCGTCCTCCATCTGGGCACGTTCGCCCGCCTCTTTCTTCTCTCGCTCGAGACGTTCCTGCACGCTCTCGGTCTCGCCCGTCGACGTCTCTTCGCCCCCACCCACACCGAGCGCTTTGAGACGCTCCTGAACGCGTTTCTGTGCTTCGTTCTGAATAAAATTCTTGCGCGCCTCGGCTGACATGCCACGTAAATTCATGCTGCTGTTGCTGTTGCTGCCAGTGGGCTGAGCGGACTGCGCAGGCACGGGAGGTGGGCTCTTGGCTGAGGTGTCAACCTCTTTCGGCTGAGCTGGGGGTGGTGGTGGTGGTGGTGTCTTGTGTGCCACGCGTGGTGGCTTGTCGTCGTATGTGCTGCGCATGTATCCACGAGCTGGTACACTGTCCCTTTCACCTTCATATTCTCGATCATAGTCTCGGTCGTAGTCGCGCTCACGCTCACGGCGTCTTGCGTATGGCGAGGAGGACGAACCACGGCGGTAATACTCGTCGCGCTCTTCTTCCTCGCTATCGCGATACCTCCTATAACGGTCGTTGCGGTGATCCCTATAGCGTACCGCTTCCCTCTCTGTTTCTTTCTTGCGCCCTTGTGCCCTTTCCATCCGCTTCTCCACTTCAGGTAGTCGCTCATGCATCAAATATAGCAACTCCCTTTCGAGCTGACGTCTCTCCTGGTCTTTCTCGCGCGAGGGTCTTCCTGAGCCAACGAAATCTAAATCATCTTGCACTCTCCTGATGGAATACTTAAGATCATCCATATCACGCTCCAGTTCATCATCATCTTCGGTGCGGTGGCCGGAAAGTGTCGTCTCCTTGTCTAGCCTGGCGGAGGTGTTGGCGAGCTCGCGCTTCATGTCTTGTAGATCAGAAGTGGGGGAGTTATCTGAGTGTCGGACGTTGCGTCTGTCGATATGGCGTGATGAAGACTTGTAAGTAGACGAAGCAGCCTCGTTGTCGTCGTGCTTATAAATCGACGCGTCAGATCTAGCAGATGGGAATTGAGGGGAAGTGATACGTTGGTGGTTATCGTGTTTGAGAATATCTTTGAGTATGTCTACCTGTAGATTGAGATCTTTGGAAGAAGGAGGGATGAGTTCATCGGGTAGCTCGTCTGGGATAGGGTTACCATTGAGGCCTGTGATGGTGTAAGCTAAACAGTCAAAGTAAGTTTAAAACGGATAACTCACGCCTATAAACCAAAGCCATAGCGACGTGGAACTCAGCCAAGTTTAACTTGCCTCTATTCTCAATGTCAGCCAAGTTCCAGATCATCATGAGGTCATCGGAAGCCAGACCAGATTGACCAAAGACGTCTCTAGCCTGGTCACCCGAAATGAAGCCTGTTGAATGAGAATCCCAGGCTTTAAAAATTTGGTCATAGTTGCGCTTCTCGTCGCGAGACAATTTCCAGGGAATCTTGGGTGGAGCGGGAGCGTGCTGGAATGATTGGGGGAGGCTGTTTCCAAAGGGACTAGCATTAGGGAGAAGGGATTGGGTCATCATATTAAGCTGATTGTAAGATTGGGGAGATTGCCAACCAGTTGGCTGCGGTTGGAGAAAGCTGGAAGATTGCTGGGGCTGGGGCTGTGGCTGAATAAAAGAGGTTTGCTGGGGCTGTAGAGGGTAGCCAGTGGGCTGTGGTCTTTGAAAGCCAGTAGGCTGTGGCTGTTGCCAGCCAGTGGGTTGAGGCTGCTGCCAGCCGGTTTGTTGAGATTGTAGGGGAGATGGCTGAGATGGCTGCTGCCAACCAGTCAAATACGGCGTCTGCGTCGGTGGCGGTGGGTATCCCGAATTGAAATTATTGTTCATGATGATGGTCGTGTGCTGTTAGTGCTCCACCACCAACAAAAATGGAGATTGACAAGGAAAATAAAATGGGAATAAAGCGTAAAGGTTAGTGGTTGTGCTTTTAGGCTGGTAGATCTTTATTGAATACCCTTAGACACGTCTAACGCGACAATAACGCCAAACAAGAAGCAAAAGAGATCAATTATAGAGTACAAGAATAAGCTTGTTTTTAAGCAGAAACCTTTAAATCTTAGTAAGAATACAAAAACATTACAATCACTCCTAGATTTCCATCAATTCCTTTCGAGCTTAAATGATAATCTTAATCAAATACCTTCAAATCACTTGCAATTAATCTCAATTCTAACACATGAATCTGACAAACAACTCAATGACCTCATTAAACATGTTAAATCTCAAATTAAACCTTCAAATTTCAAGTTTGATATCACCCAATCTGCTTTACAATCTGCAATAAAAGAGGTTGCTCAATTCAAGAATTATGGTTTAGAGGGCGATGACCTACCAAACACTTTAAAGCTCTTCAAATGGGAAGTTAACAACCTCGATCACCTTCCCCTTGACTCTCTCGATTCACTTAAACAAAGACGTTTTGATAGAGAGTTTTCTCAGCAAAAGCTGTTCGAGTCAATTGAAGGTGTCGATAGATGTGATCTAGAAACTTTCTTATCGCATGCTGCTTCTGTCCCGACTCCAGCTCTCGACAGATCCAAGAAAGAAGACGAAAAGCGTAGGAAGGATGAGGAGAAAGCCGAGGACAAGCGTAAAAAAGACGAGGAGAAGCAGCGCAAAGAAGCTGAGAAGCAAGAAGAAAAGCAGCGTAAAGAAGACGAGAAGCAAGACGAAAAGCAGCGCAAAGAAGACGAGAAACAGAAAAAGGAAGATGAGAAGAATGACAAGATAGCAGCCGCTAATCAGAAGAAAGAAAAACAGTCAAGCGCATTTAAAGGGTTCTTCAGTAAAGTCGCTACACCCAAAAAGCACCTGTCTCCATCTAAAGATGTTTCAGATTTTCACAAGACATTCAAACCATTCCATCTCAAACAAGGTTTTGAAATGGCACCAATCAACGCCTTCAACCCAGCTCAATTTGATGATTTATGGGATACTATCAACAAAGCAACACCAGATGACATAACACTCTCATCTTCTCTATCAGAAATACCTAAATGGAAAATAATAAAAAAGAATCCAGCTGTTGCCAGCAAACACGTTCCATCCAACACCAAGATAGCACCTCCAGTAGATTTGAGACTGATCATGCAACAGCTATCAGAAGCAGAGGTAGGCGGCGATGAGGACCAAACAACCGACATACTTGAATCCTTCAAAACAAGATTCAGGGGTAAAGTCAAGCACAAGCTTCTCGAGTATCACGAAGACTATAGACCTGGCTGGTGGGGGACGTGCACCAAGTCATCTTCGACAATTGGTCCACGTCGGCCACTAGCTAAAGATGCACTACAATTTGACTACACTTATGACTCTGAAGTGGAGTGGGGTGAGGAGGAGCAAGACGAAAAGGGCGAAGAGATTCAATCTCAGCCTGGTTCTGACGATGAGAAGGACAAGGACAACGACTCAGATGCTGACAGCTGGCTTGTTAGCGATACTGAAGATGTTGGATTAGAGGGTGTTGATCTCGATAATGTCGACAATGTTGATAGTGTCAATAGTCTCAATATACCACCAGACCTCAAAACTGATGATCCTATTGATAATGCTATCGCGGCAGAGAAGCGCAACGAGCGTGCGAAAGCCAAGAAGAAGAACAAGTCGAAAAAACCGAACCAGCCATCTAAACCTTATATTAGTGGGTTGAAGTGGGAGTCTGAGGATGGTCAGATAACATATCCGCCGTTCATGACATACCAGATAAGGTTCTTTAATGGTGTGTGGGAGTATTTGATAAATGAATAAACTGACACGTGATCAGATGCACAAGTATCGGTGAATCCAAAAGAGTTTGTTAGTCAGTTCAAGCCAACATTGGTGACGCAACAACAACAACAACAACAACAACAGCCGATGCAAGCAGAATCAAGCGCAACAGGAGAAAAAGTCGACGGCGACTCGAAAACACCCTCGAAAGAAACATCAACAACGCAAGGGAAAATAACGAGTATACCAGAGACACATATCCAATTGTTTGCATCTGTAGTGGAAAATTCAACAAAATCGCGTATATTGCTAGTAGAGGAGCTGCGTCAGAAGTTCAGTGAGGTGCATAATGGGCCAAAGATTCCCAAGACGGCGATAGAGTCTATGTTAACGACAAATGCGCGAAGAGAAGGCAAGAAAGTCAACTCGCTTTGGCATGTAACAGATAATATAAAACATGACGTGTAAACATGCAAAAAGATAAATTGAAGCTATTTATTAGGTTTTCAGCTCTCACTTGAACTGAACTCAACTAATAACGCATATAGCCATGGATGCGAGCGGTGTGTTTGGGAATGATTATATAACCAACAAGGAGACCTTGCTGGATTTCGACGAGAAGGAGAGCACTACTACGATAATGCTCCCGAGTACAAGCCAAGGCATCGATAAGGATAGGCCAAAGTTGGTGAATCCAAATGAGGAGCTTGGGAGTGAGTCGGCTTGGATTTGCTGTGAAACAAGATTAATGACGCTAATTTCTCATTGCAGATGAAGAAGTACTCAAGCCACACCTCAAGGATTTACTGAGAGTGATGCTAATCGCAAACGTAGAATGATGAAATATCTATACCAATCAGCGTGTAATTCACATGTACACAAATACCTTTTGTATAATTGGGATATTGCGCTAGAGATGGGACTGGGAATTGGACACACCAACGAGTCGCGTACTCACAATACTATCCATACACACCTAAATCCCACGCATTCAAGCCGATCCGATAAAAGCGAAGAGAGTCAGACAGGCTGCGCATCTGGCAATGACGATTGTATGTCTAAGTCGAAGTGGTCACGAGGTTTGATCTGTGGGATATTTAAAGGGAGACACTTTGGCATACGACAATCAACTCAACTAGTACAAACATAATCATATAATGTCAGAGTGAGTATTCGTATGTATCCACTACACCCCCCACTCACACCCAATCTCCAGACCAGCAAGACGCGATTTTCTCGACCAAACAAGGTCCACCATGAAGCCAGACTCGCAAAAGACTTACACAGAATCAGCTTCTGATAACGTCAAGTCCATGTCTGACAATGTTGCATCGAAAATGCAGCCAGAGGATGACAAGTCCATGCCACAACAAGCTCACGATTCTATGACCGAGGGCGCCGACACTAAGAGACGTGGATCACTAATGGACAAATTGCAAAACGCATTCCAGAAGTGAACACATTCCACATAACATAAATGTACGACATGCCACCACTCCAGTTTAACGACTACGAATACGAATAAGAATTTTAAGAATTTTAAGAATTGTAATTGAATTGACATACGTCTAATGTGGAAACTTTTTATATCATTTTGTCTATCTTTGTTAGAAGTTTGAGTTAAAAGTAATGAGAAGTAAAAACTCAGGATATGAGGAAGTGTAAGAGGTAAAAGTTGAAGATATTGAATGGGTATGATAACTTTGTGCTTGGTTAGTAACACTAGCAGTACTAGCCACATCAGCAAATAGGCTTGAACGTCATTATTTCTTCGAATAATAGTTCTATGAGATCTGTCAGTTTGCTCACCTAAAATGCTCATAACCTACGTTTTAACTCTTCCTTTGAAATAACGTCTTTGCGATGATCAAATTCGAAGAAAGATGCATCTAGTGGTGGTGCCGATGGTTCGTCCTCTGGGTCATGATATGCAGATAAATAAGGATGTGAGAGGCATTCCTCAACAGACATTCTAGATTTGGGGCTGAAAGTAAGAGTCTTTGCTAAAAAGTCAACAGCTTCTGGGCTGGCGTCTGGGAAAAGTTGGCTGAATGATCTCTTCTTTCTAAAAGGCAAAGCTCTGATATAATCTCTGGAGCGTCTAGAGCTGATTGCATAGAATTCATCGAGCGTTGGTGTACCAAGGACATCCAAAATCAGTGTCAACTGGTGATGATAGTCTCTACCAGGGAATAATGGTCTACCAGAGAGCATTTCGGCGAGGATGCAACCTACGCTCCAAATGTCAATAGCGGAGGTATATTGCTTGAAAGTAAGCATAATTTCAGGAGCTCTGTACCATCTCGTAGCGACATACTCCGTCATGAAACCCGTCTCACAGCCAGGCTCAGCCGTTTGTGTCGACCTAGCCAAACCAAAGTCACAGACCTTGAGATCGCAATTTGCGTTGAGAAGCAGGTTCGATGGTTTGAGGTCTCTGTGGATAACATCAGCGCTGTGCATAGCCTTGAGAGCTCTACAGGTTTGATAAACAAAATACTGAGCGTGATCGTCGCTCAAGTCCTGAGTTCTGATTACTCTATGTAAATCCGTTTCCATCAGTTCTTGAATGAGGTAGACTTCTTTGAAATTTGGATAATCCTTTGGCTTTATCATGTCTAAAACAGAAATTATATTCTCAGAGACATTTTGCTGCTGGAAGTATTTGAGCAGCTTAAGTTCTCTAAGCGTACGCAGGAGGAACATCTGATGCATCAATGGCTCAATCTTCTTGATGGCTACTTTATGGCCGCTCGGGCGGTGTATAGCAGAGCAAACAACGCCGTAAGCGCCTTCGCCGATGACATCCAGCCTGAGAGTAGATGAGTTGCGTGTAAATGAATATAAATCCACTCACACTTGGTATTTAGTCCCAACGCTGAATTTAATTCTTCTTTGCTGCGATTGCTGCTGCTGTAGTTGCTGCTGGCTTTGGCTTTGTTGGGTGGTGGCCATTGTTCGGGTGCAACAGCCATGAGCAATTCCCGCAGAGCATATCACACAGAAGATATTTATACAAAGCAGGACTTTATCAAAGAAAACGAGGATTCGGATTTCGATAGCTTTAGCCCGTATAATCAGCAGCAACAGCAGCAGCAGCGAGAGCAGCACCAACGAGAGCAATTCCAGGATGGTGATGTTCCTCTCAATCCATTAACCCAGCGTATTCCACATACCGCTGGTAAAATATTCTCAAACCCAATAAAGCCAAAGATCAACCCAGATCTTCTTCCTTCCCCGGTTGACTCTTTGGCGAGCCAGATACAGCAATCAGACGCTAATTTAAACGCTGACTATATCCTATCTACATTGGATGTTCACCAGACTTCTCTCCCTTCCGCTTCTATCCCCTTCAACTGCACAGACAACGGCTACTCATCTCCTAACCTACTCCGTTTATCCACCTACGCGATACCAGCCACTAATGACCTCGCAAGAAGCTGCCAGCTGCCACTTGGCATGGTTATAAGCCCTTTCAGCGATAGACCCGCGTCCCAGATTCCCCAGATTCACTCTTTTTCCAACTCTCAGTCTGGTCCACCACGCTGCACGCTTTGCAGGGCATACGTAAATCCTTCAGTCAAGTTTATAAATGGCGGTAAATACTGGCAATGTAATTTGTGTTCCACCCACAACGCTGTAGACGACGATTATTTCTCTGCACTCGATCCACACACCTACACACGCTTAGATAGGGAGCACAGGCCTGAGTTTAACTTTGGCAGCGTTGACTTTGTTCTTCCAAGACCTTACTATGCACTCCAACCCCCTCCACCTATCGGTTTCGAATCTGCCTACACTGAGACACCACGCCCCCCAACCCAACTTTCAAGACTGTTCTTGATAGACGTAGGATTGCAATCACGCCAATCTGGTCTCCTCCACACGCTCTCACTCACCATAAAAGACGCGCTCTACTCCTCCCCCACTCCCCTCAACACTCCTTATGTTGGTTTCATTACGTATGACTCTACACTCCACTTCCACGATATGTCAGCTGAACGTGAGGTGCCATCGCTGATGATAGTCCCTGACACCGACGAGCCCTTCAATCCGCTAGCAAGAGGACTCATAGTCGATGTGAATGCATCCAAGCACAACATCCTCTCATTCCTTGCCAGTCTTCCTACAATGTTCCGTGATACGAACCCACGAGGTTCCATACTAGGTTCAGCGCTGACGGCCGCCATGGATGTCTTACGGGAGGTAGGTGGCGAGGTGAATGTGTTCCAGTCGCAGCTCCCCACTGACGGACTTGGTGGACTGACTGAGCGCGACCCCGCACCCGGCGGCACGGCCTCAGTCAGTGAGCGCGACCGTTCTCTTTACACGAGCGCGAGTACCTGGTGGTCGAACCTATCTGAGTCTCTCACGGACGCCGGTGTCGGAGTGAACATGTTTATGTTCCCCTACAAATACACCGACGTAGGTACTCTCGCCGCCCTCGCGCAGTACACTGGGGGTGAGTCGTACTTCTACCCCAAATTCGATCCGGCGCGCCACGCGCTCAAGGTGCGGGCGGACCTGACGCGCATTGCTACGCGTGCACTGGGGTATAATGCAAGTGTAAAAATAAGGTGCAGCAAGGGTTTCCACATCTCACAGCACCACGGCGCTTTCCTAGACCGCAGCTCAGATCTGACCATGGGGTGCGTGTCGGCCGACAGCTGCATGAGCGCTCTCTTCGCTCACGATGCATCCTCCCTCACCAAGGGGTGGGGTACAGTGGCGGCTAATGCGCTGCAGTCCGCCAAAGAGAAGGATGAGAGCGGTGGTCATGGGCAGGCGGATGAGGTGCATTTCCAGGTCGCAGTGCTCTATACCGGTGCAGAAGGCGCGAGGAAGGTACGCGTACTTAATACCATGGCTAAATTGTCAGATGTAGCTGCAACCGTCTTTCGTCATGCCGATGTGGATGCCGGGGCTGTACTTCTGTACAAACAGGCTGCCGCTCACGTCATTAGTCGCCCCCTCGGCAGTATTCGCGATAAACTCATCGATCGCTCTGTGCAGGTGCTCGTGGCTTATCGCAAGCACTGCGCTCAGTCGAACAAAGGCGGTCAGGTGGGTTTGTCGCTTTCTTAGTTGATTAATCTAATTTGTTGCCTTCTTCCTCCTACAGCTCATCCTGCCAGAAAGCTACAAACAATTTCCAATTCTTACACTTGGGATGATTAAATCTAAGTGCTTGAAAGGTGGCGCGGTGGCTTCGGATGTGCGCTCACATGCTATTCGACAAACTCTGAGTGGTACACCCTATAAACTGCTCCAAGCTATGTATCCTCGTGTTCATCCTCTTCATAAAGGGGTCGAGAGTGTGCCAGAATTCATCCGCGCAAGCTACAAGCGCCTAGAACTTCATGGAGCATATCTGATTCGTAGGTGGTATGAAGAAAAACGACGTCATCTTAACTCAGCAACCCAGATAACGGTGAATTAGCAATCATATGGCTCGGTAATCATGTCGATAAGCAGATTGTCAAAGAAATATGGAATGTCGAATCCAAATCACAGATAGATCAACGATTGGGAGTATTACCTGATTTAGACACACCACTCTCTATAGCATTGCGCTCAGTCATCTACAGAGCTTCATATCCTAACCCACCATCATCGATACCCGTCTTGATCGCTAGGCAGGATGTGGATCCTACTGAAATTGAAGTTGGAAATATGTTGATAGAGGATGATAATAATGATGGCATGTCTTATGTGGATCATATTTGCCATATCCACAAACTCATCAATACACAACTTCTCGGTGAAACTCGTATGGCTGATGCTGCCGATGCGGCAACATGGCGTACTTGGTGAGGTCGGTATATTTTGTCCAATTTTCACTTTACTCCGAAAATAAATGCTTTTGCACAGAATGCACTGCAAATAATGAAAGTATAAATGAATTTACAACGAAGGGATAGGTATACATAGCAACGGAAATACTCGCCAGTGTGTGTGTGTGTGTGTGTTGATTGATTGTGTGGTGTTGGTTGTGAAACATTGTGAGCATCATCGTGAAAGATTTCAAAGTGTAAAGGTTAATGAAGAGCCCGAGAAAAATAAGCATTGGAGTGTGTGTTCCAACCCTTTGATTAACGTCTTTTTGAAGGCATAAGATAAGACAGAAGTGAGTAAAACTTTGTAAAAAGAGCTAGTGTAGGATAAGTGAGCCAAAGAATAAGTTGCAGGATGATTTTGTTTAGGAATATCGGACTTGTTTCTTGTGTTGTTTGTTTTCATGTTTTGTTGATTAAAGTACAACGCATCCACCACAACAACCAGCTTCTTTTGGTTTACCGTTGTCATGTTGCATACTTTCCATCTGGTTAGGTGTAGTTGGATTCTTTACACCAGTTTGATCCCTATGATATAATCTAATCTCTCTAACGAGATTGTAAAATGCGTCATCGACGTTAATGCGCTGTTTCGCAGAAGTTTCAATAAATCTGCAACCAAAGTTTTTAGCCAATTGGCGACCTTCATTAGAGCCAACTTGACGCTCAAATTCCAAATCTGCTTTATTAGCAACGAGGACCATAGGGAAGAAGTCCTTATCCTTTACGCGGAGTATTTGCTGATGGAAGGTCTCAATTTCTAGTAAGTGTGAGTAATAAAAAAACGCTCTCAAAGCAAACGCAGAAACACACCTTCAAAACTGTTTCGACTTGTAATTGAGTAGACTAGTAAAAATCCTTCACCTGTACGCATGTACTGCTCTCTCATAGCAGAGTACTCCTCTTGGCCAGCAGTGTCCAACACGTCAAGTAGAGCTGGCTCTGCGTCTATTTGGCATTGCTTCCTGTAGCTATCCTCAATCGTTGGATCGTATTCATCTACGAAGTGTGATTGAATGAATTGAATCGTAAGGGCAGATTTGCCGACGCCTATTTGAACGCGTAAGAAGGATGTTAGGCTAAACCGCCAATAACACTTACCACCACCACCGACAACGACTATAACAATTTAAGCAATCAGTCTTCTACGTAAGCCAATCTACTAACCTAACTTGTATTCCTTTGGTACTATTTGAATATGTAAGTCAATTTTCACATCTCATTATCAATTTACCCACCTCCTGCCATTATTTATTTTCAATTCTAGAAGTCTTGTTGCTCGGTCCAACAAGCGAGTACATGTAAATCCAGAAGATGAAAATTGTTTAAAATTTAAATTAATTTTACTCAATTTTAACAAAACTCATTTTCGAATTAATTCGTCGCCTTCTTCTTGTTGTTCTTCTTTGGTCTCAGTGCTGCTTGCGACAATTGCTTCGTTTCTTCATCTGGTTGCTTTTCTGACTTGATTACGTCTGGCTTGTACCATGATGGTGGGTGCGTTAATCTTATTGGTCCATTCTTCGTTATTCCAACTGTGAAGAAGAATTGCGCAACTGTCTCATCTGTCTTGTCAACGCATACATCAAATGGTGTAAGCAAATTGTGTTGTGCTGCTTCTTGTACACCCAATCTCGCTCTCTTCTCATCCTCTAACATACGGATGTTGAATGGGAATGATCCTGACTTCTTTTGGATCTCAGAGTATACTCTTCTGGCGGTGGCCAACTTAAGAATGTAAGTCTGGTCTGTACGCTTGAACACTGTGGTTTGGTAGCTTGATTCTTTTGGCTGTTGAGGGAATGTCAGAAAATTTTCACTCTGAACCTCACCCTAATCACCTTATTTTCCTGGTTCGTAGAAACGAGCACATCCACACCATAAACCTCACCTTCTTCGAAAGTGTGAGTACCTAAATCTGACTTTTGTTGTGGGTTTCCGTTGAGAATGATTCTCTTCTTTCCGTCAATAACATTTTGAGTCATTTGACATGAGAGCATGCCTGAATAAATTGTGAGTTGCGTGAGGTCTGAAGAATGATTGCTCACCTTCAACTGGTGCAGTTTCGAAAGCTTTTGTGGCCTTGCTGACGGTGTCACTCACTGTCCAGTTCTTCTCGCCAACCTGAAGTTGTGGGTTTAGAAGGGCAATGAGATAGCCAAGACTCAGCAAACCTTCATTTGACGGATAGAAGCTTCAGCTGCGTACCAAGCGGCTTGGATAACGTCTGCTTTACGACCGGATACAGGGTTTTGAGCAGTAGCGCCAACTACGATGGTTTCAGCAGCGATACTAGCGAAGCCATCGACTAAGAAGTTCGTTGTGAGTATGAGACATTAGATATAAAGATAAGCTTACTGTGTGCACCCAATTGAATCTTAACAACATCACCATCCTTCAAACTGACAGAGTTAGTGTCTGGATCAGAAGCAAGTGGGGAAAAGTGTGAAATGACGTTGTTAACGTTTACGCAGGTTGGGAATGAAACACCCTTTGTTGGAATTGGTTTTTTGTTGTTGAACACCTTTCCAGCTTCTTGATTGATGAAAGCGTCTGTGGAAGTGCAAAGGTCAATGACTTTGGCATCTTTTACAGACTTTATAACAATTTGATCAAAAGCGCGCTTTACAATGTCTGCAGCAACTTTGTGTCTAATGTACTGTGAGCTTTTCCTAATCAAGTAGACAGACGCTTCAGCCTACTTTGTGATCCTACAAGAGGCTTTAGTGGTAAAAATTAGTTCCACATTTCAACCCACGTAATATCGTTAAGTCCTGTAACGTCTTCAACTTTCTTGTCTTGTTCGCTCATTTTAGATTTGAAGAGAGAGGATTGCAATTTCAGCTATTCGTCTCCAAAAATTCACATTTTACGTCAATAAATTCTTCAACTCTTTCTATTAATTCTCACTGCCTCGCCAAGCACGCTTTACTTGCTGAACTTTCTTTTGATCTATCTCACTTCACGCACTCATTCTAGTCCAATTTCGGACCAAATTGACCATTACCAAATATAATGCGAAGTTACTTTTGAGGCTAAAACGTGATTCATTGATCGCATCCACCATTTTCGGTCACTATTGGCCAGGAAGACTTGATTTCGTCCAAAGTGTTCCTGCGCTTGAATAGAGAAATAAAAACATCCCAGATGAAGAGCTTAGAATTTTTGAATTGATACACAATAAGAGTTTTTACCACAAATTACCTACTTATTTCAGTTGGTTTTGTAGTGTAGCGGTTATCACCGTGGATTTTGATACAAAAACTTCCATTAACCCCGGTTCGAATCCGGGCAAGACCTTTTGCCTTTCCTAATTTCCTCTTTTTATTATTTGTTAGGAGATATCTGCGTTTTTCAAGAGTATAAATGACTTCTTAGTTTGATGACCTGAGCAATACACCATGTATTAGCGATGTGACAGGACATCAGAAGGAGCAAGATGTAAAAGTTGGTTGAAGTTGACGCGCAATCATACATTCGATAAGAGCAACTTGAACGAACTCGAAAACAAGAATTTTGTATGCAGATTACAGCGTTGATAAGGTCTATCACTGCTAATGATCAAGCCTCGGCTCAACTACAAAGGCATTCGCGGATCACTGGAACAAATTGCGCAAAATAATGTACACCGCAATGCCAAAGTGGATCTAAGCAACTACACGAACATCTACAACACATCCTCCATGCTCGAGCACACGCTAAATGCGACGAAACACACGCAAGCAACGACCAAGTCGAAGGAGCTGAAAAGGGAAATAAAGGAGCTGGAAGGAAGATTAAGAGATACTAAACAGGATTTGTACGAGATAGCTTCGCAGATCCCCAACGAATCGCACCCGTCTTCTCCGACGAACAACGTTGCAGTAGAGGTGGACAGCGGAGGTCCACCACCAATACGCGCCACTCGCACACGTGATCATCTCGATATTGCTGCTCGACTTAACGGGACTCTCCCACTGTCCGCGGCTAATGTGTCCGGTAATGGTTTCGCAATTCTCAAAGCTGAGTTGGCGGTGCTGGAACATGTACTCATACAGCACGCTCTGCATGTGGCTGTTGGGCGCGGTTACACTCTCGTCACTGTGCCCGATATTGTCAAAATGGACATCGCAAATAGGTGTGGATTTGTGCCGCGCGATACAGCAGCGAATCAGACATATACAGTTAGCAGTAGCGGTGCTGGAAACAGTAATGGTAATGCACGAGAGAGTAACAGTGACAGTAACAGTAACAATAACAATGGCCCTAACACACTCTGTCTCGCAGCTACTGCTGAAATACCTCTGGCTGGGCTGCATTTCAACGATTTGCTCAAACACAAAGAGCTCCCCATCAAGTATGTCGCTTGTGGGCATGCCTTCCGAGCGGAAGCTGGAGCTCGAGGACGAGACACGCGGGGATTGTATAGATTGCACCAGTTCACCAAGGTTGAGTTATTTTCCCTCACAGATGCTTCCTCGAGTGACGCGATGCTGGATGAGATAGTAGACATTCAGAGGGAGATTGTACAAACTCTCAATGTACCATATAGGTGGGTGCGACAAGGTCACTGCGATGTTCACTCTTAATCCTACTCACACTCGCTCACAACAGAATACTGGATATGCCGACTCAGGAATTAGGTGCGAGTGCGTATAGGAAATACGACGTCGAGGCGTGGATGCCGGGACGTGAAGAGTGGGGAGAGGTGTCGTCGGCGTCTAATTGCATCGACTACCAGGCGCGCAGACTGCTCATAAGGTACAAGACGGGCGAAGGGAACGTGTTCGTGCATACGCTTAATGGCACGGCAGCTGCCATCCCTCGTCTCATTCTCGCCCTGGTTGAAAACGGGGTGGAGAGCGACGAAAGCGCAAACTTACGTCTGGCTCTGCCGAAATCGCTGCGGAAGTACTGGATTGGCAGCGATAAGCGCATTAGATGGCAGTAAGAAGGATCACACAAGAATTGTCCATAGTATTAAAAAAGCTTAAACATAGTTACATAACATAATTATTGGAAAAGAACGGATTGTCACAAATTACAAGTAGAGATTAGTAGTTTGAAGAAAAGACACTATGTTTAGATGAGGAGAGCACCAGCGAGAGAGGCAGCAGCGACCATTGAGCCAGCAAAGACGTGTGAAACAGCACCAGAGTCGTCATCGTTTTGGGCGTTGTTGCCGCTGTCAGCACTGGTATTGTCTGAGGAAGACGATGATGGTGTAGAGCTGGATGAGGATGAAGATGACGAAGTCGAGGATGAGCTTGAAGACTCAGATGAAGAGGAGCTAGACTGATCTCCATCATCGTTGTTTGAGTCATCGCTCTCCGCCGCTTGACCTTGAACATCTTCACCGAGACAGTCAGAATTGTCAGAGTCTCTAACGGTCAACTCAGAACTGTAATTGACATCACCAGATTCGTCGTTTACTGCCAATGAAATTTCTTTGCCACCTGGAACGTTGACCTTCCAGTTGTATGAGCCGCTTTCACCGTGTTGTGGAGGGAACGCTTCGATTGGTTCACTGCTTGCCTATTAGAGAGTTTTAGATGATTTCAAATGTACAACTTACGCTCCTACTTCTCCAGCTGGGATAACAGTGATGTAGATGTCACCTTCACCTTCAGTCCATTTGATCTGTGTTGATTTGTAAGTCTTTTTTTTTTTTTCTCTAAAGAGTACTAACAGCAATGTTGCGACATTGGGTGAGTTGTGGTGGTGATGTGATCTTGGCTGCTAATGCGGAGCTACGTAATTGTCAGCTATTCGTCGACAGCTGTCAGCAATCTATACTCACGCGAGGAGTGCGGAGGTGGCTGCAATGAACTTCATATCTAAATACTTTGTGGTAGCGGTTTAAGAGGTGTATTGAATCATTTAAGCATTTCAAATCTTTAATTTTAGTGCCAAATATCTCGATTTGGAAATATTTTTGCATTCTCGGAAAGTTTTCATCATTCATATCTTTCCATATCCGATCTAAAACATTTGCAAACACGGGCAGAAAGAAAACTAATCGTTCAGATCTCATAAATGATTGTTAAGCGTTACATAATATTACATGATTTCTTTGATTTTCTGTCCTTTTGAGCTTTTTGAGTGACTGCCGGTGCGTGTGGGGTATGTGAAGGCACGCCCGCACTAGGTTGATTTTGGCGCTGCCTTTGTCTCCTCTCGTTTTCATCTTGTTGCAATTGCATTGCCAGCGCTAGGCTATATTAAGAATTTGCGCAGTTAATATTGCTGTGCACATTAAAAACCTAAAACACTCACTCTGAGTCAGCCCGGGCTGTATTCTGAACACGTGACAGCTCGTAAGCGAGTACCGCGTCATCCCATCCTTCATTCTGGGCACGCGTAGTGACGCGTTGCTCAACAGTGAGAGTATCGTTTGTACCGTTTGTATCGTAAACATCATGAGCACTATTGGCGTAAGCAGCACTAGCGCCAGCATAATCGCCACCAATTACACCGGATGGGTTGAAATTGTCATTGAGGAACGCCGAGCCGCTGCCGTCGACATCCTCTAACGATTCCCATATAACATCCGCTTCCTCGGCCAAGGCACCATCTGTAACAAGTGTATAGAGCTTGTGATGACGTTTATCTGCTACGCATTAGATGATAATTGAGACAGTGAGACACCAATTTATACCCACACAATACAGATAGATGAGAGTTGCGAAATAAAGCAACGTATTCGCCGCTACTGAGACATTCTGTGAGGACGAATAAGCCGGTGAGTGTCATTTGTGTGCGTGAACTGTCGATAAATTGCGCAAGGATGCGTGCTTTTCTAACAATTTCTTGCTGCTGAGATGATAAATCACCTTCATTTGTATCACGGTTGATGGAGTTGGAGTTGGGGAGCACTCCAGCTAGGTGGTCACCCTCGGCTATGACCTGTGTGGCATGATCGTAGTTTTCGAAGTCTTGGAGAATGACGTCAGAGTTGGGCGATTGCCGATCGCACACCCAGCCATGGACTAGAGGGACGTCGCAGAGGGCAAATAGATCAATTGCGCCCTTGTGTCTGACGGAAGAAGGGTTGAGAGCGTACGGAGAATGAAAGTGGGGGTTTAGATCGAGACCGTATCTCGTGTGGGGGAGGACATTGAGAGCGTCAGATATGGAGTAAGGGGAGTCTTTGGGGATATGCTTCCTAAGGAGGAATTCAGCAATGATTGAGGATATGTAGTCGTAGTCGACGCTTGTTCTGCTCGCTGGAGAGAGCTGTAAATTTCCACGCATTATGAGAATATTGACCAAGGCTAGCAAGCTACAAGGGCCATTCTCGTTTTGGGTGACCACCTTGACCCGAGTACCGGCAGCGTTGAAGACTGATTTCAGAGGCCATTCTTGAGGAGTTTCTGGGTGGAGTGGTACTTGCTGTGGTAGCTGCTCTTCCTGTTCTGGCTCCCCCTCCTTCACGTGCACCGCCTCCTCCGCACCGGTTACGCCTTTGAGGTTCAAATCACGCTCAACAGATTCAGCGAATTTATCAAAGCTATTAGAATAAGGATTGTTGCTCATGATGATGATGGTTGTAAATTGCCAAGCTGCGTAATATTTTTTTTGTACGATTCTTTATCTCTGACGACCATCAGCTAAGATGACGGATTTCGTACAGCACGACCCATATTTCAGAGAATGGCACAAACGTAATAATACGCACGCATCTCTCATCTCCCCTGCTGCTGCTGCAGGCGGTATCATCGACGCTTCTTCCGCTCAAGCCTCGATCGACGATGATGAGGATAACAACCACGCTTCAGACAACGTCTCCATCGATAAGGCTGACGCCCCTCCTCCTCAAGGTGTGGCTCCAGATGCTAAGAAAGTTTACGACCAGGAGCCTGTCCCTCAAGCAGAGCGTGAGGATGTCGAGAGGGCCATAAAAAAAGATACAGACAACAAAGACCAATCAGATGCCTCTGACGTCAAATCTGGTCTTGCTGCTGGAAGTGCTGCCGCTATTGCAGGTGCTGCAGGCGTCGCAGTTGCTGCTGCGTCTACCGACGAAAACCCAGAGCCAACCCCACAACACTCAGATCCACACCCGCCAACTGCTGCTCAAGTAGACGCTCCAACTATCTTGCACGCTCCAAAGGATACCAAGGTCGTCACTGAAGTTACTAAAGACGAGAGCAAGATGAACACAAACGAGCCTGTGACCACTGAAGCTCCTGCCCCTACTGGTACAGCTGAGGACACTGTCGTTCCTGAGACGAAAGAGGAGCCTGTGACTGCAGCTCAACCTCAACCAACAAACACTACAGAATCTACAATTGTTCCAGAGCCTGTTGAGAAAGACGAACAGAAGCAGAAGCAGGAGCAACCAAAAGAAAAGCTGAATGCTTTCGAGGAAACTCCAGTAACAACGCCTAAAGAAGAGTCACCAGCTCCAATTGCAGCTCCAGCTCCCTCCGTTCCAGTGGGTTGCTGTGCTCTCTATATTAATATATCTAACAATCCACCTAGTCTAAAGCTAATCATCCAGCTCTTCCAAAGGGTGTCGTCAATCTCAAGGCAGACGGACCTCGCAAACCAGAAGGAATCTCAACACCGGCAGGAGAACATGTGCCAATCTACCCTGGTGATACACCAGATACACCAGATATTAGTGGAAAGCCAAACCCAGTTACTGTAACAGTACCATTGGAGACGGTGCAATTGACAGATGCAGAAGGAACACATATACCGGTCACAGAGGAAGGTGGAGATACGACAGCTGTTGAGAATGCTAAGGATCCAAAGCCAGAGCCTATATCTAAGGATAAGGTGGATGCACCAATTGAATCAAAGCAGAAGTTGCCAGAAGAGGCCCACAATGCAGCAACATGGACAACCTTGCCTGGACCAGAGGAGGTTCCAACGCCACTCCGTCTTTCACAACGTAGTCCAGAAACGCCTTTAGCACCCTCACTTGAGGAATCACCACATTCAGCAGAGGAGCAGAAGAAGCAGAAGAAAACAGAGGAGGAGAAGAAGAGATCAGACAAGGCGGAGGAAGAAGCTAAAGCAAAAGAAGCTCAAGAGTCAGGTGAAAACAAAATAGTACCACCAAAAACACCAGAGAAGGCTAAATTCCAACAAGACCAAAACAGCCATTTGGAGACACCAAATGCGGGTCAAAGTACAGCGCCTTCAATGAGTCCAGGAAATAGCTCAATCAAGTCAGCAACGAATCTTCCAGGTGGATATCAGCAAAGCCCAGAGAAAGCAGGTAAAGAGGAAGAGGGAGAAGGACAACAATCTTCATCGATAATGAAGAGTTGTTTGATAAGTGAGTGTGATCTATGGTGGTGGGTTCTACTAACAAAGGAAAACAGTGTAATTCCCCTTTGTTACTTCAATTTCATGTTAACGTCTTTAATAATTATGCATATGAGCCATATGAAGAGTACTTCTGTGGGGTGTTACTGTGTCCTGTGTCTTGTGTCCTGTGTGCTCTGTTGTTGATTCCAAACTTTCTGTTACCAAACGGTCATGAACTCAGACACAACGAAACCAGAGAAATCTGAGAATCAGTAGGTTTTTAAGATAGATTATCTGCAAGGCACCTAACAATTAAAATCAAAGCCACGATATCGTTGTACGTTGGAGTCGTTGAGTGGAATCGCCGACGCTAATCACAGCCAATAGCTTGAATATCTTCGGCGGAAGGGATTTAGTGGCGCAGAAGAGGCACTCAAGAGTGATTTGACCAGTAAAGGGATAAATGCAGGCACAAACAACCACACACAAACGCTGGAAGAGTTGGCACGTCAATCTGCAGACTCAATAAAGAATCATAACCAAGATGATAATATTCCACCTGGTCCTTCAAAGGATAGCGTGTTGTTGGATTTAGTGAAATTGGCTTCAAACGATCACCTCGGTAAAGTAACCACGGATAGACTGCTTCTGACTGATCCAACCGAGCGTGAAAGAGGCTTTAGAGACTTGGATCGATGGGTTGAAGGTAGCCTAGACGTCTACAGACCTCAATTACGCCCAATTCTCTTCCCAATTTTCGTACACACTTATTTAGATCTCATCAGCCTTTCGTTCCAGAAATCTGCTAGAGCTATGCTTCACAGACACGCTCACAGTCTAATCCCATACCACGCAGACGTTATAGCCCATCTTGGCAGTCTGACCCTCCCAGCTCACGTGAAGTCTGATCCATTGGCTATCAGATGGAGATCACAAAAGTATATCGTCAGACTGGGTAAAGCTGCATGGAATCTGTTGTTGGGTTGGCTATCCGACGCTTTAGTTGGTGGCCCAGGTGGTTCTTCTACAGGTGGTACCGCTGAAGCTAAAGGTAGATCACTCATGTTGAAAATTGTCAATGAAAGACTAAGAGTTGATGGTGAGACATTTTCACTTTATCAGAATTTCACTAACCACCGATACTCACGAATGCAGTCGTCGAATCCTCTACAAAGATTAGTCAAGAAATGATAGAAGAATCAACAGGTCTGATCTCTGATCTCACAATCACTTATCCTACCATACCAGGCCAAAGAATGGCAATTGCACAATCCGCTCAAAGTTTCAATAACATTATCGGTGAATTGAAGCTAGGCTTACCACCACTAGACGATGGTTTGAGGGCGGAAGTTGACAGACAGGTAGCAGTTAATGACGCCATGGAAAGAGAGGAGGGCATGGAAATAGATCCTCAACAACAGAAACCACAACAACCACCACCACAACAAGAACAACCTCAACAACAACCACAATCCCAGCAACCTTCTGATCAAGGTGCACAATCTGCAGAAGCAACCCCTACACCAAATCCACCAAATGCATACGCACCAGGCGCTGCTCCTGCCGGTACACCTCAAGATGCAACAGCTCCGCCACCACCAGCAGCAGGGGAAATTAGAGACGAAAATCACTTGCTCGCACCAACAAGAGCTGATCTCCCACCTCTGCCGGTATTCAGAACTGCAGATGTAAGGAGGGAAGTGGAAAAAGTCTTTGACAGCAGAAAGAGAATAAATTTGGGTGTCGAGTTGGAGAAATCAACTAATGGTGTTGAAGAAACTATAAAGAGTAAAGTAAATTTGCCTTCAATCTGTGCTTTCACGCTACAAGACGTTGGTGATGAGCTGAATTGCTCAACCTTTTCCCCAGACTCATCAATTTTAGCTGCAGGTTTATCTGATTCAACAGTCAGACTGTGGAATCTTCGAAATGAATCATTTACTGGATTGAGAGATGATTTCGATAGAGAGCATCCACCTTCATCTATGAAAAAACTCAAATTAGATACCGGTTTGAAGGACATCAAGTTTGTTGGACATTCTGGACCAGTTTTTGGTTTGTCTTTCGATCCTTCATTTGGCACTCCTGTTCAGCCAAGACACCTCATCTCAAGCTCTGCTGACTCCACTGTCAGACTGTGGTCGTTGGAAACCTACTCAAATCTTGCTGTCTACAGAGGACACAGAGATCCTGTGTGGGATTGTGAATGGGGTCCATTCGGTATCTATTTTGCAACGGCTTCCAGAGACAGAACAGCAAGATTGTGGTCAGCTGAGAGACCTAATGCTCTGCGTATCTTTGCTGGTCATTTGGGTGACGTTGAAACAGTCAAATTCCACCCTAATTCGCTCTACCTTGCTACTGGTTCACAAGACAGAACTGCTCGTTTGTGGGATGTTCAACGTGGTGCTTGTGTTAGGATATTCATTGGTCATCAAGCTCCTCTCTCAACTATGGCTCTCAGTCCAGATGGCAAGTACTTGGCTACTGCATCTGATGATCTCTCCATATCTCTCTGGGATTTAGGAAGTGGAAAACGTATAAAAAAGATGCTGGGTCATACTGCTCAAATCAACAGTCTCAATTTTGACGCAAATTCAAACCTCCTGATCAGTTCTTCATCAGATTGCTCGATAAGATGCTGGGATATTCTCACATCAAACACTGAAAGACCTGATAATAGTACTTCTGATCTACTTGAAACATTCCACTCAAAAAACAGTCCAGCTTATCATGTCAAATTTACACCACGTAACTTATGTTTAGCTGCATTAGATGGTGGAAATATTGCAGCCGATTAATAATAAAGTATTCAAATTAAAATAATGCATCTTCTCTTTATACAATAAACATTTACTCAGGTTCTAATTTCAGCGCTTGATGATGGTGGTGGTGTAGATGACAGATGGCGGACATTCCTATCGACCATCAAGCCATTTTCAGTCCAATGTTGGACGAGACGATGGTTTGTACCGAATGCATATCTGAGCACTTCGTTGTATTCCTCCACAAAAACTATATCTAGACCTTCTTTGACTGAATCTGGTACATTGGCATCTACATCCGCTTTCACGGCGTGTGGGACCAAAACTCTAGTGACTCCCGCGCGTTTGGCAGCCAACAACTTCTCTCTCAAACCACCGACTGCACAAATTTGTCCAACCAAAGTAATTTCACCTGTCATTGCCAGATTTGAATCCACCTTCAATCCAGTCAAGAGTGAAATAAATGCCGTGGTGATTGCCGAGCCAGCACTTGGACCATCTTTACCAATAGCTCCTTCTGGCATGTGTAGGTGTAAGTCTTTCTCATGCAAAATATCCTTATCCAGACCGAGTTCTTTGGCGTTGGACTTGACGAATGACAAGGCAATTTGAGCTGATTCTCTAATAACTTCACCAAGTTTACCTGTTAATTGTAATGAACCTTTACCGGCGTATGATCTACATTCAATTGGCATCACTGCTCCACTACCATTACCGAGATAGCCAAGTCCTGTAGATACACCTGCAGGTGGAAGCTGAGAGTATAGTCGGTCTTTTTGGTAAATTGCAGGTCCGACGTAATCGCTCAGGTTTTCTGGGGTTATCTTAACATTAACATGCGAAGGTATTTCTAGTGGCTTTCTTGGTTGCGAAGTTACTCTTGTAGATTCATCAGATTCAGACGCTTCCGGCTTCTGCTCTCTCCCTTTTCCTTCTTCATTCTTCGTAGTGTTCTTATCAGCCTTTCCATTAGACTCCGCACTAATCTTGGCCGGTTCAGCTGATGAACTGAAGAAGTCTGCCAACATGTTTCGCTTGCTTGTCTTCTGTGATTCTGTGCTTGTAGTTTCTGTCGTTGCACCTGCATTCACTTCGTTTGGCTTGGGCGTTTCAGAAGGTATAGTCGTGGTCTTGGACATATCTTCCGCGTGCTCTTCGGGCAAGTTTTCTTCTCCCAAGTCCTTGACAATACCGAGAGCAGCTTTGCGGTAGATCTGTGCTGTGTAAGTCGTGTCAAACAAACAAGGTCATCTCGTCACTCACCTTCTCAATGTGCTTTTTGAGATTACGTACACCGGACTCTCTAGCGTAAGATCTAATCAAGACCTCAATAGCTTCAGGCGAGAGCTCGACATTGGCGTCCTTCAGTCCAGAAATCTCTTTAGCTTGAGGAGAGAGATATCTCTCAGCGATGGCGGCCTTCTCATCTGCGACATAACCACTGACTTCTATTACCTCCATTCTGTCGAGGAGAGGTGCAGGTATAGTGTCCAATACGTTGGCAGTCGTTACGAAGAGAATCTTAGACAGATCTAATGGAACATCGAGATAATGATCGAGGAACTGATTGTTTTGCTCAGGATCTAACATTTCCAAAAGTGCCGATGAAGGATCACCGTTGTATCCTTTACCGACTTTATCAATCTCATCAATCAATACGAGTGGATTCTCCGTTTGAACCTTCTTCAAAGCCTGTACGATCTTACCTGGCATTGCACCGACATAAGTACGTCTGTGACCTTTAATTTCGGCAACATCAGTCAGTCCACCGACTGAGAATCTGAAAAATTGTCTACTAAGAGCTCTTGCAACAGATTTACCAATGCTGGTTTTACCAACACCAGGTGGACCGACAAGGCAGATGATTTTACCCTCGACTGAGCCTCTCAATTTGCCGACAGCAAGGAACTCCAAGATGCGATCTTTGACATCCTTCAAGCCATAGTGATCCTCGTCGAGTACATTGGTAGCATGTGGAAGGGAGAAATTCTCTGTTGAATGCTGTCCCCAAGGAATAGATGTGAGCCAATCCAAGTAGTTTCTAGTGACAGCAAATTCCGACGATGCTTGCTCGAGTGTTGACAGTTTGCTGATTTCCTCATCCATCACTTTACGAACGGGATCAGGTATAGACGTTGAAGATGATCTAGACTTGAATTTTTCCAGCATCTTATCTTTTCCATCAGACTCCAATCCTAATTCTCTCTTAATGCCCTTGAGTTGTTCCATCAAGTAAAATTCTCTTTGACGTTTCTGTATTTTTGATTCAACATCTCTTGAAATTTTAGACTGCAATTGCGCATTAATTAGCTCGCGCTTGAGGACGGTCAGAGCCTTGCTCAATCTATCCTCGACATCTTGAGCCTGGAGCACAGCCTGAAGTTCATTAATTTCACCTTGTGAAACAGCAGCGGCAAAATCAGCGAGTTTGTCAGGTTCCTCGAAAATGTTAGACGCCGACTGTGACACGCTAAAGTTAGCGATCTGATCTCTGAATAAGGGGTTAAGCTGAGCAATATCCTTGAAGACGTTGATCAGTTCGCTCATGAGTGCTTTCGTCGTCTGCGAGTGTGGTTTTGTCGCAGGAGGTAACTTCAAGTGAGTGACGTCTACGAGAGAGATATTGAAAGGTTCCAAGAAGGCAGTCTGGAGAGGATGGCTCTGTTGAGCTTTACGACGTTCTTTGTGAGCCTCTTCCAATTGTTTCTCTTCTTCTGGGACGGCTTGCTTGACTTCTACAGGTAATTGGTCTCGTGCGTCTTCGACTGATGGTAACTGTGGCTTTGGAGGTTTAACACCTGGAGCGTAGAGTTCGTCGATTCTGATACGACGGTGGGGGTACAATACAGCTGTTAAGCTTTCCTCTTCGTCTTTATTTGAGTTGTTCTCCTTGTCGTCATCAGATTTGCCGGTGCGAGTTGGAAATGCGGAAGTGATTTGCGCAAACACACCAACCGATTCGCAGTCATCCATGCTATCGATTACATCAGATTCGCTGTCTGGATCCTTGTGCAGGAAAGCACCAAGATAGGGCTGGCCTCTGGACATCATTTCCTTGATGGCGGCGACGACCTGAGGGTTCTTAATAACTACAGCTTTGTAGAAGCCTTTGTGGGAGAGTTAGAGAGAAGGGAATGGGATTGAGGATTACGTAAGACTTACCAGGGAAAAGAGGTCTACGGTTAATGGGTAAAGCGAGGACTCTGGGGAAGTAGGAAGGCGGAGTGTTCTTGGTAAGAGATGTTGGATTGCTGTTGTTGTTGTTGTTGCCACTATCGTCTTCATTGTCACCGTTGCTGTTACCGCCACTGTGCTGACCATTGTGAGAGGAGCTGCTGTTGCCACGCTTTGTATCGTCGGCGTCGGCGTCCAAGTTGGATTTCTTATCCAAGCTACTGGATTCGGGAGCACCACCCCTTCTCTGGGTGGAGAGTCTGGCTCTGGGTTTATCGTTGATCCAGCGTGGACCAAGATTGAGGGAGGAAGAGAAGGATCTAGAAGCTAATATTCCAAGCTGTGATCTTCTGAGTAGCCTCCTCGAAGATAATCTAAGCATGTTCTTTAATTATAATTCGGCGATGATGTTGGTTGTTGAGGAAGTGGTTGTTGATTTCGGATTGTGACTGAGATCGTTTACGCAGTTTTTAATTGAGATGGCTGTGGGTATTTAATAGCTATCTACTTAATCAAGTATGATTGCTTACCGTTTAGTCGTCTTACAAGTGCTGACGAAATTACGGTATGAGGAGAGATAAATAGAGATTAAAGTTGATTCTCGCATGTGAATCTCTCGGGATCAATTAGCATCTATTTAGAAACTGAAAGTATTTAATATTTTGTGCATTCAAATCACTTCTTGACCATCAACAATCTATATTATCACCCTGTGAGTACCTTAGGTTGTGATAATAACGTAGGGAATTTAACAATAATTCAAAAAGATTCGTGAGTTTATTTGAGGCGTAAATCTCTTTTCTAAATTAAAACGCAGTGGACGCATCCGACGCAGCCAACACGCAAACAACGCATATGAAATTTCTGGAGCTAATAGATTTAGATTTACTGAGTAATAGCCTTTCATTCACCTCCAATGAATGTAAAGTGCGTACAAGAAGTGAGTATCACGTTATCCACTGCTGTGTTGTCTAAACGTGCGTCATACTCGGATCAGTTGAAGCGTACAGCTGCAAACAAGTAAAGAGTGATAAGAAGCTGTACAAGTTACTGGAAAATACGTACGTCAATGACCCTCCACCACTTACCCAATTCGGTAATATGGATGTCCCCTCAACGCGTAAAACTCTCTATTTGCTCATTTCAACGCTTAATCAAGCATTCCCTGATCATGACTTCACTCAACTTCGTCCAGATGAGTTTGTTAAGGAGCCTTCTAGCAGTCTGGTCGTTAATAGACTGAGTAATATGCTCGTTAGGATGAAAGATGGCAATTCACGCTCATACGGTTACTATCCGTCTTCTACTCCCACTGCTGCTCTAGGTTCAAGTGCAGATAGCTTCCATTCTAATCACTCCATGTCTGATCACGATAACGACTACTCTGATCATCATCAATCTCACCTCATTGCTCAGAATACCGTGCGTAGGGTTCAATCAGGTGGTAGCGTAACAATGCAAGGTTTCAAGGCTATTTTAGATGATGTCATCCAAATCAAAGACTGTGACGTTTTCTCGTACTCGCCCGACGCCAGTTCAGACCCCCACTCGACGTTCGACGACTACGACGATGACGACATGTCTTCTATCGGCGGAAATGAGGACACGCACTTCGATTTAGATATGGAAGAAATCGATAGCAATCACGGAAACAGTCTGTCCTCAATACCTCCATACCTTCTTGATCAAGATAAAAGGGAGCCATCTCCATCACTCTCTGTGAAGAGCACCGGTCAATCAACAGTTGGTGATTCGGGATCCGGCTTGTTGTGGTCCACGCATTATTTTTTCTACAATAAGAAACTCAAGAGGATGGTGTTTCTGACGATATGGAGTAGGAAGTCGGGTATATATTCACAGGGACCGCATCACCTCCCAATCAGTGACGCTAACCCATTCTGGCTGTCCAACTCACTGCCTCCGCCTGTTAAGCTGGAGGATGAGTACGACGACTTAATGTTGTCATCTTCTGCACCTTCCAAGCCAACGAGAAGATCGACGAGGACGACAACGCGCAAGACAAAGGCCAGTGCTGGTGGAGCGGGTGGAAGCAAGCCAGTACAGGTACCAAAGAATAAGAGAAGGGCTGCGAATGCCGGGGTGAGCAAGTCGACCAAGCTGTTATCGAATGCGAAGAAGAGTAGAAAGTAGTTGAATCTAAAAGGAGTATATGGAGTACTATGTACAGTGTACTATATCGCGTTGGCGTAAACAAGAACAATTTTCACTTTCAAAGATCTCACAGGTTTCCTCAACATCTCAAACACAAACATGTACCAATCACAGAGACTGTAACTATAATGAGTATTTCTAAATAAAAGAAAAAGAAAAATGACTTCAGTTCATTTCTGCCGAGGCGAATGACATCACCTTCTCTCCACGCCGTGATGGAATCTCAGAAGAAACACGCCGATGAATTTTGGAAATTATTCCACAAAGCCAAGATACATTCGGATGCACCATCTGAGGATGGTGAGGATGATGTAGTTAGTGTGTACACGGGCAGTGGAATTTCAACGCCAAACAGACGCAGGGATAGAAGTGAGGAGAGGATCGGACCAGAGAGGGATCCCATGAAGATATTCACTCACGACATATCAACCAATATATTCCGCAGATTGAGTCAGCAAGATTTGAAGCAGTGCCACAGGGTTTGCAAGAGGTGGCGTAGGTCACAAGTAATCAACTATAGTGGGTGGAATGCTATTTGGAGGTTGATTAGACTCAACTAACGAATCTTCTCAGTCTGGTTCGAGATTTACAGGCAGAGATTCTTCGACGGCGAGAGCACGCAGAGCTTGCAAGGAAAGTGGACACGAAGGGAAAGTAGACAAGATTGGAAGTTGATGTACAAATCAGCTAATCGTAGGCCATTCGAGAGCGCTGTCGTCGAACAGCTTGAACGGTCAATCACGCCTTCTCAGATACGCGAAGCGCAATGGGACGCTGAAGCAAACAAACCACCACCAACGAAGAACGAGCAGAGGGAGGAGTATAAGCTATTAAAGGGACGAAAGCCACGGAGTAAAGGCGTTAGAGGTGAAAATACTTCAAAAGGCGTAAGGGACGAATCGGGGTACACACCACACGATCAACAATGTCATTGAAATTCTGCCAGAATTGTAATAATTTATTGTATCCAAGGGTACGCTAGCTAATGAATAAATACAAGTTGCTCATTCTACACTCGCAGGAAGACAGAGAACGTAGAGTGCTGCTTTTTGCATGCAGAAATTGTAATTTTGAGGAGGCAGCGGTGGAAGCTAGAGTGTACAGGAATGATCTAATGACGCAATCTAAAGAGGAAGCAGGAGTCACGCAAGATTTAGGTAAAGATCCAACGCTACCACGCACTTCAATTGAGTGTCCAAAATGCACAACCAATCAAGTTGTTTTCTTCCAAGATCAATCAAAGCGCACAGAGACGAGGATGACCTTGTTTTTTGTGTGTACAAGTTGTAATTACGCCTTTTCAAATACGTCGAGAGTATGAACTCACGTCATCCACCTTGCCTTGTACAGATCAATCATGTTGTTTAAGTTATTCAAATTTATTCTCTTATCTCTGCTTGTGTATGCTACACTCGCTTTTTTTATTTTTGACGACTTGCTATTGGGATATCAAGGCAAATGGAGACACATCAAGTCTTATCTTCCCCGTCCGCCACAGAGGAGCTTCAGCGTTGATCAACTTGCAGATTTCAATGGCAGAAACGGTAAAGATATCTACTTGGCTGTAAATGGTCTAGTCTTTGATGTCTCTAGCAACCCACGCATTTATGGTCCAGGTGGTATGTATCACGCCGCAGTGGCTAAAGACGCTGCCAGAGCTTTTGTCACAAACTGCTTCAAGGATCAGCCTACCCATGACTTGAGAGGCCTCACTGAGAAGGAATTGTCTCAGGTTAAAGGCTGGCAATCCTTCTTCGATAATCACCCCAAGTACATGCTGGTCGGTGGTATATTCTCTTTAATTACCCTATCTGACGATTCAACAGATTGGCACGGTAGATACCCCGGCCATCGACCCAGATGCGCCTATCCCTGAGGATTGTGGGTTCAAGCAGTCAACGAAGGACGATGGAAAGGTGAAAAGTGAATTATAGTCAACGCAGTCCCAAACCGACTGAGATACTTAGGCTTATTATACAAATGAGAAGATATACCGCGTTTTGATTTTGTGTGTTGGGTGTGCTAGGTTCGTTAGGTATATTGTGAGCAGAAGCCGGAGTATGAGAAGATGATTCTGCATCCACATCCACATTCTGCCTTTCTTGCTCCGCGTGTTGCATACAATGTTCAGTCTCCGGTGAAAGCACATCGACGTCGATATTCCCAGCAAAGAAATCCGTCAGCAGACTGTCGTCCAAGCTACCAAACAGATCGCTCCTGACACCTGGTGTCGATTTAATCTTACTTCTGTCAAAACTGTCGATGAAATCCGCAAGCGTCAACTGCGAATGGCTGTCTATATCGCTGAGAGCATTGAGAGTGAAATGTGTAAATCCCTCAATGACGCCTACGCCAATTTGTTTATCAGTGTGATGACTGTAGCTGTTTTGACCCTTGACTGAGCTGCCAATAGCTAGCACATCCTGTGAATAGAGGCTATTTGCCAATGTCGCAGCTTGGCAAGTATCGCTAATAAAGAGCATTTTGTTGTATCTCTTCTTAAGTCTCATCTGTTCAACTGCATCTGCAATATCCTGGCTATTTAGCTCCTCTGTGTCCTGGAACTTGAGAAACTCATCTCCACCATGTCCGGTGAGATAGAGAAGAACATTTGAGTTTTCGTCACTTAGAAGCCGTTTACTCGATGGTGTGTGCTCCTCGTGTCTTCCTGTTAGCACACGAAGGAAATTCTCCACTGTCACTTCGTATCCCCGGTAATCAACCTCGACACGCTCGCCATAGAGATCCATTCTGTGATCTTTGTGCGCGTACACAGACCCCGGGTAGCGGTTGCGCGCATTGCAGCTGATGTCATCTGGCAGCATGAGGATTATGTTGCTGTCTGGGATCCCGAGTCGACGGATAGCACGGTACCTGGAGAGTGAGTGTGAGTGTGTGTGCGTTACTGCGTTACTACTGCTCACATTCCCAGTGCATTAGCTAAGTGTCTGTAATTGAACCAATATCTAGACGCGGATACGAGTATGGCCCAATTATTCGTATGTCCATCGCTGTTCCCGCTGACGAGGCAGGCTAGAAGCAGGAATAAGAGTGGAAACATCACCACGCATTTCAGACCTGACAGCACCCTCATCGCCGTCGCTCACAAAGTCATTCTCTTGCTCATCCACGGTCATGTCTTCCGTTACAAGAAATCTCAACGTAGAATTTGGGTGGGTGGTGGTGTGTACTGACGCGCACAACTAACCATGGCTTCTTCTTCAGAGGTGGTCTGGAAATACTCTTCAACCACCAACGCCAAATCAAGCTCGTGGTGAGCGCACAAGGACGCAATCCAACAGTGCGCGACTTGATCAAGAAGCTGGCAGACGAGCATATCAACGAGCGCAGAGAGTTATTCATAGAGGGTGATACAGTGTGAGTAGGCAGCCGTGACTGCAACAGCATCAGCAACAGCGAAAGCGTGCGTTCTAACACATCTTCACACTCGCAGCCGCCCAGGTATTTTGGTTCTAATTAATGACTGCGATTGGGAACTGCGCGATGAGCTCGATGGCGAGTTAGAAGATGGTGATGTCGTTGTATTCATATCAACGCTCCATGGTGGCTGAATAGGGCGCTTCTACTCGAATAACTCCATTTACTCGAACAAATTGAGCAAAATTGCAATAATAGCATCCACTAGCATCACAATTGCATAGATTACTCCTCCTATACATCCTGTCTTTAATGCCTTCTCAACTCTCTGGTATGTACTCAGTTGGGTTTGATTGCTGAGTATGTTTGTGTATATATCTTGAGTCAACTGGGCCACTTTATCCCAACTGTACATCCTGCGCACTGTGAGGTGATTGTCTTTTTTGCGTGCATTTCCTTCATGTACAGCCTGCCATTTTAGTGTAGACAGTGCCCTTTCTATAGCATCCACTACACTCACATCGCTCACGTCGTCGGCATACTCCACCATATGGGGCGGTAGCACTTCGGGGATACCACCCACCTTGGTACTGACGACATAGAGGCCCGTCGACGCAGCTTCTAAAAGGACGATACCGAAGCTCTCTGTAAGACTGGTGTTGAGGTATATGTCGCCCCTGCGCATAACTTCCGATACGCAACTCGGTGGAACATTGCCCAGTATCTCCACGCGGTCTTGCAAGCCGTGTCTTTCAACCATACGTTCGAGCTCTGCCATCAGTGGACCGTCTCCACCGACAATAAAGTGTACATGAGCATAACGAGCGCAGATGATGGGAGCCGCCGCGATGAGCAGGTCGACACCTTTTCGGTAAAAGAGGCGTGATATCGTGACGATAGTGATTGTGTGTTTGCTGGTGGAGTGCAAGCGAGGAACGAAATGGTCACTGATGATAGCATTCGGTATGACGTGCATGATGTTCTGATCTAGCTGCCCCCTCAACATAGTGTTATCGCGCCCAGACATACTGACACAGATAACGGCATCAACATCACAAAGAACAAATCTGAGCAATTTGTTTGTGAGTATCCCAACAACATCCTTGAATCCGAACAGGGAATGATCCGTGAACACCGTGCGCACACCGTCGATCCATCTCGCGTGCATGAGAGCCTCGTGGCCCAAACTGGACAAAGCGCCGTGAGAGTGTACAATATCGACACGCTGGGAAATGATAATATCCCTGAGCATCTTGTGCGCCGTGAAGAAAGTGGGCAGCGTTGCATTCGTCGTTGGGAGCATCGGTATTGGGAGGTAATAGATGGACAAGCCTGAGTGAGCAACTGTAACGCCAGTGCTGCCTGGATACTGATGCGTAATAATAATAACTCTCACTCCACGGCGTATAAGGGCGATTGAAAGGTGGTGGATGTGCAGCTCAATACCGCCAACGCTAGGCAGGTAGAAATCGCTCACCATTCTAAGGGCGTTTGAGTATTTGAAGCTGCGTACACCAAACACTCACGCCACGCATATCCCCATTCACGCCTTGTGCACATACAGCGATGGTTGCTGGGATCAGCGAGTTGAATCCAAGTGCCGTTGGAGATGTAAGCCATTGGGATATTCCCAGTAATGCGTGTACAATCGGCGTAGATGAGGCTATCTCTGTAGGTAAGTTGTTTGAGTCGTGTTTGCCTCCTCACCGTTACCGCAGAGGAAAATGGACAGCTTCGACAACCTCAAGCAGAAAGACATACACTTCAACGACCGATTGCAAGCCTCGCAGCAATTCCACAATCCTCATATCAACCACAGGCTCATCAGCTGGGCCGGCGTCGACGAGTACTCAACCAACACCCCAGATGGCGCTCTTTATTCCGAGTACAGCACACACACGTCCTCCGCAGCGGCCTTGGAATCCCTCCAGCGCCAACGCACACACGATAAAGCAGCCTCTGCCAGCAAGCGAGCTAATGTGGATTTCGCCCCAGCTACTTCAGCTACTCCAGCTACTTCTAAATCGCGGAGGCAGTAGAATCATATTCCTATGTCTATATTACTACACATAACCCTCCTCCTCAAGTATCTGCTGGTTGAGTTTCTCGCGCTCTTTCATCCGCATCAGTGTTTCTGTTTCGTAGGATATCGTTGGTGCGCTGTTTACATTTGGAGGCGCAAATGACATTGAAGAATGCTTCCCCGCCTGCTCAAGCCTCCCGCTCCTCCTCAACTCCTGCACACTCTCAGGCTCAACCCCACCCACCCAATCAACTGCCACTCCATCGAGTACCCCTCTCTTGCTACTCTGTACTGCACCAAACGCACCCAATATATCGTTGTATTCGACGATGCCTGATGCACTCTTGGGTTTTTTCCCTGACGCTGTGCTTTCTTTCAGTGGGGGGAGTATCACTTGGGAAACAGCTCCAAAAGTGGACATTGAACCCGCTATAGCGCCTTTATTGGAATCTACCGTGTTTGTAGTCCACGCAGGTCTATCTTTACGCGTCCACTTGATTCTTACCAGTCTCTCCTGTGAATGTGGCTCTGGCTCTGACTCTGGTCTATGCAGCATGTCTACATCCACATTCAGATTCAGCTTACTTTCTCTTTCTAGATCTTCATTCAGCTGCTGCGTCTTATCCATCCGCATCCGTTTCCCTTCTTCGCGTATACGCTCCAGCTCAGTCTGTGCGTCTCTCTTCCTGCTCTTCTTCTCGAGCGCAGCCACCGCCGCTTCTTTCTCCCTCCTCTCCAACTCTGTCTGCAGATCCTGCCTACGCGAGTCGAATTTCTCGAAACGCTGAGCCTTTGCCTTGTTCGCGGCGGCGATGTCTGCCAGCTTCGCTCTCTTTGAGGGATCGAGGAGTATCTCAGCGGCGATGGTCAGTTTGTGAAATTCTTCGGCTATTGAGTGTTTGTTTTGTGTTGTTAGTGAGGTAATTGATAACAAGCCGTATCAACCAACCTGCAGTAGGATTATCTGGGTTCTTAGCGGAGTTTAGCCGTGTCTATGAAATACTCTAAGCTCCACTCACTCTATCTGGGTGTACTTTCAAACTTCTTTTTCTCTAACGGCGTGTAAGCCGGAGCATAGAATGAACAACCAACCCACATAAGCCTTGCGCACATCGGCCTCGCTAGCACCAGCAGCGACGTCGAGCACCTTCTCTGCGTCCAAGTCCGAGTCTATGCTCATGCTCATGCTCTTCGACGTCTTGGTCCAGGACGCTGATGAGCCAGGTGCTACAAAAGCTACGTCTGCCACTACCGCGCACGATCTCGGAGGCTACCCGCACGACTGGCGCTGGCCACGCACTCAGTCTGCACGGCTGGATACGCAGTGTGCGCCACCAGAAGAAGTTGTCCTTCGTGCACCTCACCGACGGCCAGGCCGACATCCAAGTTACGCTCTCACCTGAGCTAGCGCGAGGGCTATCAACGGGCACGAGTGTGCGTGTGGACGGCTCTCTCGCGCACCACCCACGCACACAAACCATCGAAGTGCGCGGCACACACACACACATCTACGGCACAGCCCCAGGCGACACTTACCCCATGCAGAAGAAAGAGCATGGCAGCGAACACCTCCGCGATAACGCTCACCTCCGCACTCGCACTAGCCAGATTGGACATGTCGTCAAACTGCGTCATCATCTGACGCGATGTCTCCTTGAATGGTTTCACGATAATAGCTTCACGCTCGTACAGCCTCCCGTTATCACCAGCAGCGACTGCGAGGGCGCTGGCGAGGCATTTCAGGTGGTCGCTGGCGCGGGGCGCGGTAACGAGGCTAAAGAGCAGCAGCAGCCAGACTACCACCACCACCAACAACCCCCCTTCTTCTCTCACCCTGCTTTCCTCACCGTCAGCACACAGCTCCATCTCGAGGCTGTCGCAGGTGCCTTCGCGCGCGTCTTCTCCCTCTCGCCTACGTTCAGGGCGGAGCCATCACAGACGAGCAGGCATTTGGCTGAGTTCTGGATGCTCGAGGCCGAGATCAGTTTCGTGGAGAGCGTCGACAGCCTGACGAGCGTCGTCGAGCACAGCATCAAGAGTGCGGTCGGTGGGCTGGACCCGTCGCTTGTTAAGAGCGATTCTCTGTATTTGGAAAAGGAATGGGGACAAATCACTTACACCGAGGCTGTGCAGCTGCTGCGTGAGCGCCACAGCGTATCTCCCTTCCACCACCCTCCGACGTGGGGTGCTTCCCTCCAAAGCGAACACGAACGCTATCTCGCAGAGGAGGTTTGCGAATCCCCTGTCTTCATTACACACTATCCCGCGTCTATAAAACCATTTTACATGCGCGCTAACGATGATGGTCTCACTGTAGCTTGCTTTGACTTGCTCGTCCCTGGTATTGGCGAGTTGGCTGGCGGCAGTTTGCGCGAGGAGAGATTGGACGTGTTGGAGCGCAATATTGACCACGCTGGTTTAGATAGAGGTACTTACAACTGGTATCTCGATCTCAGACGTTATGGCTCAGTCCCCCACGGTGGCTTTGGTGTCGGCTTCGAACGTCTACTCAGCGTTATTAGCGGTGTTAGCAATCTGAGAGATGTCGTCTTGTTTCCGAGATGGGCTGGTCGCTGTAACTTTTAGTATTCTCTTTTTTTCACTCGTATAGACTAATTTGCATTGTATTACATTATTGAACCACCATTCTGGTTACAACTCGTCGTGTGCGTGTGTGTGTACATGTGTATGCTTGTCGAGGTGCACACTCCCCATACTCTCGTGACATGCTGCTGGACTACTCACTAGAAACTTGTACGCACATTTCTCCAGCTCCTCTACTTCGATGAGCGCATTACGCTCTCCACACACCATCTCTACAACTGTGCTGCGCTCTGGACCATTCCAGCACCGCTGTCCTTTGTTGTAAAGCTGAGTGGAGTAGAAAGCCTCACTGCCCGCCTCCACTTCTTGATCCTCGTTCCAGCTGTGGAACTTACCTAGGTTTGTACCACCCGACTTGCGATCCTGCTGTCTTTGTGTGGCTCTATCGAAGAAACATAGCTCGTACGTGTATTCAGCTATGTCTTGCGAGACGCATTCATGCTTCAGTGCAATCCATTCTCCTTGCCGACCCCACCTCAATCCACCCTCAAGCTCGACATACTCCGCCTGCGTTTTTGCCAGACTTTTGCTTGCTCTGTTAAGTGCGTCAAATTGTTTCTTGTGCTCCTTCTTAGCTTTCTGCAAGTAGACGCCCTCTTCCTGCAGCGAATGCGAGGGTATAATGCTAAGTTTTACCAGCCATCCAACCAGCGTCTTCTTGAAGGAACGGTAGTGAGCTGAGAGAGGAGGTGGGAGGTACGCCTCGATGTTAAACAAGGCTGAATCAACATCTTGCTTCTCGGGCTCATCTAGTGACACCATCAATGCCACCGGATCCTCCTTTTGCACTTTACTGAGCAGCTCAGATGACCATGTGTCACTACTCTTGCTGTGGGTATCGACATAGGCGTCATACTCCCTCACAGCAGCCAACACGCCCATATCCTGGTAATTAGGATTGTAACTGTTTTTCAGCGAGAGGAGAATATCAAGGAGGAGTTGTAAATCATCCTCCACCGCCCGCTTCTCTAACGCCAGTGTCTCCAGTGCGTTTCTGCTATCGAGGAGATGTTTGTAGAGAGGGGAGGCGAGTCTGGCATCTAAAGCGTCTTTTGCGAGTGTCTCCAAACGGTCGACTTCGTCTGCGTTGCGTGTGAGCTAAGGCGGGGCTATATCTAAATACAACACCAAAGCAAGCACCACCCACCCTTGCCGGCCTTTTCCGCGCGCTCCGTTTTCAACAGATTGGCCTGCTTCGCCTGCACACTACTGCGCAACTCGCCCAGCACCTCTAGCCCCCTCTCGACGTAGGCGCGTTTAGTAACCAGCGCCCTTTCGCGCACACGCTGCGAATGGGCGTGGTGGACAGCGCGGCGGTGTGCGCGCTGCGTGCATGTGTTCGCACACACACCCTCTGCTTCGTCGGAACCATCGCAGCACTCCTCCTCGCACAACCCATCGCCTACACGCGATAAGTGGATGCGCGATGGCGTATAGTGCTCGTTGTGGCAGTAGAACTGGGGCGTGTGGTGGCGTCCAGAACACGCACTCGTTGAGGGCTCGTCGGTGCCATCGGGACAGTCGCAGTAGTCGTCGTTCAGTGACGTATACGCTATCGTCGTCGCGTCATTCAGACACTGGAATCTTCCGTTCGTTGGCTGGTAGAGATGCGCTAGAGATGGATCTACTCCGCGTATTCTATCACTGCAGGTTACGCTGGCTGCGAGCGTCAACCCCACTATCCAGCTCAACCTCATCGTCTACAGTCAACAAGATTACATAACAGACTTTTTACACTAAACACGCTTTTTTTGGTAAATAAAATAAATTTCTTCTTCAGCTCATGTCTGGCGTCGACATGTGCGACACTTGGAACGAGGACTGCGAGGGAGATCGCGAGTCATGGGTGTGCGAGTCATTGCCGTGGATTGAGAAAGCCCTCGAAATCTCTGCCATGGCTTCTGGATCTGGATGGTTGGAATCGTGATGATAGGAATCACCAACAATCCTGTCATTTTGTCTCTTGTTGATGAACTGAAGTCCCTGGCCGTTGTCATTGTTGGCTGCTTGGGATGTCGCAAAGTCAACCAGACTGGCTAAATGTTGGGAAGATGAGTCGTCATGACTGTTGGTTTCGTTACTAGCAAATTGCAGATCAAACAGACTGGGTTTGATGTCTAGGTCTATCGAAGAGGGTTCGGTGGCTTGGAAGTGTTGCTGTTGCAGTGCAGCGGCGGCAGCGGCGGCAGCCTGAGCGTCTGCTTCTGAAGAGGACGTGCCAACGCCGAGGGCTATGAGATGTGAGTTGATGTGAAAATCTCCAAAAAAGCCAGACACAGCCAGTGAAACTCACAATTGTAATCATCATTCTTGCTACTCGTCGCCTTCTTCTTGGAGCGCTTCTTAGCTGGACTGTTAGCCGCAACAGTAGTGCTCCTGCGTTTGCCCTGGAAAGGTCGTGGTGGTATCGCGGGCTTTCCATCAGTTCTATAGATGGTGATGTTGTGTGGGTCCTCGAGTAAAAGCCTTAGAACGGCGTATAATTGGTGATTTGTCCAGCCACCAATGGCAGTAGGTGGCAAACCATCAGGCCAGCCGGATATATCGCAGCCATGCGGCTCAAGCCAGATTGAAGGGCTGGCGGTAAAACCATTGGGAAGTCTTCCATAGGCTTCTCCAGACGCCTGACCAATCCCAGCTTCAGATATCTTTTGCAAGAGGATTCTAGAGATATGCGACTGCAACACGGCTTGGCCGGTGGTCATTACGATACCATGGAATTCATCGAGATACCTCTTATCTTCGTCGACCTCAGACTTATCGCGCAACAAGGCATACTTGCCCTTAGTGGATTTGCTGATTTCGTCACGCATCCGAGGAGCGCGGGCTTTACGGGGGGCTCTGCCGTCGTCGTCGATGCCCCTGCTCTTTCTAGGCCTTCCGGGGCCTCTCTTACGCGGGAGATCATCGTCCTCCTGGTAGTAATCAGAGTGATCGTCGTCGTTGGAGAGAGAAGGCGGGTTGTTGTTCTGGTGCTGCTGGGCTTGATTGAGAAGGCTGGTGACATGATCGTGGTTAAAATCAGTGGTATCAGTGGAGTTGTGGGAGCTGTCGTGAGTGCTGTCGTGTGTTCCATTGACGCCATCCACATGCTGTGACTGTGATTGGACAAACTTCAATGCGAGCTCGAGATTTGCATTTGCCTCCTCAGTGTTGATTTGGTTGTCAAGGCTATTAGCGTCGTAATTAAGGAAGCTGTTGCTGTTATCGTGATTGTTCATTTTATTTTTATTTTTATTCTAATTAAAAATCAGATATCCTGCTTCCACGGCTGGATCACACGTATGGTTAGTGTCGAAGGAGCATTTTAAATTTTGCTTTCCGTTGTAGAGGTGGGTGGGTGTTGTCGGTGGTAATGTATCTGCGCTCTACAAAAACACATCTCTCCCACTCCCACTGCTCTACAAATCCATTCCTGTGAAATTTAGCACCCCTTATGAGAACCCCACCAATCCATCCGATATTCTCATTTCTGTACTCCTCGTTAGATTCTGTACTTGAATATGTAATAAATCTCTCCCCATCTCCAATTCTCGTCATCAGCGTGTTTCTCTGCGTCTCAACCACCATGTCCTCCGAGATAACACCATCGGTTACAACCGCGCAGGAGTATATCAAACAGCAGGAGCAGCTAGAAGCCGAAGCGAGGGAGCTTCTACCATTCAAAGCTGATCTCTGCACGCAAGACTACGACAAGAACGAGACTGGCAAGCCTCTCCGCCAGGCCGTATACCTTTGCAAGACGTGTGGATTCGATAAGGGGATCTGCGTGGGCTGTTCAATAATCTGCCATTCAGGTGCGTGACTCTTCTACGCGTCAGCTCGCCTTCACGCGTCCTTGTCATACTCACATACGCCAGACCATGACATGCTAGAGCTCTTCCCCAAGCGTTCCTTCGTGTGTGACTGCCCTACCCCGCGATTCGCGCAGGAGTGCAATCTCAAGAAACTCAAGACGACATATGACGCCGCGCCTAATGTGTACAATCACAACTTCCAGCGGCGATTCTGCGCATGTGATGAGATTTACGAGCCCGAGGAATGCGAGCAGGATATGTACCAGTGCGCTAGCTGCGAGGACTGGTTTCATGAGATATGCCTCAATCTCAGAGATACACACTCCGAACACAAGACTCATAACGACGATAACGACGATAACGAGGACGCTGGTCCGGCTCTGCGCCTCCCTCGGTCTCAATTCGATACTTTTGTGTGTTCGGAGTGTGTGCTGACACGCGATTTGGATCTGTTGAGGAGATATGCTGGCACACCGGGATTCGTTCTGCTCGAGACTATGGAAGGGGGTGGATCACAGGTGGATGAGAGCAAGACGAGTGATGAGCGCGACACAGGCGACAGCGCAATCCCGCTTAAATTTTCAAACAAAAGGGAGCATTCACAGGAAGCTACGCAAGAAGAAAGCGAGGCTAAGCGCGTCAAGATGGATGAGCAGGGAGAGCAAGAAAAACAAGCAGCAATTCCAACACTTGCAACACAACAATGCCACGCACCCAAACCACAGCACGCGTCTCAACAATTAATAGAAAAACTACGCGCAAATCCACCGCCACGACCACCATCAAAAGCAGCGCGCGCCGACATGTTTCTGCTGCACGGGTGGCGGGAGAAGTGGTGCAAGTGTGCGAGCTGCTTGAAAGAGCTATCGCAGCATCCGTGGATGATAAGTGAAGAAGCGACGTATGAGCCCGCGGAAGAGGAGCAGCCTGAGAAAACACTACTGGAGCTAGGCACGGAAGCGCTCAACTCACTCCCACGCGAGAAAGCGCTTGATGGGGTGAAGGCTTATGAGAAAATGTCTTCCTCTGTCAAAGACTTTCTCAAACCTTTCGCTCAGTCGGGTAGAACCGTTGAGGCGGAGGATGTGAATGGCTTTTTTCAACAGCAGCAGCAGCAGCAGCAGCAGAATATGAATGGGAATGGGAAGGAGGATGAGCAGTGAACTAGTGAAAATTGTACTACGAAATATTCTTGTTAAGCACTATCAACAACATGAACACGTCTCGACGCGATTTGTACGCAGAGGAGAGGCGGGAAGGAGAGGCGCATGGTGCGGACGGCGTGGAAGGCGCTAACAGCGTCAACAACGAGGCACAGGCTATGCTCGACCGGATCATGTCTGCGGGCTGGTCGAATGCGAGTGCGACTGCACCTACGAACAAGGTGGATGAGGGTATGAACACCGATACAGACACGCTCACAAACATGGACGAGAAAGTACACACATTTAAGCTGCTTTCGAATGCGCCCGTCACGCAGATAAACGTCAACGAAGGGAGTGAAGGCGACGGGAGTGGGGAGTATGATGTAGCAGTGCGGGAGCACAACGAGCGCATGCGCCGCCAGCGTCAGTCGTCACCGCCCGCAGAGGATGTGCGCGGCCGGTTAGCGCAGCTGTCGAGCATAGCCGTGGATGGTGAGTGGGTCGAGCAGCAGCGCAGTGTGTATTGGCAGCCGCTGCGTAGAGCGATAAATAGGAGTAGGAGGAGTACGCAGTCACTCACCAACCCCGCTCCTTCGCTAGCACTAGCCAAGACGGACATAGACGACGAAGAGAAGCTCACTGATAAGCAGGGTCGCGTGCACACTCCAAGTGTTGAGCAGATTGCTCTTGCACCCTCGCCCGCTACCGCTCAGCTCAACTCAACTCGCAGAAAACAGTATCAGAAAAGGGGTGGGATAGATAAAGTCAGAAGAATGCGCTCCCCGCCTGCCTTCTTCGCTGCTACACCCGACCAGTGCAAGTATGCAGCGTCGGCGGCTTACTTCTACGGCAAACCATCTTCACGGCCGTTTAACAGACCAGCGGGCTGCCAGAGGAAGTATGTGCGCGGAGATAGCAGGGGCATCACAGCGGGGGCTGAGTACAAACGAAAGGAGGAAGCGGAGCGTTTGGCACATAGGGCAACTGTGGCGGAGGAGAAGGCTAAGGCGAAGGATAGGAAGAGAGTGGAGGGTAGAGGCACAGGTAGAGGAGACACATTAGGAGTTAGCAGGGTTGGAGCTGTTGGAGCTGCTGCAGCCACTGGAGCGAATGCGGCGTGATAAAACGCTATAACTACTCACAATACATACAACTTATTTTGCACTAAGAACGATACACCCGGCACACCCCTTTTAATGTCATTGGTTGTGAATTTGAACGTACAAATAAGAAAGTACCCAATAGAACAAGCTTCGTGAGCAGATAGAGCCACCGAAAAAAGGACTTTAACGGTAAGATTTTTGGGTACGAGCACGAGCACCTGGCTGTGTGGAGCAGAGTTAGAGTACCACCACAATAGAAAATAATACCACTCACACCACCGAACTTCTTTGGCTCGCAGCGACGTGGGTCAGCAACGAGGAGAGTTCTGTCGTATGAGACAAGAGTCTTCTTCAAGTCGAGGGCTGAGGCAGCATCGAAGTTCTTTGCGTAGAAAGCGACGAGGGCCTTAGAGATGGCTTGACGGATGGCGTAGATTTGAGAGGTAACACCACCACCGTTGACTCTGACTCTGATGTCGACTGGAGAGAACTTGGATTCACCAACGACGAGAACTGGCTCGTAAACCTTGTATCTTAAGATTTCAGGTTGAACGAGTTGGATTGGAGAGCCATTCACTCTGATCAAACCCTTTCCAGAGACGCAAGTTGCGACAGCGGTGGCTGTCTTCTTCTTACCGAAGGTTTGAACTTGGCCGTTTGACATTCTGAGGCTTGTTAGCGGGGGCGGCGAGAGTGTGGTGACGTATATGGGAATAGAAGGGTGTGCTGCGTGGGTGCTATCTGCGTGCGTTTTGCCTCGTGCACACTGCCATGAAAAACTTTTCGAAAAAACAAGCGAGTGGTTTGAGCTTTAAATGACTTGCCTGTGGATTCAAACGAAGTAAATGTGTCGCTTGCACACAGCATCCACGCCTCGTTCAAGTCGCTGCCTTCTCTTGTGCTATAAGGGCAGCACCAACGAATCCAGAGCCAGAGGAGCAGCAGCAGTAAACCATCCAAGCAATCCACGCATCATACACCCATTCTACTGCCATATACGCCCGAGTAAATTCACCCACTTTAACGCTGCTCAAGGAGAAGAAGCCGCCGAGCGCCAAAAATCATCGCCCAGTTCAGATTTTAAAAATAATTTTAAACGATAAAATGAATGAATGTATATGTACAAATATGGATAAATAACAAATATATTCCAATCTAACTGCGAGAATAATCTCTTCTGGGATCTGTAGCTCTTCTACGTGGTGAGCTTTCTCGGTCGCGGTGAGCGTATCTATCGTTATCTCTGTGTCTATCTCTCAGCGTCTGGATGGACATCTTGGACATATCGACATTCACTCTAACCTCGTCGATGATGCCATTATCCATGAAATCACAAGCGTCTTCTGCATCTTCGACGTGCTCGTAGAAAATAAACGCATAACCCATATGAGTGTTTATCTTCCTCGCTCTAGCCAGCTCTACGTGGATTATCTTCCCATAAGCATCGAATATCTCCTCTAGGTGCTCTACGGCTACGTTTTTAGTGAGGTTACGCACGCAGACGCATTTCAGACCACGAGGGGTGGCGGCTGGTGATCTACTCATGCTTCTGCTGTCCCTGCTTCTACTCAGTGATGGTGATCGTGAGCGTGAGGCTGAGTGACTTGTAGAGCGTGCGTGTGCTTCTCCTTCACCTGCAGAACGCGTTAGTTGGCTCCAAACACACCCACACACCTACCATATCCACTCGATGTTTTCCGCGCTGTCGATCTTCCTCTCTCTGCCATCATCACTGGTATAAATCAACGTTGATTAAATGAATTCAAGGTACAAATTTATAATATCTATAACCTGTCATCATTTCTTACACGCTGCAGTGACCTCAGCCACCTCGACGACGCGTCTAATCCTCATGTTACGCGTGCATACTACGAGCGCCTATATCCATTCAAGCAGATGTACCAATTCTACAATGGCGACATAGGTGAGCGGATTCCTATTACTCTGCTCTTCCTTCTCACTGTTCTCAGTCCCCACCCGCCAATTCACAAACCGCGAATTCGCCTTCACCGTCAAAGACGACATATATCTCCGCTATCTTTCATTCTCTACCTGGGATGACTGGAAGAAGGAGACACTCCGACTCAATCCGAGTAGATTCGAAATAGGTGCCGTATACACGGCTAGAGTGGGTTGTGATGGTGTTCCTAAATCAAACTCACACACACAAGCCACGCGATAAGAAATCTCTCGCTCCGTCCGCCTTCAAGACAAAAGAGCGCGAGTTGGTATTCGATATTGATATGACAGACTACGACGACATACGCACATGCGCAGCTGGCAAAGATATATGTCAGCAGTGCTGGGGGTTTGTAGTGGCAGCCATGCGCGTTCTCGACACTGTCCTGCGACAGGACTTCGGTTACAAGCACCTGCTATGGGTGTTCTCAGGGCGCAGAGGTATCCACTGCTGGGTGTCTGACCCAGCCGCGCGAGCACTGACGGATGAGCAGCGAAAGGCACTCGTGGGGTACATAGAGGTGGTCCGTGGGGGTGCGCACCAGGCGAAAAAAGTGCACATATCGCAGAATCTACCCAAAGGCGCACCATGGCACCCCGCCCTTACGCGCAGCTATGAGGACCTGCAGGCGTGCTTCAAGGACACGGTACTTGAGCAGCAGGACGCCTTCCGTGATGATGCCGGCTGGCGCACTCTCCTCACTCTCCTCCCCGACCCAGTCATCGCGAAGGAGCTCACTGACAGGTGGACTGCACAGCCCGGTCTTAACTCACATAGGAAATTCGACATGGTGCGCGCGTCTATTAAAAAATCAACCGTCGCCGAACATATCTGGAACAGCGCACTGAGAGAGGTCGTCTTACAATACGTATATCCGCGCATCGACACGGAGGTCAGCAAACATCAGAACCACCTCCTGAAGGCACCGTTCTGTATACACCCTGGTACTGGCAAGGTGTGTGTGCCGGTAGATGTCAGCCATGCGGAGGATTTTGATCCAAGTCGCGTACCGACGATTGGACAGCTGCTGCGTGAGCTAGAGTCGTTACCGGCTGTTGCTGGTGCAGATACTGCACTCGACTGGTCGAAAACGTCGCTCGCGCCATACATCACCATGCTCGAAAAGGAATCTGAACAAATAATGGCGGAAACGAGGCGAGTGAAGAGGGAGGCTAATAGCCGTAGTCTAGATTTTTAAATCCTAAAGTTGTTGTGTGCACTTTATACAAAAATTTTATTTGAATTGGATTGGCTGCGATGGGATATTCCACATTGGATTCAGACATAAACGAGATCGATTATAGGTGAGTGCGGGAGTAGGGATGTGCACGTAGACTAAATGGATATAGGCTGGCTGTATATCGTTATACCTAAGAGTGCGTCGCTGAGTTCTACGCGTTGAAATAGCTCACAGCATCACAAGATGAACAAAATGAGTAACACACAGGGCAATCAGGGCACTCAAAGCACCCACGCAGAGCAGACCGCTGAAGTTGGCTGGCAATTCGTTACCCAGTGAGTTGTACAGCGTAGTACACTCCCAGCTAACACAGTACACGACTAGATACTACAATTTTGTAAACTCAAAGCCAGACAGCCTGCACTACTTCTACAACCAGGACTCCACGCTGATCCACGGCTACGAGGATGGCGATGAGCGTACGTGCTTTGGCCAGAAGGATATAAACGCACGCGTCGCTGAAATTGGCTTTGAGAACTGCAAGGTCTTCGTACACTCGCTCGACTCACAGTCTTCTGCCAATGGCGGTATTCTCGTTCAAGTCGTCGGCGAAATGTCAAACAGGAATGGTCCTTGGAGGAAATTTGCTCAGACGTTTTTCCTCGCAAAACAGCAATCTGGATATTTCGTACTCAACGATATTTTCAGATATCTTCGCGACGATGATGAGGTGGATGAGGATAAGCAGGTTGAGGAGAGCAATGATGTTGGCAGCTACCCAATTCAATCTCCAAAGGCTGCTTCTCCTGCTCCAGCGGCCATTGCTTCTCCAACTCCGCCTGCTGAGCCTGTCGATGACAGGAGCGAGAAGGTGGATGACAAGCTGGATGATAGGAAGGATGTGGCTGCCACTGCTGCTACCTCCTCAGTGCACTCTGCTGTACAATCTCCTGAGAGAGCTGCCAACGCTCCTAAGACTTGGGCAAATTTAGCTGCAGCTAACTCAAAGAAGTGGGGTCAACTCTCGCAAGACAAGACATCGCCATCACCCTCACTTCAGCCAGCTACTGCTAGCTCAACTGTTACCTCTCCACGCACTACACGCGCAGACCCCGCGAAACCACCAACTCCAGCCCAGCAAAACGTGCAATCAGTATCTCATGCGCTCTGTTTCGTCAAGAACGTCACTGATCAAGTACAAGAACCAGAATTAAGATCAATCCTGCAGGCTAAATTTGGTTTGATTAGGGATGTTGACGTCGTCAGAAATAAAGCATGTGCCTTTGTCCAGTTCGACAAGATCGAGAGCGCTAAGAAAGCCATTATCGCATCCCACAGTAAGGAGCAGGGTGGTGAAGGCGGTGTTAAGATTGCTGCCCAGACTGTACAACTCGAGTCGAGAAAAGAAAAAACAAAGAACAAGCAACAGCAGAGAAAGAATACTGGTAATAACAACGGCAACGCTCGTTCTAATCAAAACAATCAACAAAATCAATCTAGAAACAAAAAGTAGCATGAGTACATTCGTACATTCCTATAATCCACTTATTTACGCATCTTTATTATACATTACGCGGTTTATACTTGAGTGAGGCAAATGCACTTGACCAACGTGGGTGAAAATTTTGAGCAGTTTGTGTCAAGTGAAGGGGGAGTGATATTGAAAATGTTTAAATGATATTTAAACATAAGATATGATAATATGTACACACATTTGCACCATCTCCTCGCTCCCTTAAATCCCCTTGAACAAGAACGTCCACGGCGATTTAAATGAAGTTTGGAAAGGAGGTGTGTCTGACAATACTCATGTCGTCATATGCAAACACGGCCCACCTCTCAGATACAATCTAATCAGATTCCGGGATGGTCTCATCAATATCTCGATTACAAGGCGTTGAAGAAGGTGAGACTGGAGATGAGCGCAAGGAACGCCAGTAACACACCCAGATCATAAATTCCCTCATAAAAGGCAGGCCAAGAGACGCTGGTAGTCTGTCGATTGGGATCAGGCCGGGTGCATCGAGCGGAAGCACCAGTAACAACATTAGCAACAGCATCAGCTCCAACACCAGCATATCGATGGAAGATTACCGATCATCTTTCTTCTTCAAGCTGGAGAGAGAGCTCGAGAAAGTTAGTCCGCCGACTCGCCCATCCAGATTACACAATCTAACGTCACATCACACAGATTAACGGATTCTACCTTGCAAAGGAATCTGAGCTCAAGATACGCATACAGATACTCATCGATAAAAAGCGGCACAGCAAACGATCGAGCCACGTCGCTCTCGATGAAGGTTTCCAGCACCTCGAACGTCAACTTGTCGCTTTGCAGGCTTATGTCGACATCAACGCCACTGGATTTAGAAAGATACTCAAGAAATGGGATAAGCGGTCTAAATCTAATACCAAGGAGCTCTATCTGGCCAGGCAGGTGGACGTACAGCCTGTGTTCAACAGGGAAGTACTCGCAGAGCTATCCAACGTAGTTGCAACGAACCTCATTGATCTTGAGAATGCACAAGACCCCGATCAGCACACTGAGAATATGTCTATCGACAGCTACAGCGATGTCGAGAATATGGTTATAAAGCTACTTAAAAAGGGAAACACAGCCGGTTTAATGAGCTTGCTGCAGAATCACAAGGGACTGAGATTGACGTGGGAGTGTCTCGTCTATGCCGCTCGAGAGGACGAGATGGACGCGTTGACACAGCTAGCGCAGATTGAATGGAGCTATGTCGATGATATCAATAACCGCACCTGTCTCCACAAAGCTGCTATAGTTGGCAATCTTGCGCTTGTTCGCCTCGCTTTACAGCATGCGGTGGATCCAAGCAGCTTAGACATATTCGGACGGAACAGCATCCACTACGCCGCACTTAATGGACACGACGTAGTACTCGACCATCTTCTCCACCTGAACTCTATCGATTCGAGGAGGGCGGATTACGACGGCTACACGCCATCGCTGTACACAATTGTCAATGGACATGATGAGTGTTTGAGGCTGCTAGTCAGCCAGCTTTCTTCACCTGCCCCGTCCAGCCTCCATCCACTATGTCTGGCTGCGCAGTACGGACACCAGTCCATCGTTCGGACGCTGCTCCAGCTGTCCAAAGACGACATTGGACCGAACGCCGAGGGTCTATTCGCTCACCACTTGGCAGCGAGAGGCGGACATGCAGATATATGTCGCCTGCTAGCGAAAGAGGGCGGCGAGAAGCAGGGAGGGCTGCATATCCAAGACAAGTATTCAGCGTGGACGCCGTTGATGCATGCTGCCGACGGGGGGCATTTAGAGTGCGTTAACGTTCTCCTCAGTTTCGGCTGCGATGAATGGGTGGTAGACGAGAATGACAATACAGCCGTCTTCTACGCCGCATGGAACGGACACATGGAGTGTGTGGATGCGCTGATGCGCGCCAAGGTAGCCAGCGGGGAAGATGCGCGGGTGGTGGCGGGATCGACGGCGAAGACGGAGGTCAGCGACATCGAACAACAACGACAAGGAGGAGATATGGATGAGATACCCACACTTGCACTCCCACCACCTATGATGCCTTTGCGGATCTACGGCCACAATTACCTCCTCAAGCGCAGCCTCCTCAAGGTGGTTCTCCCCCCTCTGCCGATCAGGCTGAGCGAAAACGGCAGTGGCGACGAGTTGCGCTGGTCGTCACTCAAGCTAATCGTGATGCAGAAACCAGACACACTTAATGCACCCCACCACCTCATCCTCCCGTTGCAGAAACAAAGCGGGGAGTCGCATACTCACACTCACACTCACACTCACACTCACACGCACTCGCACACTGAGTTCACATTCCAGATGGAAGACGGTCGCGAACACAGCCTCGACTTCGCCATTTATCCAGGCTTCGGGAGCGTCGTGATGGGAAGGGCGGTCGCGCTGCCGGAGGTGCTGATGCGGCCGTGCGTGCAACGCCACACGCTCGCGATGCTCGATAGCCGGTTACACACGGTCGGTCGTATCGCCTTCTCAACCTTCCTCGTCACGCCCTACGCTGGGCTGGAAGCGGAGAGTGCGAATGTGAACGCTTACTGGAAGTCAACGACGAATGTGAGCGGAGCACATGCGCATACGCACGAGAAGGAGAAGGAGAAGGCGGATAAAGCGGGCACTGGGAAGAGAGACTCGCCGATGCTTTCGCCCAACTACCAAAGCGGTGATAACGATAACGATAATGATGGCGACGGACAGGGGGATGGGGGCGCCACTGTAATTACTTCGTCGTCACTTCCAGATACGTTCGCGCGTGTGCGGGTGTGTTCGAGTAAAGATGGCAGGGCTGTAGTTGCACAGGCGGACAATTTGTCTCTCTTGCTGCCCCTAGCACTGCCCGGTGCGCAAGTGAAGGATTTCTCACTCAACGATCTGTGCACTCTCGCCAGAGAGTACCAAGTAGATGCGGAGGGAATGGGGAGCGAGGCGAAACTTACAGCTTTAGAGGAGTTGCTGAGGGTGAGTCGCAAATGCGTTTGGGTTGTTGCTGTTGGACTGAGCTAACGCGCATTTATTCACGCCAGATACTCGACACTAAAACGCACATCTTGCTCGATATACGTAATGAAACGGCAGGGAACACGAACAAACTCGTCGATGATATACTCAATCATTCGTATCGCACGGCATCATCATCCACCCGTCACATCGCTTTCGTCACCGCTGACACGGAAATAGCAGTGTGTCTGCAGTGGAAACAGCCGCATTTCCCCGTTTTCTTGGGTTTGGGTTGCAACGGATCGGTAAAAGAAGCAGTGAAGCTGATACGGGCTAACAACTTGCTGGGGATGTTTGTGGATGGCAGGTTGTTGTCCAAGGTGCCGAAGCTGGTGGATGCAGTGAGGGAGACGGGATCGATGGTGGTGGCTGATGAGGCTGATGGAGCTGGTGAGAGTGTTGCTGTGGATGGGGTGGATGGAGTTGCTCGGAGGAAGACGTTCAACTGCATGACGACGTTTGGCGTTGGTGGGTAGTGGATTGTAGACTTTAGCCAGTACCCAGCAACCTTATATAAGAATGTATTGTAAAATAACCCACGTAAATAAACATCCCTTGTTGAGATTGCACGATGATGGAGAAGGTTATCGTTAGTCTGTGAAATAAAGCGAAAATCCCACAGCTAATAGAAAACAGTCGCAATTCAAGCCAAATGACTCGCTCCATGTCCCTGCGGATGGATTCATCTACGCTGTGATGATGGATTGCGGACTAAGCAAGCACGAGCTCCCATTCAGCAACCACGTTGATCTCCACTCATTCAACAGGGAAACTGAGCAGAAGCGCGTGTCCAGGAGCGTGCGCGATGTGATTCTGGCCTATGCGATACCATCACTCTATTCACAAGTGTCGAACAACGTGAAAACAACAGCAGATGCATTGAGAGCGCTGGATGGGGGCAATTACACTACCGCTATTGGTCTTGTCAACTCGCCTGGATTCTTGCACACGCAGATATCACTCACAAAGCACTCGGATAAGCTCATGTCTGTTCTGCATACACAGCCAGCGACAGACACTCAGCTTACACGCTCATCACGCGTAATTGCCTTTGTTAGAACTAGCAAAGACGCGCAATCCATTCTGTCAAATGCTGCTTCCCAAAGAACATACGTAAATGCTCTAGCTACAAAAAGCGTATCTGCGGCTATCAATTACATAAATGTCCTGTCTTCTGACACCAGTAGTGTCAACTCTCTCAGTAGAAGGACGCTGCTCGAGGAGGTGCTTTCTGTCTCACTACTCCCTCACCCAGTCGCTAGATTGGTCGATCAGCTTTCAAAGCTCAGCCTCAGCGATAGTGATGTGGACGTTATACGCTCATTTGCTGCTGGAACTTCTCTCCTTACCTCACCCAACGTCTCCCCATCCAGTATCGCAGCCGCCCACGATCTCCTCCTCGTCAGATACATACAGGCCGGCCAGATACCCGACGCTATCAAACTCAATAAGGGCGCGCTCAGTGTGGTGCTCTCGCATGGCATAGGTAGCGTAAAGCGTGGCCAGCTGATAGCCGAAGCGTGGAGCGTCCTCCCGCGCGTGCAGAAGGATTTGGTAGAGAGGGAGATAGGAGGTGTTGACGAGGTGGAAGGGGCGAGTGAGGAAAAGAAGACAGAAGATGAGCGGGTTCGCGATCATGAGAATGGGCATGATGACGAAGATATCATGGTAGAGCAGGAAGCTGTCGAAAAAAGTGACACTAAACAAATCGGCTCCTGGATCGACCTCAGATTGGAGCAGGAGAACAAAGCACCAGGCACCCCATTTGCACCGCTACAGAGAAAGGCTGCGGCTCCTGCGCCCCTCCCACTCCCACAGAGCCCGCTGTCGGGACCACCCAAATTCTCCACGCCAACAGCACCAGCATCAACACCGCTGCGAAATGTTCAGTCTAAGCACAAGGTCGCTGAGTCGCCATTCGCACAGCTCCTTGGCAAGTCCATAGCCAAGGAGAAGGAGAGAAAGGAGAAGGATATTGGTGAGCGAGGTGAGGTTCTTAACAGGAGTGCATTCGAAATACCTAGCGTTACCGAGATCGCTGAGAGGAGTCTTTCGACGCCCGCTAAACACTCCCCGCTGACCACGAGCGCTAGCAAGGGTGCTAGCAGGAGTGCACAGCGCATTCGTACACCCGAAATTGGCAACGAGAGCAAAGACAAGATTACAGATTTACCGGATGTGAATGCACTGCAGAGTGTACGCAAGACGCGCAGTGTGATGCCGACTCCGAAGAAGGAGAGGGAGATGGACATGGAGCAGGACGACGACGATGTAGATGTGCCGGGGTCATATCCGTACACCCCCCAGCCTGTCAAACAACAGCCTCGTCGCAATCTCCGTTCAACGACTCTCAGATCGTCTAATCGCCGCAGCAGCCTGAAGCGCAACTCGGATGATGTGCAGATGGACGAGAGTGATGACGATGATATCGCTTTGCCTGGTAGTTATGTGCCTACGCCTCAACCGGCACGTGGTCGCGGTAGGACTAGTACCGGTGCACCTAAACGCACAACTAGACGTACAAGTAATTTGGGAGGCGACAGTGCTGGTGCAAGTGGAAACTCTACTGCCAATTCCAATGCCAATGCCACAGCTGCACCTTCCAAACGCCAAACAAGATCATCTAGCAGATTGAACAACTAAAACAGTGAATAGATAAAGCATGTAAACAAAATTTTAATCATGTTTCGCGAATATCGTGTTTTCTTATTCAATTTTTCATTTCTTCGACGTGCAGTGAATAATGATTTTTTAGGGGCCAAAATTGCTTTTGATGAGTCTGTTTAAGTATATAGTGGGAGTTCACTAATCTCCCATCGACATTGAATATTTGGTCAAATCTTCATTCACTATCATTGAATGCATCCCAGGCCGCACGCCACTCCTAAGCACTTATCCCTTATCCAAAGCAGCCACAATCAAGATTACAAACACCAGATTATCTTCCAGTGGACCACATCACACTGAAACATCGAGGACAACCTCCTCAGGCCCACAAGGGCAATCGCACAAAAATATAGTCAGTCGCACAACGTTACAAGCACCAATGAACCCAACTAAGCCCACACAAAAACCATTTCAACACCTAACTGTGGTGCCACTTAATTTGGAGGTCAAAAGAAGTGAGAAGCTGCAAAGTGAGATTGTACCTTGCATGCAGCGTCACGACTGACTTGTCACAGCATATCGTGCATATCACCATTAATTTTAAGAAATTATTTCTGTATGTTGTAATTTTATTCCGCTTACATTCTTGATGGCCACTGAATAATTTACCCGGTATGAATTCGCGATTGGCAAACTAAATATGGAACTAAAAGCAAGACTAAACTTGAACTAAAAAGTGGCAAGATATAAAAGGCAAAGACGGTCTTGAGATATTACTACAATCAACTACTTCTCCAATCTCACAATGATCGCTCAAACTGTCTTCGCTGCTGCTCTCGTCGCCTCTGTTTCAGCTGGCTGGGAATCCAAGACCGGCTCATGTAACACTGGAAAACTCTCATGCTGTAAGAATGAATCATTAGTAGCTTAGAATCATCTCACACTGCTAAGGCGACTTGAACAAGAAGGTCCAAAAGTCAACTGGTGAAGAATCAGGCCTCCTCCACACCGGCGATGTTCTCGACCAAGTTGGTGTCCAATGTACTCAAGTCCCCCTCCTCATTGGCGTTGCTATAGAGGGCGAGTAAACGTCTTAAACGCGTTCTCGAAACTAACAATTCCACAGATGAGTGCAAGAACACCCCAACCTGTTGTGAGGACGTTAAGGAGGATGGTCTCGTCGGTGTCAACTGCACTCCAATCTCCCTCGTTTAAAAGGCTATTCTACTTTTTCTTGTACAACTTCACAATAGATAGCACTTAATTGGCGTTAATTACTTTCACGTCTCTATTCCATCGATATACACACGCAATACACACGAAAAGTATACCAACAAGTCTATAATGATTACAATTAATTATCTTTCAACAAAAGTCTCTTTGTGAAATTGTATGTCGCGAATGAGATGGCGTTCATCGGTATTACTTTGAGATAGCCGATCGTCAACCCAACAAAGAATCCTCTGTATCCCGATTGCTTGTAAATAAGTGAGCAGGTTTCGTTAAAGTTTACGAATCGGTCTGGATGGAGCAATCCACCAACCTGCATCCTACGTCTGATAACTTCGAATGGATAAGCAGCCGTCTGTCCAATAGCACCTGCCATACCACCGCAGAAGAGATCGCTAGCACCTTTGCTAGTAAAGAGGGTGCGTATATGCTGCGATTTAGATGCCTGCTCGAAAATCAAGAAGGATGTTCCAGCGTAAGGTATAATCCCGACCATCGTCATGCTAAATCCGCGATAAAACTTGAGAACAGATACTTTATTGAGCAACTTCCTGCTATACTTTGCAGTAGTTGCCGATTTCGGCGGCGGTGGTTGACCTTCGTGGTAGATATCGCGCATCACGTCACCTAATCGCACGCGACCCTTGTGACGAGTTTTAAAAGCGGTGCGTACACGGATAAGCTCGAGTGGGTAAGTGCAAAGAACTGAAATAAGGCCTGTCTGGGGAGTTGTAGAATGGAAGGAAAAGAAACCATCATTACGCACCTGCAGTTGATCCTGATAAAAAGCCAGAGAGAGGTGTTACTTGGCTTTCAGATGGAGCGTAGAACTAGGACATTAAGCTCGAGTATAGCTAATGACGTACAACTTACATGTCTAACTTGCTCGTATGCAGCCCATTTGATAGCGGCATATGGAAATATCCTCGCTAGCGTCGCACTGTGGCCTTGAAGCAACCCTCGTACGCCATTCTCGTTGTAAATCGGTCGCAGGGCCTTGAATACACCGGTCCACGAGCCTGGAAAGGATTTAGATGTGTTCAACAGGCCCAATTCAACGCACACACCTGCATACTTCTTGAACTCCGGGTTACTCGCCTGGAACAGAATCTTTACCCTATCGAATGGTGCAATCGATGTTTTGGCCTGTGATGGTTAGACTGTTTAAAGTGTATGATGAGCCCAACGCACGACGCAGCCAGCTGTACCGCCAGCCACCATTGAGCGCCACACATAATCAAAACTCCGCCTGTCTTTCGGATGCTGCTGTTGCATGGATGTAAATAAGAGAGGTGATATGAGATACAAAAGCTGTAATATAAATTATATCGTCGTCTATTTGCTGGCTTGTTTTTCTAATAAGTCCTTCTGCTCGTATGTCAGCGGTGATGGTTATCGCACTACCCACTCACAGCTTCGTTGATTTTACTGGCGAGGAACGGCTGTGAGATTGATTAGAGTTGGTCTCCCACGTAAGCTATATACACCCACTGATCCACCTCTATCAGGATGGTTGGCAAGCATAATTGATCTGTGAGCGTGCTTGATTCTCTGCGTGTTTGCCAACTGCTCTCTCAAGCCTAGTACTTGTAACGCCTCCTTCTTGTCCATCTTGTTCTGGAATCCACCCACTGCCCATTTCGATGAGGCTGCTTTACCCCTCAATCTGCTCGCGATGAACATCCCGCCCGTCAATCCTAATGCGCATAATCCTATTGCTTCCATTGTGTGTGTTATGTATTTGTTTATTAATGCGTTGTCTGCGTTCTGCCCCCGTTACACCTCCTCGATGTCGTTGTGAGAGATGGATGCGTACTTTCTCTTGGTCTTTTTTGCAGCGTTTTTCTTTGTCTTTTGCAGCTTCTCTATTTTCTTTATAGTTTTCGACTCGCTTGGGTTGTAGATACTGTTGTACTTGTCCTGTAGAAGCTTCCTGGCCTGGCTTCGATTGGAGGTAAGGCTGCGCGTGGCGTGGCACTCCACAGACAGCCCAGAAGGCGCATGTTGTAGGAATACTTTATTCGACGTTTTATTCACCGCCTGTCCCCCTTTCCCTTGTCCTGCGTGGTGTAAGTCGTGTACAAATCACCATCTCTACGCCCACCTTTCACGAACTTCTCAATAAGATCCATTTCATTTAGTTTTACGTGAATGCATCTGCTTTGTCCAATCGCTGCTCTCGCACTCGTCGCGATTGCCCTGGCCAGCAACATGAAATCACAACACAAGCCAGACATAATATGAAGATTAGATGATATAACAAAATTAATGAATGATTCAGTTACATATAATATAGCTTAGAATACGCGAAACTCGCGCTTGCTCTTGTCATAGTACCCAGGCCTGTATAGAGTTGGTTTTTCAAGGAAACGCGCATATACCGGCTTAGGTTCTTCATCTGGAATACCATGTTTGGCCCTGTAACGAGCCTCTTTCTCGTCCTCTTTCTCCGATCTAAGCCACAATTCGTGCCTAGTGCAAAGCTCATCGCCGTCGCCCTCAACTTTAATCCCGAGGTATACGCTGAGTGTTCTATGATCCCCGCGTCCACACTGAGATGGTGTCCTCTTTGCATCCTTGAGTGGTGCCCTCTGTGCATTATTGACTGGTACCTTGTGTGCCTTTTTGGCTAATACCTTCTCCACCAGTGGGATACCGAATGGGACAGGCGCTGAGACACGCTCTCTAGAATCCATACTATTACCTGTTGCTCTAGACTCCGCAGAACTGTATCCTGCCATGGAAAAACCACCTTTCACAGGTAAGGCGTGAGATGATTTCTTATTCTTGCGTAAACCCTTCTCTTCAAGCATTTCATCGCAAAGTCGAGCAGCTTCAGCACATATAGTAGCGTCACTTGGGTCAAGTGAGGCGAGAGATAAATTGTTGTTCTTGCATTTACGCTTCTGTTCAAGCAATTTATTGCAAATTTGGATAGCTTCAGAGCATACAGCAACGTCTCTAGCACTTTTGGCGCGCTTATACTCTTCTTCCCTTTCACGTTTGTTGCGTTTCTCCTCTTTTAGTCTTTCCCGCTTGGCGCGTTTATATTCCTGTTTTCTTTCATCTTTCATGTTCTCACCCACCTGGCGCCACCATTCTGCCTCTAACGCTATCATACTCGCGTGTGTTGTTGGCAATTCTTCTTGTGGGACCCTGAAACGGGGGTGCTGGATAACGTGGTCCTGTGTAAGCCATTCAGGTGTCGGTATGTATTTTGGGGTGTATAACTCTTCCTCGTATCTTTCTTCAGTAACGTAGTTTCTTACTGGCTCGTAGGACACTCTTAATGGCCAAGTGTCTTCCGTTGGTGGGGGTCTGAGTATGTCTGTGGCTGTAGTGTGGTAAGTAAATGCAAACATCTATCAAATTTCCAAGCTTACCGTGTTTCCTAAATGACTTCGTGAATTTCTTTGCGTAATCTTGTCCTTGTGAAAAAAATGATGGCATTTGTTATGGGCGAGATTGGCAATGTAAGACAGTGGTTGCTGGTAGCAGACAGAAGTGACCAGCCAAGTTATACCCTCCAAAGCGCAGCTCAACAGGCGTGAAGGCTCAGGCACAAAATTCGATGCCAATGATGTCAAAGGATCTAAAAATCGGGCTTGGACGGCATTCAACACTGGAATATGTGGTTTAATTTCAGCACTTTTATGCGCGTGAGTGTGCACGCATTTTTACTTTGCTCAATTTACCCATTTGCTCCCAATGACACCTACTACGCTCGAAGGTGAAAGTTTGCATTTGAGGAGCTAACAGACAGCGCCGACAGACCTTGATTGGATTGTAACACTGTTTGGTATTTCACTAGAATTTAATTTTCAAATATGTGTGGTGTTATCGAAGACACCATTGACGATCTTTTCCCAACTTCCCGTCACCTTCCGAATTAGGAAACTCACCAATTGACATGAAATTGGTGAAAAGCGAAGCGGTAAATTGAGATTGTTCGTGCCAATCAATGCTTCTCCTGAGAGTTTTGAAATCGACGGTGGCGTTGGCTGGCGGTCTCACCGTCTGAGCAGTGTATAAATGCTAATTCTAGATTCGTTTCACCATGATCAATCCATTTTTCAATTTAAATGACAAATGTGGCTATTTGTAGCTTATTCGTCCTCCATCGTATCGCTTGACGAGTGATCAAGAGCGAACGAACGGTTCGGTTCGCTTCATATCGCTTCGGTGCCAGCTCTTGATGATCAGATTTTACTTTCCTGATTTAATTGGAATGAGTGCGTTTTATCGATGCAGCTATACTTAAATTCAGGCGGTAGAGTGCACAGTTATTACTCAGTGAGCTAAGGATGCACGTGATGCACTCGGAGCTTTTCTGTGCGGCAGCAATTGCAAACAGCATAAGCAAGATAAGCAGCATAAAATGAAAAGTTCTTCTACACCTTATCTTTTCAAACAAATTGTGAAACAATCTTACTCTGTTGACAGGTGGAGGTACACCACGTAACACTCCCCTATTCCACGTGGAGTAATCCCTGTCCATCTCTATGACAATGATCACCAAAGTTTTCTACATTACAGGCACTTCTTCTGGATTCGGCAGAGAACTAGTTTTGGATCTTGCCAGTCGCGGTCACAAAGTGATCGCTACTGCATTGTCCACCGACTGGATTGAGGATTTCGCCAAACTCGACAACGTTAAGACCCAGAAAGTTGATGTGACAGATTCGCCCACAATTCTCCAGCAGAAGGTAGAGGAAGCCATTACATTCTTCGGCAAAATAGACGTCCTCGTGAACAACGCTGGATTCTCTCAAACTGGCTGCCTTGAAGAACTCAGCGATGGCGAGCTGAGAAAGTCGTTCGACACCAATTTCTTCGGCCCTGTCAACTTAACCAAGGCCATACTCCCACACTTCAGATCCACCGAGACGGAGAGCCTGATCTGCACTGTCACCTCGATGTGCGGTATAGTCTCATTCCCCATGGCTGGTGCGTACGCAAGTACGAAATTCGCTCTCGAGGGCTACTTTGAGGGACTGAGTAGCGAAATGAAGATGGTACAGGCACCCGTCAGAGTCCTGTGTATCGCTCCGGGCGGGTTCAAGACTGAATTGATCGATAACACCAAAAAGCCACAAAATATCCTTGATGTTTACAGCCCAGCGAGAGTTTACATGGATAGTCTACTTAAGAATATGCATGCTACCGGAGGTATTCCTAAGATCGGAGCCAAGCTGATGATAGATGCAATGCTGCAGGAGGGTTCTGCAGAGGGTAAAGAGATACCTCTGCGCGTGCCGATTGGATCAGATGGTGTCGACATTCCCCTGGATAAGTTCAAGAGTCAGGCGGAAGCTTATGAGTCTTGGAGGTCATTTGCCGCTGAGGCAGACTCTGCGATGGATGGATGTAATACGAATTGTAATTAAGTCTTTAGATGTTAATCTTATTTTTCGTTAATGCAACAGCTGCTGGTGCTATTCCCAATCCGATTGCAAGGCATTCGATCTGTCCGTTGTACCCCGTTAGCTTTCAGGGTGCTACAATAAAATCATTAATCCTTAGAGTAGGTATAGTATCTACAATTTAGTCACCTCTAATTTTTCACTCCATCAGATGCCATCTGCCCTCTTTCGTGTCATGTGCACAGTAACCATAATAAATCAAATCAGCGGCTGATATTTAATAGAATTTGCATGATATTGCCTCGGTCGAAATTCACCACTGTTTGATGCATATATTAGCATCGCCCTCATTATCCTCCTTGAGTTACGTAATCGCAGATCTCCCTTCTCAGGCAATTCAATTTGCTATACCCTGCTAAGAGCCGCTTTAACTACCTATTCGCTACATTAGTTCTCTGCGTGGTATGGGCGGTTGCATCGAACGCGAACTGGCGCCCGAGCATGCATGCAAGACAGATTGCACGAGCACCGAAATTAAAAGCTAAACAAGATGACAAAAACACATACGAATTCAATACCATCGTAAATTGCATTGTTGTCTACTCCGAAACTTTACTGTCTTAATTTTGATCGTGTCGGTGTTTGTGATCTTATGCATTCAGTGCAAAATTGCACATAATGTTACCCTCGTGATACACATGTAATCGTAATATCATATCCCGGTTTTTTCCTCTTCTTCTACCATCAGCACAACACATGTCAGCAAAAGTATTTTATATCACAGGTACTTCTTCTGGATTCGGCAGAGAATTAGCTCTGGATCTCGCCAGTCGTGGGCACAATGTCATTGCCACTGCACTATCAATCGACTGGATCGAGGATCTCGCCAAGGTCGATAATGTCAAGACCCAGCAAGTTGATGTGACAGATTCGCCAACAATTCTCCAGCAGAAGGTAGAGGAAGCTATCAAATTCTTTGGCAAGATAGACGTTCTTTTCAACAATGCAGGTCTCATTCAAAACGGTTGTCTCGAAGAGCTCGATGATGCGGAGATCAGAAACTTGTTCGATGTTAACGTGTTCGGCAACATTAATCTGACGAGAGCCATACTGCCATATTTCAGATCCACCGAGACAGAAAGTATGATTTGCACCGTGACCTCGATGGGTGGCACTGTGTCAATTGGAGGGTGTTCCGCCTACTGTGCGAGCAAATTTGCACTCGAGGGTTTCTTCGAGGGATTGAGTGGTGAATTGAATTCATCACAGCTGCCTATCAAAGTCTTGTGCATTTCTCCAGGCGGTTTTAGAACTAACTTATATAGCAACGCGAAGAGCCCTAAGAACACTATTGATGCATACAAGCCGGCTACAGAAATCATGAATGATCTTTGCAAGCAATTTAGTACAGCTGGCGGTATGCCTAAAGTTGGTGCTAAGTTGATGGCGGACGCAATGCTGAAAGAGGGCTCTGCTGAGGGTAGAGAGATACCTCTGCGCCTGCCAATTGGCTCGGACTCTGTCAAATTCACACTCGACAAGTTCAAGAGAGAGTCTGAAATGTACGAGGCATGGAGATCATTTGCGGCGGAGGCCGACACTAAGTAAAGGGTGGAACAGGTTGAGCTTGTACATAATGAGCTAAATGTATGAAGATTTTAATGATTATAAAAGTAATTGGTTGTATGTTAGAGCTGACTGAGCGTGTGTGGCCTGTAATAACGAAACAGTACCGCAAATGCACAAGTAAATTATGTTATATCTGCACATCTTCCACGCAATTCCGAGCTTATTTCTGAGCCGCACCTTATTCAAAGTCCACAAATTATAGATAAGGCAATTTTTTGGCCCGTCTTTGATCAAAGATGGAATTTTGCGTAGCATGGAATGTTACAGACATACCGGCGGGGTTTTGGAAGAAATTAAACCTCGTTCAACTCATATTTCACAACTCCTACGCAATATACGTGGGTGCAGTGAACTCGAAATGACATATTGGCATTTATGCAAGGAACTTTATACCTGAGGTACTTATTCACAGGCGAAATTAAAATAAGTAAAGTTGAATAACATTACAATAACATCAACATCGTTAATTGCAGTGAATTCATTTAGCTCCTGTCTTATTATTTAGGCTAGGGTCGAAATAATTCTGCTTGTACCTAAGTCTAACCTTATGAATTGATATTTGGTTACAATATCATCTCTGAGATTTCTCGTTAATATCATCGGTATCACAAATTTCCAAAAAAAAAGTCTGTTTGATTACAGGCACTTCTTCTGGATTCGGCAGAGAACTAGTTTTGGATCTCGCAAGCCGCGGTCAAAAAGTGATCGCTACTGCATTGTCCACCGACTTGATTGAGAATTTCACCAAACTCGATAATGCCAAGACCCAGAAAGTTGATGAGATAGACTCGCCAGCCAATCTCCAGCAGAAGGTAGAGGAAGCCATTACATTCTTCGACATTGACGTCCCCATGAACAACGCTGGATTCTCTCAAACTACATCTTGCATCGCGTTCTTCACATATCGAATTCACTGCTTCGTTAGTTGTCTCACCTTTAGCGACGTTTCCTTCCACGATCAGGCAATCGATACGCATTTCTTAAGACATTGGCTTCAGTCCTTTATATATGCCAAAGCGTGTTTCTGGCAGCTCCAAAGGCTGTCTAAAAAAGTTTTCTGTTCAGAGCGCCTGAAGACGACTGAGGCTGTAAGTGCGGCGAGTAGGGACAGCAACAGATACTAGCCTACTAAAAATTATAATTTAATGCCCTATTGAGTTTTCCGGTAAAAGCTTCTCCGCGTAATCTGAGTGAAGTCATTTGCATTTTGGTCATCGGAAAGCGATGCATGAGAGAGGGATGTATTGTTAGCTGTTGTAGTAACCGGAAAACATTTCCCGTCAGCTTATACTTTCCAAAGCGCAGCTCAACAAGCATGAAGGCTCAGGTGCGAAGAGGCAGATGTCGATGCAAATGATGTCAAGGGGTCTAAAATTCGGGCTTGAACGACATTCAAAGCTGGAAAATGTGCATTGATTTTGGCAGTATTATGCGCGTGGGTGTTAATGCATGTTCAAATTTTACGTATGTGCTCCCGGTACTACCTGCTAAGCTCGAGGTGAAATTTTGCATTTGAGGAGCCCAAAGGCAGCGCCAACAGACCTTAATTGGAATTTAAGCGGAGCATGTCATTCCACTAGAATTTAAACTTTAAATTATGTGCGGTGTTTCCGATCAAACTAACGACAATCTCCTCCATTTCCCGTCACCTTTCGCATCAGGAAGTTGAACAAACAACTTGTCTTTTGATGCAACGCGAAGCGGTAGATTGAGAATATATATGCCAATCAATGCTTTAGATATGTGGACTTGGCAGAGTGAAGTTTGCATCAGTATTCGCTTCTTTATAATCAGATTTGCGGTGAATGGGGATGAGTAAGTTGTGTGGATATCCACGCTCGGATATGAAAATTGATATTGGAATTTGTTTCAGCTGGCGAGAGTTGGTATCGCGAAGGATAATTGGACGTTTCACCAATATACATGTTGATAGAATTAGAAGCTTACATGCAAACGCGGTACTACTTTGACAATTTGTAACACAGATCCACACGTGTCTTTCTATGCAAGTGAAAGTGAAGTCCGTGGCTCACTTAATATCCGTCATCATCGCTGCAAATGTCGACAAAAGTATTTTATATCACAGGCACCTCTTCTGGATTCGGGAGAGACTTGGTATTGGATTTGAATCAACGTGGCCACAAAGTCATCGCCACCGCGAGATCTCTTCACAAGATTGAAGATCTCGCCAAACTTGACAACGTCAAGATACAGCAGCTCGACGTTACAGATAAGCCAGCAATTCTCCAGCAGAAGATCGACGAAGCCATCACATTCTTTGGCAAGATCGACGCACTCGTCAACAACGCCGGCTATTCACAGACCGGTTGCTTCGAAGAGCTCACTGATGCTGAGATCAGGAAGGTGTACGACACCAACGTCTTCGGAACTGTCAACTTGACTAAGGCCATACTACCACACTTCAGGTCCACGGAGACGGAGAGCACGATCTGCACCATCACCTCGCTGGGCGGAACTGTGTCATTTCCTGTGTGCTCCGCGTACACATCCAGCAAATTCGCTCTTGAAGGCTTTTTTGAGGCGTTGGATGGCGAGTTGAAAATGTCACAGCAGCCAGTCAAGGTCCTTATAGTGGCCCCGGGGGCATTCAGGACTGAATTCATGGGCAACATCCAGAAGTCTAAGGAAGACATCGACGCGTACAAGCCCGTGAAGGATTACATTGATACGTCGTTCAAGCAGTTTTCAGTCACCGGGGGTGTCCCTAAGATCGGCGCCAAGTTGATGGCGGATGCGATGCTGAAGGAAGGCTCTGCGGAGGGCAAGGAGATTCCGCTGCGCCTGCCCATCGGCTCGGACGCGGCCAAGTACATGCTCGACAAGTTCAAGAGGGAGTCTGAGGTGTGCGAGGCGTGGAAGCCATACGCGGCAGAGGCGGACGCGCAGTGAGACGTGTACACTTATGATTTATATGCACAAAAATTAAAGAAAAACGACTTTCACGCGCCCCGAATGCAAAAACATTTCTAGGAGGAAGATAAAAGATTTGACAGGAGAGGGATTCGAACCCTCGCTCTTTCGAACACGGATGCTGTCGCCTTAACCGTGCGCCTTAGACCACTCGGCCATCCTGCCTATCCTGAAATAAAACCTTTGCCACATTATAAACCGTTATTGGAGCGGGAGGTTCTGGCAAAGCAGATGTGAGGCAGCGCGGCGCCCATTTACGAGTTTTTTTTTAAAACAGCAATTACGACGCTAGTCAAGAAACGCTCCCAGTAAATTCAGCACTCTCTTTGACTTCTCATGCTCTAAGAAGTATTGATGGACACAGTTTAAACATTTATCGTTTTAACAATATATTTAGATTTCATCATCATCATCATCAGGCGGCGCGGCGGAAGCGTATGTGCATTTGTGCAGGCGGTTGGGCGTTTCCCCTTGGGCGACTGTTTGCATCCGCGAGCACTTTTTTGGGCGGGCTTGACTCCCGCTGCGTCGCGAAGGGAGCGGAGTGCAGTACTGTACGCGGGAATGCGCGTTCGATTAGGGTGCGAAAATGTGTTTTCTTATGCTATGGCGTCATAGCGCCCCTCCCTCTGTACCTTCACATCATACTTTCGAATCAGAGGTTCGTGCAGAGAAGCCTTGAATATACCTTGAATTAGAATATTACTACTACTACTCAACAATGTATAGTTAATTTTACTACCAACACTATTTTATTTTGAGGCACCGCTAAGGAGAGTCCGACGCGCTCTGCTTCTGAAGCGCTTTATTAGCACTCAAGCGTATCACAACACACAACACACAGTACGCACAACTGGTCGTAAACGTAAATGTATCGTGCGTCGCGTAATCTATAAGCACAGCTCTAGTTGATGAGCGAGACTGTGAATATGCTCATGTACCCAGTTACTGGAGGAGTGGTTAGTAAAGTAGCGCCAGTACCATCACACTCACATAGCCCGGTGAGCTTCTCGACCGGAGTATGGAAGTACATGCAAGTGACGAGCAGCATCCAGATCCACAGCACGAGCAGCGCAACTGAGGAATAGACGGCCACTCTGTGTACTGCACTGGCGCCCTTCTGCAGAGGAGCCTTCTCGTTTCTAGCAGAGGCAGAAATAGAATCCGCACCGCTAAAGTGGGCAAAGCACGGCTTGAGAGTGAGGTAGATGATGTAAGCAGAGAGCATGAGGAGGAAAGTGTGCCCAGAGACGTCATGTCCACCAACCCACTTCGCCGATGTGGGTGATGTGGTTGTTGTGGACGCAGATGCAGGAAGCAGCTGGGGATAGCACTCGAGGTGGTTGACAGGGACAAGGAGGGGAGTTGCTGGAGTGCCACCCTCGATACCGGCATTGATGTCTTCGATGACGCACTGTGCGCCTGTCATCAGCCACAAACGGTGGAGGAGACCGTCACCGAAGAACCAAGTTGTGCTGTAAAGTGTGAGTAAGTGTACCATACAAAGCAGACAACGCACAACAAGAACCACGAGCTGGTGGCTGCTACCCAGCGCAAACCACTAACAACGCGCCAACGCTGACTCGTGCTGCGATCGTCGTTGGGCGCTGTGAGTACCAAAGAGAGAATAGAAACGCTCGTCCATCCCCACGCCTTCTTGACGAAGAGCTTGTTGAAGACGTTCTTCCTTGCAGCAAAGTAGGCACCAGATTTGGCGAGAGAGCCGGCAGAGCTAGTATCCTGGAACGTGTCGTAGTAGACGCTGTAAACAGTGCCTAGAAGTACAACTGCCGTGAGTAGAGATATGAAAAGAAGACTAGACATGGTCGTACGTGTGGAAGAACGACGGCGTGCGGGAGTGTTTATGAGAAATCTAGCGCCGATGATACCATTCATCGCTGTCATCAATGCCTTTGATTGGACGCGTCGGTTGTATTACAATGCATGAGCTGTATGGAGATGGCAGTGCGGAGTATTCAGAAGATGCGATGACGCCTCTAAGCCTCTAAACCTTTATGCTTCTACTCGGGATCTGCAGCTGAATTTTCATTTTTACGATATTGAGCACATCAGCGTTATTTCTCGCTTAGGTCATCTCAGCGCAGTGCTTCTTCCACTGCAACCAACACGACAAGAAAATGTCCAACACACCACACGGAAACGTTTTGAAGGTGGCTGTGCTGCTGCTGTAGCCATATCCCACTCATCCGCTCCCTCAGGATCTTCACGTAAGAGACGCAGACAAGCAGGAGCAGCTCATCGCTGAATCTGAGAATCTGCCCTCTGTCAGCCTCACTGAGCGCCAGCTGTGCGACTTAGAACTCATTATGAACGGCGGTTTCTCACCTTTGGAAGGTTTCATGGGCAAAAAGGACTACGACAGCGTTGTTGAGACAATGAGGCTCGCAGACGGCTTAGTATTCCCAATTCCAGTAACCCTTGACTTGGCAAGTGAACAAATCAAAGAATTGGGTCTCGCTTCTGGCTCAAGAGTCACACTCCGCGACCCAAGAGACGAGAACCCGCTCGCTATAATCACTGTAGACGATATCTGGCAGCCAGTCAAGTCAAACGAGGCTGAGAAGGTCTTTGGTGCCGGTGAGAACGACTTGGCCCACCCAGCCATCGCATACCTCCACAACCACGTCAAGGACAGCTATGTCGGCGGTAAGGTACAGGCTGTTAATCCTCCACTCCACTACGACTACGTCGCCCAGCGTTTCACTCCTGCTGAGCTTCGTTCTCACTTCAAGAAGCTCGCTTGGAGAAAGGTCGTTGCCTTCCAAACACGCAACCCTATGCACAGAGCTCACAGAGAGCTCACCGTCCGCGCTGCTCGTCAACGTCAAGCCAATGTTCTCATCCACCCTGTCGTCGGTCTCACCAAGCCAGGTGACGTCGATCACTTCACCAGAGTCAGAGTATATCAATCTATCATGCCAAAATATCCGAACGGCATGGCCCAATTAGCTCTCTTACCATTAGCTATGCGTATGGCTGGTCCACGTGAAGCTGTTTGGCACGCCATCATCCGTAAAAACTTCGGTACCACACACTTCATTGTCGGTAGAGACCACGCTGGTCCAGGCAAAAACAGCCACGGCAAGGACTTCTACGGTCCATACGATGCCCAAGAGCTCGTTACCTCGTTCAAAGATGAACTTAAGATCGAGATGGTTCCATTCCAGATGATGACCTACCTCCCTGAAACTGACGAGTACCAGCCAGTCGATGAGGTACCACAAGGCACCCCAACCGCGAACATCTCCGGCACTGAGCTCCGTCGTCGTCTTAAGACAGGTGCACACATCCCAGATTGGTTCTCCTACGACTCAGTCGTCAAAACCCTCCGGGAATCGTACCCACCAAGACTCCAACAAGGTTTCACTATCATGTTGACTGGTCTTTGGAACTCTGGTAAGGACCAGATCGCCAAGGCTCTCCAAGTCAAGCTCAACGAGCAAGGTGGTCGTTCAGTTAGTTTGTTGCTCGGTGAAACTGTTAGACAGGAGTTATCAACCGAATTAGGTTTCTCCCACGAAGACAGACACAAGAACCTCCAAAGAATTGCATTCGTTTCGGCTGAATTGAGCAGAGCTGGTGCTGCTGTTATCGCTTCACCACTTGCACCATTCGAAGAATCGCGCCAACAAGCACGCAAGACTGTCGAGACTACCGGCGGTGCTGGAAATTTCTTCCTTATTCACGTCGCCACTCCAATTGAAGTGTGTGAGAAGACGGACAGAAGAGGTGTGTACGCAAAGGCACGCAAAGGCGACATCAAGAACTTCACTGGCGTTTCTGATGGCTACGAGGTTCCAAAGGATGCCGATATCACCGTTGATGTTGCTGAGCAACCTATTTCCGAGATTGTGCACAGCATCGTCTTGTTGCTTGAGGGTGAAGGTCTCGTTTAAGGTGGTTTTTATAGACAATTTTAGATGTATTACATGCAAGCAGCTTTTCATGTTATTGAATGACTGGAATTGGGTTGCTAAAATCAAGCATTCCTTCGTTGAATGAGTATTCCTTTTTGAGTGGGCGGTATTAGCGGGATTTACATTGGCATTAGTGGGATTTACTTACCAATCATGAAGGTCTCTACTCACAGAACTTGCAAATCACTCAACCTTCTTTATCAATGGCTGCCCCACCGTCTATTGCCGGTCCGCCGCCAGCTGAATCTGCCGAGTTTGCCTCTGAAAGTCCAGTTAGCGTCACGCCTAGCGATTCCGCGTGATTCCATCTCTTGCTATCGATCGATGATGATGATGATGAAAACTAAATATATTGTTAAGACGATACATGGTTAAACTGCGTCCATCAATAGATAGATAGAAAGAAATCATCATATATAGTCAAGAGTGTTACAGCGATTAATAATCTTCGCCTATCTATACTTCTTGTGCATTGATAGATGACGATTGTAGTGACTCAAAGGGATGCGGTTCTTGGCACGTTTGCCGTAAATTGGGAGGTAACTACGTGAAGCTACCGGAAGCGCGCGGGTGGGTGCTGAACTGGTTTTTGAAGAACTCATAGAGAGATTTGAGAGCTTCTTTATTTGAAATCATGTATTTCATCTCTAATCTTAACCCAATCCATATATCCTCCTCCTCAACGATAATCTTGCTTGATCGAACTTGCTACATCTGAAAATCCTGTGTGTGATACAGTCTACTTCATTGCACTTGCTGCAAAGTGGTGAGTCAGACAATTTGAATCGGAATCGGTAAGACTTGGCAGTAGGGAATTGGCCTGAGGGGATCTATGTGGCCACACTTCGCGTACCACGGGGAAGCTTGTTGAGCATCCTGGCCGCCTGTGTGAAAGTCATTCTACCCATTGCTCTCTCTGCATCTTTCGACAATGGTCCTGGAAAACTACGTGCATCTACTCTCAAGAGAGCAGTGTGTCGCTACGGAATGCGGAGAGAGCCGGCTTGAGAATGAAGTCAACAGAGTTCCTGTTTTCGCCGGTATCTTTTTTTCCTTCATGGGCTTCTTGATCGGCAAGTTCGTTGCCTTCCACATTCATGTGACCCGGGATCCACATCAGGTACGTAATTCAACCGTATAGCCGTTGAGCTTGTTCAACAACAAGATAATTCTACTGATAATGTACTGTGAGGCTTTGGACGTCTGTGAGTGCACGATTGCTGCTAAGACCGCCTGGCTGTCTGTGTATCAGAATAGACGGTAAAATTGCAGAGGTGAAACTTTTGTACCAGTAAGTTTTTATACTACCCATACACGTATGCAGCAATATTATAAGTCAGGTGGTTCCGATATCTCAGGCTGGGAGGTAGTATTGCATGGCTTTTTATATGAATGTGTTTTTATGTATATATCGGTTAAGAAAGATAAAGGATTACAAATTCTGTGCTGGCGAGCGCGGAATCGCCGGAGCAAATATTCAAAGGTGGGGAGAGGAGAGTAGGTGAGGTGAAGTCAGGTGAGTAGGGGGAGGGTCAGTATTTGAGTTGTATGCTTTGCTATTGGGACAAGACGGCTTGCTAAGATTATTAATAGATTTGCTCTGGACAGCAAATATCAGATCTCCGATGGCGCAATTGGCTAGCGCGTCCGACTGTTAATCGGGAGGTTGGTGGTTCGAGCCCACCTCGGAGAGTATATTTTTGCGCGCACTTTTTGATTCGGAGATGCTTCAAGTATTGATCAGATTCGCCTTGACTTAGGACTTTTTCATTGAATTGAATCTACTGTCGTAAAAAAAAACTAATAATTTTTGCCATCGACATTGTCTGTCTGACATATCGATTATGAGAGACAGGAATGCAAGTATCGCACATATAAGTCCAAAAGAACTCTCAAATACCATAAGACACACCCAGATTACACAACTTGATGAACATTTCATCATTGAACCTAGACTTTCATCAGCAAGATAACAAATTTTTGATGGATGGTTTCGTCGTTTAATTATCATTACAGTGGGTTTGCTGTGCCACTCTAGGATCCCTGTTAACAAATTGTCTCTAGACTTCGGCTATCCGTGGCAACATGTGAGTCTGACGATCTTCACTCAAGCATCGCTGAAGGGAGTGGCTGCGTAGGTAACTTCAGCACTATGGAGAAAATACCCAAATCCAAACTCATCTCACGTGAAAAGTGTGGACGTACTCAGTCGATCGATAGATGCGAAGACTGGTGATGTGACCACTGAGAGACTAATCGGTGTTGAGCAAGCGGCGCCACTTTGGGCGATCAAGGTTGGTTTCCTTGGTTTTTTGATAGCCAAGAAACCAAAATAACACGATAAACAGCTCTTCAACTGCAGTTCAACGGCATTCGTGATAGAGAGGCTAACGGTGTCACCTCAACTACAACGAACAACGGCTAGATCGGTTAATCTCTCGCTTAGTGACTATCTGAAGTGCGATGAGACTATCACATATACTCCTCATCCATCAAATCCCGCACTCGCAACGCTCTTCTCCCAGACAGCTCAATTTACTTCAGCTGGCACACTGGGGTGGAAAATGGCAGAGAAGAAGCTTGAAGAGCATAGTGTGAGGCGGTTTAGTGAGAATGCAGGACGAGGGCGTGAAGGTGAGTGGTAATTGGGTTTGAAATTGCGGTAAGCAGCAGGCTAACAAAGCGTAGGATTCGAGTTTATACTTAGAAATTACAACAAGATATAGAATTATATTACGCGCGCTACTACCAGGACACTGCACAGCCACTAGTACTAGTCTAACACTTACCACCACACCAGCCATTCAGTTCATTCATCGTCAATCAAAGCATCTTGTACACCGCGGCCATTTGGCACTAGAAATCCAATTAGACATTCATCCAGCATGTAATCTATGTTGACCCATGCGTGTGTTTTCACTGAGAGCGCCGTCAGCCTGTCTCAAACCACCTGAGGCACCACCTACTGAACAAATCCGTGCCATCCTTACCAGCGATCCGGAGGACCTCTTTATCGCCACCTGGGTGGAATGGCAAATATCGCGTCACATTATACACTTTACCGCTAAAGCTACACCAGATTTCATCATCAACACTATCTGGTTTACGACGGTGCAAGGACATCATTTTAGGTGAAATGGGTACTGGACAATTCCAATCAACCTGTCTAAGATCTTCTGAGGATGATTTCAATTTTGCCCAATCTAAAGGGCCGAAACCGGGCTGTAGGGCGACTTTCTGAGCGGGTTTCTGGGTATTTCTGGTGGTTGTTGGCGGTGGCATCAAGCTCATGATGAAGCAGAGTAATTTTACTTATCACTTGAGATAGTGAGTGTCAAACTCAGACCAATTCTCTTCAAATTCGACAACGAAAGCTAGCGATTGAAAATGGACGACTGGGGTGTGTACGAGGAATTAGCAGACGCTCATGTCTAATCACATCGTCCAGACGCATCCTCATCCGACGAACAACCACAGCAAGCACCACAGCCAGTCGCTGCAGCTGCACCTGCTCGCAAGGGGAAGTTTGATGACGAAGACGAAGAAGACAAAGTAGAGGTGAGTTGTAGGCGCTAACGTTTACTTAAACAAACTCACACTAATTTCAGGACAGCTGGGACGCACCTTCAGAGGATGAGAAGGACGAGAAGAAATCAGCACCTCCAAAGAAGCCAGCCGCAACAGCAGCACCACCAAAGAAAAAAGGCACACTAAAGGCAAAGCTGGCACAAAAGGAAGACGAGCGCAAGCAAAGAATGGAGAAGCAGGGTGAGATTGACGATGGCGATGCTATCGATTGGTTGGAGAAGCAGAGAATCGAAAGACAGCAAGCCAAAGAAAAGGAAATCGAGAGCGATCTTGCTAACGCAGCAGATCTCTTCGCCGGAATGAACGTCTCTCCGTCTACGACTCAAACGCTTAAGAAGAAGCCAACCAAGTTACCTGAATTCCAACAGCTGGCTGCTGCCGTACAGGAAGTATACTTTGCTCCATATGTCACCAACCCACAATACTCTCAATTCGTTACAACGCTCGTTAAGAACCTCGCAGACACACTCAAGGAAAACGAGATAAAGGGTATGGCTAGCAGACTCAACACACAAGCTGCAGAGAAGGCTCGCGCTAACAAGGCAGCTGCTGCCAAGAACAAGAAAACCAAACCAAGTCTTGGTGGTGGTCACACAACCACTGGTACTAGACTTGACACTAACATTTACGATGAGGCGCTAGATGATGGTGATGATGACGATTTGGAGTTCATGTAGATGTATATATTTAGAATTTGCGGCATTTGAATTTGAATGAGTGTGTTATGTCTATAATAAATTAGAAATGGAAATAGCGATTGAGATTGAGTATGAGAGAAATGAGTTTGTCAAAAAAAACATTGAAAATTGTTTCAAGTATTGACTACCCAGACAACATTCGCAGGCCTCACGAATAACGCTTTGTGAGACTGGTTTGGTGTTTCTTGAACGGGTGGTTCGGAGAAAGCAGACAAGCCAGAAGACTTTCTAAGACCATTGCCGCTGCCATTGCCATCACTCCTCTTGTCAATGCGACTTTGTAAGTTGAGGCTTGGGCGTGGCTCCATTGCATTCCACTTCTCTCCTTTGATCTGGAAATGGCTTGTTAGACATATCACGAATAGAGACAAAAACACACATCAAAATAGCGCCTATCTTGAAGTATCCCATCGTTCCATCCAGACACCGAATTCAGCTTCTCTTGGGTAATCTCCTCGGAAGGAATCTCGACGCCGACCCAGGGACCTAATTCATTAGCCAGTGTACCCAAGTATCTGACTAACGCTCTAAATCTAACAAAAGAGCTTGATTTACCTCTGCGTTTTGGTTTACAAGCAACAATGCAGGGTATACCAATACTCAGAGCGACGCCGTTAGGTTCAACGACTCTCCTTGGCGGTGGAATAGTGGGTGCTTGTGTGCTTTTCGACGGTGACTTTTGTGTGCTGTTCGATGAAGATCTCTGTGTGCTAATTGTTGGAGATCTTTTTGTTTCACTAGTCGGTGATGGCATGTCGGGGTGTTCGACAAGTGAAGCCATACTCATCCGAGTCGGAAGTGAGCGTTCAGTGAGCGATAATGAAGGAATACGCGACGGAACACTTTCATTGTCGTCGTCGTCTGTTTCTATGCCTCCCACAAAGCTCAGACTTTTGAGACTGTTGAGGTTACTCCATCTTTGTGTCGATTTCGGAGAGCTTTTGTCACTATTGGATAGTGTTGCACGCGGTGTAGAGTTGACATCTTCTACGATCTCTTCCATCTCACTAAGTGAGGTGGAGTGCGGACGACGTGACTTTTTCTGGGGTGTTTGAATGTCACCTATTTGCTCATTTTCCTTTCCTTCGTCTTGCTGCTCGGAGGGAAGTTGGTCTATTCCTTGTAATTCTTCCTTGTCTTCCTCCTCTTCCATCTCCTTGCCCTCTCTCTGAGGCAAGGCAGCAGACATAGTCCTCGCGTCATTTTTACTGCCTCCCTCAAACTTGGCGGCTAAAGACCTTACACTACTCACCGGTTGCGACTGAGGGCGGGGGCGGCGATGGGGGCCATCAGCGTTATTCGTCATGGTACCCCCTTTCTTCTCTAGTTTTTCTTTGTTGCTTTTCGGTGTCGAAGATTTACGCACGCTTATCGCATGTGTAGGGATAAGACTGGGAGAAGGAGTGCTCATCCGTCTATTGGCAGGTGGGGTGAGTAGACTGGTGTCAGGTTCAGTACGCGTGCCGGTACCCATACCGGTGCTATTTCTTTGTCTGTGCTTCTGATTCTGCTCATCACGACTACTGCTTCCGATACTGCCTGCGCCACTCACACCACTCGAAAGGGAGTGATTGCGCATGAGTTTGGGTATGTGTGAGCTATTTCTTCCATCGCGAGTACTTTGATTCTGCACGCTTTGGACGCTCTGGCTCCGTCTGTGGATATCTTCTGGGCTTTTCGGTTGGGTAGTAGAAGAGGACGTGCGGCTTGGTTTGGCGCCGAAGCCGGAGCGTACTGAAGGCGGTGTTGATGGTGAGTGTGAGTGTGAGTTTGATGTTGAAGATGAGGCTGAACTATACGCTACGGGACGTCTTCCGGGGTATTTGCTAGGAGTATTTTGACTGCTTTGCCTGGTTTGCGTGGTTGGCGTAGTGCGAGGGGATGAATTGCGCATCGCACTCGCTGTCGATGTACCGTTTGGTGTAGACGTGCTCGCGCTTAGGCTACCGGCGCGACGAGGAGGCATCTCGCGCGATACAGCATCTCTAGAAGGACTGGCGCTGACTGAAGCAGTACGAAATGGAGTGGACGTCGTACGTGTGTGCGTGTGAGTGGGTGTGATAATATTCTTGCTACTACCACCACCAGCCGCATTGCGAATCGTACCTGCTGCACTGCGCAATACACTCGCTCTCAACCCATCACTGTCATCTTTACGTCCTGCGTTGACCGGTTTCCTCACCACCCTGCGAGTTGTTTTTGGTGGGGAGGGTGAGGGTGTGTGGGGGGGTGCCTTAGGTTTTTGGGCTGCATTCATTTGGGGTGTTTGAGAGGTTTGTTCAAGTAGATCACTAACTGGCAAGTCTAGTTCTGTTGTTTGGTGTGTGACTCACTTGTTAGCCATCCACTCTCACCAAAAACGCTCTCACTCACCTATGCTCAGCTCATCGAGTGCCCAGTCATCAAGCAAACCAAATCCACCTGCGGGATGCACATTCGAGAGCTTGACGTTCATCCACCTATTCCTCAACACTCCCAGAATCCTCTTGCGCTCCTCTTCGCACGTCTCGCGCGTGCTAGGCGTCAAGCATCTTCCGCCGTCCTGCTGGTGCTGTTGGTGCTCGTGCTCGTGCTCAATTTCCTCCGATCTGCGCAGCACTTTTTGAGTAAAGAGCTGGTAAACCAAGGCGCAATTATCGTCGTTGAGTATCTCCACAATAAGTTCGAGCAAGTGATCGAACGAGTCAGTAGAGAAGCCGACGCCGCGGACGAGGTCCCAGAACGACGGTGAGTCGAGAACGCCGGCGAGATGTTCGCTCAGCACGCACTTGATCTGAGCATCGACTGCGTCAAGCATGCTGTGCAACTCATTCACCCATCCGCTATAACGCATCTCATTAGCAAGACGCTCTCTGGCACAAGCCACGCCACGCATTGTGCTAATCAGCGTCAAAGCCCCAACACCCTCGTTGACACCCTGCACTAACTTTCGACGCGTCACAAGAGGCAGCTCCGCTACATCCCTGTTCCACATATCTCCGAAGGCTTTGGTGCATACTTGGATAGCTGAAGCTTCCAAATCGGGCTCGTTCGTCGTTTCTCTCACTGCAAAGGCGAGGATGCGGGGTATACGAGAGAGACATTGTCGGTAGTTGGGTGTTTTGTGCGCAAACCTAAAGTAGCTGGCCATCTCGGCTATCCTGGCTACAATCTGCTCCTTGAGTGGCTGGACATCGAGATATTCGGCCGCATCGTACACCTCGAAAGCAGTACCGAGGTCGAGGGTGCGATTGGAAAAAACGACCGTTCCAGCGTAAAGATAACCCAACGCAAAATGGAGAGAAGCAGGGGTAAATGGTGGTTGGTGGAGAGTAATTGTGCGCGGTGCTCGTGCGTCCGCGTTTGCGTTTTGAACGGATTCGAAAAAGCCACTGCTGGTGGAGAGAATGTTGGCAAAGTAAGTAGACCGCGAGGCGAGGATGGCTCTATGGGCAGAGAAGGTTGCGTCTATTTCGTCATTGTCTTGTTCGTCAGTGTCAGTGTCTGTGTGAGCGTGTGCGTCCGTAGCCTGGTCGCGATCATCACCAACGAGTATAATCTTGACGTCTGAAAAGAGAGTGGATCTCCACATGTACACCAAATCAAAGCGCATCTTCTGCCGACGTTCGTCGGTGCTTTGTGTATCGACGAGTGGCTGGTCGAATAAAAAATCAAAGCTGTCTCCATCGTCTGCCGTGTATAGGAATTTGAGTGCAGATGAGAGGATAGCAGGGGATGTTGATTGTGGGAGAGTGAGTGTGTTGCACGCTGGATTTGGCGACGGAGATGGAGATGGAGATGGAGATGGAGAGATGGTCGTGTTATTTGAAAATTCGTTTGCAACGCCTCCAAGCCGTGGTAGATACTTGCTCAAGAATTGGCTTGGGGCACGGGCGTATAAGATTGCTACAGGGTCGTGTAAATATAAATATTAATATTAATACACACTCACCCTTATGCGCATACACCAGTTCATCCTCACCGCCGTCCTGTTTCCAGCTTATATCGCTGTATCTCGATTGGGCGTTGGAGAATAAATCAGCGAGATCACTGAGCCAGGCTTCTTCCGACTGGCGCTCGCTGTCCCTTGCTTTGCTCTGCCAGTTGACTGACATGATGGTTGTTTGGCTGAGAGAGCTGAGAGGCAAGCAAACAGACAAACAAAGACAGCGGGTATTATTGGACATCAAGTGAACATTATCTAAACTCAGGGCATCGCTATTACATCAAATGCATTTGCCCCTTAAAACTAAAACAAATTGAAACAGATGAGATAACGTGTGGTAAAATATTCCAAGGCTTTTATAGCGGGTGACTGTGGCTATTGTGGCTGTTGTGGCTGTTGTGGCTCTGGTTATTACTCCATTGCCTCTCGCTCCTACGCCCATATATACTACCAGACGGTGATGTCAGTGCCACAGCGGGCAGCTCATAGCTTGCGAACGAAGGCACCGGTTTACGGGGCGGGACGTGGCTGTAGTGAGAGTTGTAAGTGGTGTTGCTGCTATTTTGTCTGTTGTGGGTGTATTGCGGCTGTGAATGGGTGAAAGTGTGAGTTTGATTAGGAGTGTGATTGTGAGTTTGACTTTGAGCTTGATCTATATTGCTTAGGGTTGGAAATTTCTGATGCTCTGGCTGCTCTGGTGTGCACTTATGCACCACACTGACAGCCTGCCCAAACTCTCTACCCTTCACTTCATTTCCATCTGAATCCTGCGCGCCCCTCTGGCTGTTAACAATAGTACTACCGTCTACATCTTCAATGCTCGACAACTTGCTGAACTGTCTCCTGTCCGAGCTGTCTAGTCTGTTGACTCCTTCTGTGTCAAGTTGAGGGTGTGATTGTGAATGTGAATATGAGCGTGAAAGTGATTGCGAGAGTGAGAGAGAATGCTGCGACCTGCCACGCGAGTTAGAAAGCCACGAGCTGCTACTTTCGTCGAGGGACCGCGACGACAGAGTGGAAGAGTGTGAGTGTGATTGAGCATGTGAATGAGAGCATCTGCCAAAGAACCTTGAGAGTCCATCGAGGCCCCACACACTAAGCATTTCTCTTTGCGTAGCAAATATGACAAAGCTAGACAAAGAATCCGTAGCGGTAAGAATAGCTAAAGATTTATGAATAGTTTTTGTGCGATACTCAACACAAGCAACGACGAGTGTCATAATGATCCACACTAAATAAAGGGCTACGCGGAGGAGAATATCGCCATTAACTGCATGACGCTGCAACTGTGTCTGAATCTTTAGCTGTCTGCGCGCGCTCCGCCCGAGTGAGAAGAAGAGAGCAAGTGCCCACACGGCAAAGAGGACGCAGAGGGCGAGGAGAACGACGACGATGAGCATTGACGATTCGTGAATCGAATTATGAGACGGGTATATCGTGCAGTAGAAGTAGTAGCGTTGCGCGTATACCGGTGCCGCACGCGCTACGGCACAGCTGTACGCTAGCACAGGTAGCACTATCAGCCATGGAAATGATAGCAGGAGCGGGTCCCAGGTAAGCAAGCGCGCGAGAACTTTCACAGGCTCAGCGGCAAGCACCTCAGCAAGCACGGCCCAGATCTGGCGCGGTTGGATTAGATATTGAGACACCTTACATACAATCACCACACACCTTCATCGTCAGCGCTAGAAGCGTACCACCTTGCATTAAAGGAGCGGCTATCGAGAGACACGCACTCGCTATGCGCAATCCGTCGCTAGGGTGCTTGTTAAGTGGCTCACCGGCAAATATGAGCAGCGTATAGCATACTGATGACGCAGCCATAGATAGGAAAAAAACCCAGCTCGATGAATGGCGGTGTATGCAGGTGGAGAGGATGATTGTCAGCGCAAGTAGTACGTGCAGGGGGATGGCGAGCATGTGCAGCACGGCGAATGCAACGACTTGTCGTAACGGCGGGACATCGGGGAGATGTTGGAGAATGAGATGCGTGGCAACGTCTTCAGGGAGACCTTCTAGCTTGTCCATGGCGTGGTGGAATTGATGAGCTGTGACCAGTGTAACTTATCGCGCACAGACGCGGAGTTCTGGGCACAGATGCGATTAAAATAGGTTAAAAAGCTGGGAATTCTGCAGCATCTGTATTAAGGGAGAATTAGGAGGTGTATCATAATTGTGCGATTCAGAGATTGTTGGCGAGAAGCCATGGTGGTTAGCGGAGAGGAGATGAACGGAAGATAGACTGAGTGTGAGCTGAATATGAGGTGGTTAATGGATGCATACTATGCGAAACTTTATTTACGCTCGCCAAACGCATCTCGATCACTGACGAATAGCGGCGGCTAAATCAACATCCGAATATGTGTATGTATAAATGCATAGTGTATAATTATCTGACTAATATTTTATAACATGTTGTGCGAGGTAATCTTAGTAACGAGAAACGGCAATAGGAACGGCAACAGCAGTGGTGATACAACCAGCATCAACGCCTATTCTGGCGGCTGTGAGTGGGGATTGTGAGTTTGAGTATTACTGTGAACGGGGCTACGTGGAGGGCTGTGTTGTATTAAATCAGGGGTGTGAGCGCGTCTGTGAGCGTCAGCCTGTATATGCTGGCTCTTCTTAGCGTGTCGATGTGCCAAGCTATGAGCACGCTGCTACTGCTGCTGCAACGGGCCTGAAGAGGCGCCTGTTGCACCAGCTCCCCTAGACCCGTTCCTGTTCAAAGCCGGTCTGTAAGCAGATGCAGAGGCGGAGGTGGCCGACGTGGGCGAAGGCACGGGTGGAAGTTCATAGCTGGCAAACGAAGGTACTGGCTTGCGATGCGGGATGCTCGACTCCCTCTTATGGCCCATGACCGTGTCTGTGTGCCCCGCGCTACTTGCCTGCCCGTGCGTTAAACTCGTTGCTGGCGAAGAGGGCGTGTAAGTGGGTGTGTCTGTCGGTGTGTGCACTGGTGTGGCGAATGGAGAGGTGATTTCGCCAATTTCGTTCACTTCTGCCGTCTGCGTATGATTTTGGTCGTCGCTGTGGCCGCGACTAGGGATATACCTCTCATTCTGGCCTCTGCCATGTGTACCGTGATTTCCCTGCGACGCCCGCTTGTGAACGACCTGTACTTCATCTTCACCTTCACCTTCTTCACCTCGATCCAAGCCGCCGTAAATATCTGGATCTTTAGCATCCAGTTGTCTGTCTATCTCTCTATCCGAACGCTCAACGTCGATATCATACTCGCTATTATGGAAGTCATCGACGCTAGACAGTTTGCTAAATTCTTTGCGTGACGATGGATCGACATCGACCTCATCCATTTCACGTTCGTTGGTGAGATTAGTGATAGCGCGAGAGGATCTGCGGTCGCTGCTGCCCGTATAATCCGTCGACTGTGTACAGTTGAAGTATCTCGCCAAACTTCCAATACCCCACACCTTGAGCATGTCGCGCTGCGATGCGAAGATGAAGAAGGCTGCAATGGGGTTAGTGCTTACAAGAATGGCGAGTGGGACGTGTATGGTGCGTGTGCTGTACTCGATTGCGGATATAACGAGTGTCATGATGATCCAGCATGTGAAAGTCATTACGCGGAATATGAGATCGGCGTTGATCTCGGAGCTGCCCTTCCGGCGTAAGGTCCTGCTCACGCTGAAGTAGAGGATGGAGGACCATATGGAGAAGATGATTGTGAGAGCGAGCTCGATCATTGAAATAAGCATAGCGGTAACGTGAATGTCGTTCTTCTGTGGGAGGATGGTGCAGTAGAAGTGAAGCCTTTGCACCCAACGGACGTTGTCAGAGGCCACGACAGCGGCGTAGATGAGGATGGGGAAAGTGATAATCCAGGTGAAGGAGAGGAGGAAAGGGTCGTAAGAGAATAGCTTGGCAATTGGGCGTACGTAGCGGGGTTCAACGAGATCGACGAGGACAGTCCAGACCTGTGCGAGCAAGTTAAATTGAGATAATTCAACCAATAAAGACAGCCAAACATACCTTTACAACGAGAGCTAAAGTGACACCGCCTTCAACGGTGGGGGATATGATGGCCAAGACAGCACTAGCAACTCTGACATTGTCAGAGGGGTGCTTGTTGCGAGGCTCACCGGCCCAAATCAAGAAGGAATAACAGAAAGAGGAGAAAGCCATGGCAAAGAAGAAGATCCAGCTTACGGGATGGCGGTGAATTCGTTTTGAGCAAATGATGGTGAGTGCCAGGATGATGAGGAGGGGAATGGCTAAAAGATTGAGGAAGAAGAAGCCAGAAAGCTGAGAGACTGGGGGAACATCTGGGAGTTGACTGAGTATAAGTTGCTCGGCTTTTGCCTTTGGGAGAGCATCTAATTTGGCAGGATCAACGGACATTTAGAATAATTTAGATATAATATAATTAAGATATAATATAATTAAATTCCCCGCCCCTCACTGTAGCTGTACAAGAGTATATTATTCAAAGACAGATTGGACGTTCTTCCCTGGCAATTCGTTTAACCGTAAATCTGTCAAATATATGTAAAAGAGGGGAAGTGGGGAGATGTGGTTGTTAATTAGAAGAGTTAATATTTTAAATTAAATTTTATTTATTTGCTTGTTGTACCTTACTTGTCAGTCACTCTTAAGTCACAATATCAGTGATTCTCGGCATCCACCACACGTGAAAATCCAGTCACCTCAAATTGTTATGGATCTTTAGTGATTGACTGGTGAATGGTAGGCTGTCTTGGTATTTTAAATTACCGCTGTAAGTACTGGTTAATAAATTGAATCAACGGAGATAACGTGGTTTACTCGGCCGGGGAGAAGAACGTTAAACCGCGGACATGACTATCTTTTCCGTTGAGATGGTTGGTGAGGATTGCCAATTGAACAACGAAAGCTGTAATTGGTTTACTGGGGTTGATTTGTTAGATGTTCCAAGTACTCAAGGAAATACACACGCCTCATCAGATACACCATTATCTTCCAATTGTTTACTCGGTGTAATCACATCCATAGTCTCATTATCCAAAGCAAAGTGATGCCATCCACGTGGCTGATTGAGTTCAATATGACGTATCTCTTGTAAATCGCCAAGGTAAGTACCTGCTCTAATTGAAAGAGTTTTAGGTGTATAACTATCATCCAATCCATGATCAAAGTAGATAGACATCTGTGATACACACACCCTACGCGTGAATTGCAATGTAATCAAATGTGGCTGTGGTCCATCACTCTGCCACACTGTTTCAGTGTTTTGATCTCTTAAACATTCTAGTCCATTTCCCTCTTTAAACGAAGACACAGACCAGTGTGCTATAGATGATAGATTGTATTTGGGCATGACTTGGTAGTTGGTTGATTACTTTATATTTTATATTTATACGTGTTTTGTATTTATACGCGTATTGCAACGCGCATTTGTATTTATATCTGACTTATACTGTGACTCACCACACCACCCCACTCTCACCCGCAAATCTTCCACCTTGCGTTCTCACTCAGACCATGTCTAAACTAAATGCACTCGATGATCAGCGTGGGAGGGTTGTTACTAACGAATACACTCACAGCTAATATTTATGCAGGCATCAATCAAATTAGACCTCTAATCCCTCCACAAATTCTCTATGAAGATCTTCCACTGACCGATGAGCTAGCTGAAGTTGTTGAGAAGGGCAGAAAGCAAGCTGAGGCTATTGTGCGAGTGAGTTTCACTTTTTATTTACCCACACACACACAACTTACTCACAATGCCCAGGGAAATGACGACAGATTACTCGTAATCGTTGGTCCATGTTCTATGCATGATCCTGCTGCTGCTTTGGATTACATCAAGTTACTCAAAGACTACGCTGATCATGCCTCAAACGACCTCTGCATTATCGCCCGTACCTACTTCGAGAAGCCACGCACTACCGTTGGCTGGAAGGGATTAATCAACGACCCTTTCCTCAATGACTCCAATGAAATAAACAGAGGTCTACGTATTGGTAGGAAGCTCCTGCTCGATATTGTATCTCTCGGTATGCCCACTGCCTGTGAATTCCTTGACACTATTACCCCTCAATTCACTGCAGACGTTAGCTCATGGGGCGCTATTGGTGCCCGTACCACTGAATCTCAAGTACACCGCGAGCTTGCATCTGGTTTGAGCATGCCCATCGGCTTCAAGAATGGCACCGATGGTAATATTCAAGTGGCCATCGACGCAATTAGATCGTCGCGCTCCCCTCATACTTTCCTCTCAGTGACCAAGCAAGGCTTGGCTGCTATTGTGGAGTCTCAAGGCAATCCATACGGCCATGTCATTCTTCGCGGTGGAAAGACACCTAATTACGAAAAGCATTTTGTTGAAAGCGCAGCAGAGCAACTACACAAAGCTGGTCTTACTAATAAACTCATGATCGATTGCTCTCATGGTAACTCTTCCAAACAACACGCTAGACAGTGCATCGTGGCTGATGACATCACTCAACAACTCAGCGCGGGTGGTGAGCATGCAGAGCGTATAATGGGTGTCATGATGGAATCTAATATCAACGATGGTCGTCAGAACATGCCTGAGGGTGGTCCAAACGAGTTGGAGTATGGTGTGTCTATTACGGACGCTTGCATTGATTGGAGCACAACAGTCAGCACACTCGATAATCTTCGCAATGGTGTACAGCAACGTCGTCAGAATAGAAACAATTAGTTAAAGTATTTATATTCCCATGGATAATGCATTAAATTGAGTAATGTGTTTGTGAGGGGCCGTAAGGGGTAATTAATTTATCTCTATATAACACAGCTTTTAATTATTACTCACTTAAACTTATTCTCACGTCTTGATACTTGAACCCAATTTCACTCCACTCGCTCACCCCCACATTCCCCTTCCATTTCAAACAAACACATCTTGCGCAGCAACCATCAACAACAACAGCACCATAAATGGCACAAACACAAACGCAATCACAAGCACGCCAAACACACGCTTCAGAACGCTACGAAACAATCCACCGCCTCCTCCAAATCCCTCTTATCAGGGATGGATTGGAGTACAGCAACGACGTTCTCCAGCGCTATCCACTGGCTCAAAGAGCGTGGTCGACGGGCTATGGCCTGGCAACGGGTGTATCGCTCCCGCTGCTCAACGGCCCGCTCAACAAACCCGCCCAAATGCTCGACATATACTCGCTCCACCTGCTCGAGTACATCGCTAGCACGTTCCCGTACGCCTTCCAGAAGAATACGGGGGAGGTGTACCACGACGTCAAGCAGCCACTTGATACGGGCAAGCAGCGCATCAATGCGGACATAGTAACCCCGGCGCTCCTCCACATTGAGAACCTCGTCCATCGGTTCATACCGGCGAGTGAGCAAAAGGATACGCGCGACCTCTCTCCAGCAACGCGCACTATCCTCCTCAAAAACGAGGTCACGGACTACCTCACCACCGTCAGCACCGACCAGTGGAAGAAGCTGCGTCAGAACGAATGGGTCGACCACTACGCTGAATTCGTTGCTGATCAGACCTCCTCTTTTCTCAAGGCCGTCAGCGAGTCCAAGGAGAACGTCGAGGGGCGCACCAACGACCTCCTCAATATGCTCCGTAGCGAGAAGGAGAAGATCGAGGGACGCGTAGCTAGACTCCCAACCGACGCTCGAAAGCGAGTAGAACCCGCTTTCCAAAGAGTCGAAAACGCCTACAAGGAAATGACGATACTCGCGAGTGATGAAACTATCCCCGCTAGAGACAAAGCAACGAAACTAGGCGACTTTATTACTTGTAATGGTGTGTATTGTGGGTATTAGCTGTGTTACACTAACTACCTCCTCGCAGCCGTTCCCGTCCTCAAGTCCCTCCAGGAAATGCTCATCTCCACCGAAAAGGAGCTCGAAAAGACGGTCAACGATCAGACTGAGAAATTTGACGAGAAAAAGGATAAAGGGGACGTTAGATCTGTTAGATCTGCTAAGAAGGGTAAAGGGAGTAGTGACGGTGCGTGAGTGTTCAGTATATCATCGTTTGTTTCTCGAATAGGAAGCAACTCAAGTAATTTTACACAGCTTTTCAACTTTTTTCAAATCAGATAATCAAATAATTACAGCATCTCTATTCTCACTCTTCTCATTCTACTAGCACATGATTCGTCAACGTCAACCATCTTGTACAGCCACCGAGCCAGTTCTGTTGTATAGTTGTATGAATATACTTTTGTCACACCAATCACACTCGTCACACTCCTCACGCCCCCATAAACAAGAATGCAAAAAGAATCAAATTTACAAACTTGCAAACTTAACGGTCTTTGACAGTAGAGAAAGGTTGAAGCCACTCAATTTAAGCACGTGGGGCACCACGACCGACACCGCCCTGTAGAGTTTCTTGTGAGTAAAAATCCACCTCAAAAACCATTGCACTTACGAAACGTGGACGGAAGCCAGCATCAGCACCCTCCTTAGCATCAGCACGACGGTAAGAGTCACGGTCATCTCTGCCACCCTTGAATGCCTCTCCTTGCTGTCTGACCTGTGCTGGTCTTGCTGGTCTAGCAGCCTTACGGTGAGTGTTTGGTACAATCTCTGAAGGCAAGTGGAGGAACTCTCTGAGGTAGTCTAATCCCTCTGGTGTGAGAGTGTAGTAGAACCATTGCCATGAGAATTGGGTCTTAACGAATCCCTTGCTAGTGAGCGATTGCATCAACTTGATTACCTCGAGGTTAGGCACGTTGAGCTCATCGTGCTTGATTTCGTAGTCCTTCTGAGCGACGATTACTCCTTCCTTGAAAAGGTTTTCGAGGATTGCTCTACGGTTTTGCTGTGTGGTGTGAGTCTGTGATGTAGTGTGATTCTCCCACTGCCCAACTCACCTTCGAGATAATCATGCTGCTAGAAGACCGCCTGTAACGCTATCAACATTTATTCTACTCCTCTCTCTTCAAACTCACTGAGATTGTCACTGAGGAAGGCGAGGGTGAGGCGCTTAAAATTCATCCTACGACAATTTCTAAAAATTTGAAATTCACAGGTAAGTGGTAGTATTTGACGGTTTTTGTTGTGAGTATATTGAGAGTCTTCTAATGCTCTTTAAACTTGCTTTTCAAATGCATTTCCACATCTCCTCTTATAATCACCACAACGTATCTGCAAAACATGTTGATAAATATACACGTACGAGCGCTTACAATCCCATCTTATGGCGCAACAGCACGCCTGCAACCATCAGCACCAACTTGATCCTCTTCCCGTACCTCTTCAGCGCCAGATGCAGCAGCGTCACCACCAGATCCCACATGCGCGGTTTGGACTGCACGCTCAGCTTCCCCGTGCGTCTGCTTATAGAATAGATGGTTCTGTACTGAGTCTGCGTGTTAGATGGGCCACCTCGCTTTCTACACCCACCCCATACCGCGGATTGAGGTAGCTGTACCGATCTAATGTGTTTCTGGGCGTACTCACTGCACTTGCGATTGCGCTTGAATGCAGTGACCGCGACGGCGTCTCGCTCTCACTCTTCACACCCACTCCCATTCTCTCTTTATGCCACGCGCTGATCTGCTCGCTGTAGCTGGTTAGGTCGCTGGGAACGAAAGGCTGGCTGCTATTGTCGTTCATTCTCCTACCCCGCTTTATCTGCAGCTGGAAACTCTGTGTGTGGTTCATCACACTGAGGTTGGTATATGAGCTGTCTGGGGTCTGCTTGGGGGTATACCACGGTGTGCTACTCGACGTGCTCCTCTTAGCCGCCGTAAAATGCACCTCTGCCGGCGCAGATGTGGTCGCGTAGTCGGATATTCTGTCGTGTCTTCTCTCGCCGCCGAGGTCTGTATTTGTGTGGTTGTGTGAGTACTACTCATCGTCCAACGACACACCCACAAGTCGGCAGACTGTCCATCTCGAGCAGTTCCCCCATCCTGTCCCTCCCCACGAACGAAATCCTATCGACAATCTTCCTCGGCAGCAGTGGTTTTGCCATTCTCCACAGCGCATTAGTCCAGAGTTTGCTATTCACTATGACGACTGTCGGCGTGTTAGTGTTTCTTCGATATCTTAAACACTTGACACACTCTGTTTGCTCGTATTCGGGAAGTGCACGGAAATAATATCGGCGAAGAATCTGACTATGTCGTAGTGTATATTCGCCATGCTCGCGTGTGTGGCATCGACCACCGTCAGGAATTCCACACATGGCTCTCTTTCGTTCTCCCTTCCCCGCCCATTTTGCGCCTGCATCAACCTTCGCCCCACTTCCCATATGTACAGCACGCTCTCCTTGATTTCGTCGAACGCGTCGTCGTCGTGTGTGCCATATGTCTGCCTGGGTACAACTTGCGAGAGGGTGACGACAAGCACAAGTCTTCCGAGCCTGTCTGTTGCGTCCTTTAAGAAATATGCTACTGGCGGGGGTGACGCGTCTAATTGTTCGTCCTCCGCGCTCTCCCGGTCTCCCTCACCAACCACACCACCCGATATAAGGCTCAGCAGCGACGGCAATTCGAGACGATCAAGATTGGACTGGAGACGTATACGCAGATGCTCCTTGATGGCCTTGTACGCGGCATCCCCATCGTAGTGCGCTTTCTGTATACGTCATGCGTTATCAGCTGGTGATGTAACCGTGAACGCAAACCGAAGCTCACCTTGAGGAATCTGAAGATAGAGCCTGTGGGGTGGGTGTAAGTGCTTACTACTCTCGCATCCACTCTGCCCACCCTTATCGCGTAGGAACGTCGCTGATCTCTCGCGTACGTCGTCCATCTCCATCTCCATCTCCGTTTCACTCAGCTCTCCTTCTAGCTCGTCCACGCAGCGCCCCAGCAACTCACTCTGCAACGCTTGCACTGCCTCTTTGTTCTCGAAATATTCTTGAGCCTGCGTTGTCATCATGTGATGGCTGTTGCTGTGAGAGATATTCGAGAGATATGAGATGTACTGTTGAGATACACTTTTGAGATATGTTTGGATATTACAAAGCCACACTATCGATCCATACAATACAATAACAGAAAAAAATACCATCTGTACAATTTTCACATGTAAAAATGATTCAATATTCATGGTTGTAGATTAGAAAATCAAACATAAGATGTAGCAAGAATCTAAGTTGCGGTCATTTCCACTTCAGACGCGCACCAGCTTCACCCAAACTAGTCTTGTGTCAGATACAAACTTGCTGAGGCCTTGAGGGGACCACTATAAAAAGACGCAACTGTATGATGTCGTTGGGGAAGCAACTTGGACTATTTTTAAAAGCTGTTGCGCTGGCGCGGTGATCTCATCAGTAAACGAAATTTTGCTGTACTTGATAGCACAACCCAAAGATAACATCAAGATTGGATTTTATCATAAAAGACGTATTGCGATTATTCTAGGTAACAGAGTTTCAAAATAATATTAGAACAAGAAAGTAACGCGTGTAAGGGATTAGCAAGATATAGCCAAGTTAGCGAGAAATGATTTGCAGTGCATGAATTATCAGAAAACTTGAAAAAACGCAAGGTCCCAGTCTATGAGACAGAAAAATTCGAATCAATGCCAACTCGACATAATGTGATTTTGATAGCGACAACACAACGTCTAAAGTAGCATTGATAGTTAATGATTTGTCAAAGTAAATTAATGTCAAATTAAACCTTCAAGTGTTTTTGTTGGGTTAACTTGATGAAGAAAAAAAAAGTGAAAAAATGCGAGAATACGACTTCTCGCGATGCTGAGGATATTATGTTTCAATAGAGGTTTACCTTGGGACTTTTTTATAAATATTAAATAAACCAGAGTCTGATGATGAGCTGTGCCTGGTTTGAAAGTAAACTCTTTACTATCAAAAGATATGACAACGTCTAATGAGAAAACAAACATTCCACCGAGAGTGTAAGCAGAGCTGAATGATGAAACAGATGTAGAGTGTTTCAAGAAGCGTTCCCCAATTGGCTATTTTCTAAAATTTTAGGTGATTGTGATCCCAATAATTCAATTAATTAGAGCATCGTCTCATGAAACACTGCAACTCTTACAACCGCCAATGCTGCGCACATTTTCGTTGCTGAAGTATTAAGGTGTTCATTGCAGATTAATCAAGCATGAAGCTATTTAATGGGTAATGCTTTAGCCCATAAAGCTATTCACCGCGTTCGTATATGTCCAAGTTGAAAATGGATAGAATATTGTTTAATAACCTTGAATAAACCGTCGTCACCTTCACTTCACTAACAACTGCAATAATTGAGCGTATTTTTGACAAGAGATTGCAAAACCACTGATCAATCACGTAAGAAATTTATTGGGGATAAGATTTAAGAGACAACTGTTTCATTTCTGAAAATGCTGAGCTCAGCTGGTCTAGTGTAATTATGGCTGCTCTGAATGCTTCGATATTATGGAGTTCAATGCGATTTGGACTAAGCAAGATTCTAGCCTGGCATTGCTCGAAACCCATATTTTACTAAATTTCTGAATCCAGTCTCTAAATCTGCAAAGTTTTTAGATGAGAGGGGTTTACGACGTCGCTAGCGGAGAATCTCGAGAGTGCCATGACTACTGATCATGTCGCTCATTGGACTTAATGATTTCAGAGTTGATATCGGTACATGATGGATGTCTTTTTCTTTAATTCTTAAACTGTCTTTTGATCTGATACCTGCAAATTAAAAATGACAAGTGTATCAAGCTTGCTCAGTTACGTTCCACCTCCACCACAGCGAAGATCATATCAAATTAATCATATTCATTATACAAGATGTGTATTTCGATTATTCTAATTTCTAAAATTTCAAAATAGTATCAGAACAGTAAAGCAACGTGTGTAAGAGATTAGTGAGAGAATGTGAAACTAGTGAAAAATGGTAGGAATGCGTGAAATATTAAAAATCTTGAAGAAAACGCGAGATCCTATTCTACGCCTTCATAGCTGCTCCATCTTGAGAGCTTCCGTCAGGTGAATCCTGATGTTGTCTCTTCTCAATATCCGCGTCTATACCAGACAAACCGAATCTGTCAAGTTCACTCTTGATCTCATCTTGAGAGAGCTTTGGCATTTCTTCAGCGACCTTCCAGTATGTCCTACCCTCAGTGTAACCAATCGCGAAGATGATATCGATTTCCTCCAGCGATCTACCGGCAGTCTCTGGATAGAAGAAGTAGATTACGGGAACAAAGAGAAGACAAATTGCACCTGATGTAATGTTAGCATACCCGAGCGAAAACTTTAGCTAACCCACCAAAGAACGCAAATGTACCGAAATCAATACTAGCAAGCATTGGAGGTGTCCACTGCACCACAGCAAAATTCCAACTCCAGCTAGAAGAAAAATTTAAATGAGCCATTTGACGTTGAAATGGGATAAAACTTACTTGCTCATGGTGGAGATGGCGTTGGCGTTGGTGCGGATACGGAGAGGGTTGATCTCAGCAGGGTAGAGCCAAGGGAGCTCCAGCCAAGTGGCACCAAAGAAACCTAAGAACAAGAACATGCCAACGACGGATCCCTTGATGACTTCTTGAGGGTCTTGCCCGGAGTAAGACAAGCCTTCGTTTACTCTGTACTGTGGTATCATACATGCCATGATCAGAAGCATGGAAAGACCCTGGCCGACCGAGCCCCACAGGAACATCTTGCGTCTGCCAACGTGCTCGACGAGCCAGTAGGAGCTGTAAGCGCAGAGGGCGTAGACAGTGACGTTAACACCACCGAGAATAAGCGCGAGATTACGGTCCAAACTGAGACGGTCTTCGAAGATAACTGGCGAGAAGTAGATGACTGCGTTGCAACCACCAATCTGGGAACTCAGGGTTAGACCAGAGTGTTTTAAGATGATATATACGCACCTGCTGGAAAAATTGGGAGTTAGCTCCAAGCCAGACTCTGCGAAAGTGCTGGGTCTTGCCACCGGTGAACACATCTGTCTTCTTTGCCTTGATGGCCGACATCGCCTTGACGGAGTCCTTAATAATCTGTATTTCTTGGATGGCAATCTTGTCGGTCATTGGGACGTTGTTGAGGGAGGCGACAACGCGCGCTCCTTGCTCTTCGTAGCCATTGACGAGCAACCAGCGTGGCGAGTCAGGGAGGAAGAATGCACCGGCGAAAAGACCGAAGGCGAAAACAATTTGGAAGGCGATAGGGAATCTCCAAGAGACATCCATAACATCACCATCGACGAAGGAAAGACCAAAGTCAATCCAGTATGCTATGACGGTACCAGTTGCAATCATAGAACCCTCGATACAGACGAGAAGACCACGGTTGTGCGACTTGGATGTCTCAGCCTGCCATGAGGGGATGGTGGCTGTGTTTATACCATTTCCAATTCCCGTAACAACTCTACCAACACAAAATTGTGCTTCTGGCGTGGAGCCCTTGTAGCAAGTGACCTGAATAATTGTACCGAGAACCATGATAAGTGCCCCAATACCCATCATTTTACATCTACCAAGTTTGTCACCCAAAAAGAGTGCACTCGCGGCACCCATAAGACATCCGATTTCGTACTGGTGGGGTGTGAGAAAATGTCTGATATAAATTAAAACCCACAATTGAAGTGTATGTAGCTTGAATAATAGAAGCTTGTTCATCTGCTCCCTGAGGATCGCCCTGATAGCCGTTTTCAAGCTGCCAGTCTTGACTGACTCTTGGAAAAACTTCTGCAAACTGTTTCGCTGAAATGATACCAGACATAACACCTTGATCTGTTGCAGGCGTTAGCATGGCGCAAACAGTAAGCAGATAGTCCCCCACCGTAACCGAAAAGGAGGAAACCGGTGGTGGCCGTGGTTGTGATTGCAGCAACCAACTTGTTACCTGTTAGCCCCATGAAGGTGGGCACACCTGAACTATTCTCTGCTGGTCCTGCTTTCTTGAACATACTTGCCTGCTGCCTTGTGAGCTGGAGTAAAGTCTCAGTTAAGAATGACTCACAATTGAGTGTTCGTAGTTCAAGTTTAAGAGAAAGAGGGAATCGAGGTCCCAATCAATATTTCAATCAGGTGTCACGAGGCTGAAATTTGCTCGTCAGGAACAGTACCACATGAGCCTCCTATGCAATAACTCGGTATTGTATATGTGTAAAAAAATGCAATTTGTATTCATTTATCGTGTGAAAATAACCATGTCTTAATGCAACCTATTGCAGCCTAATGCAGCCAATCGAGTAAGTCCGGGAACCGGCCCAAACATACGCACCACTCTAATTTTTAATAAAATGGCTCAGTAAACACTTAGAAAGATTCTTTGTAGAAGCTACCTTGTGTCAGCCTGTCACGCTGTCACAGTGCATGCTCACCTGAACTCGACCTCCTCGTCCTTCCCCACACTTTTAATAGCTTCCTGAAGTGACTTACCGAGCGGACCAGGTCCGCAAAAAAAGGTGGCGATATTCGTTTTAAGGCGTGCTTCTCTGCCATGGATATATGTGGAGTCTGCCTGGGTAATTGAGCGCTTCAACTCGCTATAGATGTGCCTCCAATCAGGCCTCCCGAATCGTGTGCGAGCTCTGAGACTTGTGAGTGGGTCAGCCTTGGCGCCTCTGAGACTTATGAGTAATATTAGTAAGCTATTTGCAGCACCTACACATCATTCAACGTTATGTTGTGTATCATGTCATCTTCCCATCTTGTGAGATAGATATTGATCGAGATAAACGACGAGTGCATTTGCTGACCCTCCTCGATTGCTATAAGAAGTTTCTTAAACCATATAAGAGATCTTTTCGGAATCATTGAGTCAGTGGTGGGGCCTCGTATCGTCTCGTACCTGGCTTACTCGGTTTCACGGCAAATCCAGTAGAACTCGACTCGTTTAAGAGTTCCGAGTTGGTCATTCGCGTTGCGGTACCTTTGTGAAATATTGAGATTAACCCAAAAGGGCAACTCAACCCACCATAAACTCTTCAATATCGAGGCGAACGGGGTCACGCCGATACCCGCACCAACGAGAACGACCACCTCTTGCTTGAGTGCGTGCTGTAGTAAATTATTGGTAATTAATGCACACTCCGCCAACGTCAACGTCACGTACATCTGCTGGTGCACCGTATGGACCGTCCACCAGGAATTTCGGCATCTTGCAGTTGCATATGACTTGTGATACATAATCAGAGCTCAAATCATCCTGCTTACCGGTGCCGCTATTCATAGCCACACCAAATAATGCGCCCAACGACTTGCTAAAGTCACCGACCTGTCTTACGTGTACGGATATGAACTCATCTTCAGGTGCGCTGTGGCTGATTAGCTGGTAGCAACTATGCAAAACTAAACTTACGATGTGATTGTGAACTGCAAAGAATTTCAGCACGTCCAAAGAGCAAACCACGTGGTGTGACCTACTGGATGCCACTGGAACTTGGATATCTCAGGAACTTGAATCCAAATATATTGACCACTCTTGTATCTAAATGTAGGAGAGGATTAAGAGTGTGCTCTTGATTTCTCCTCACCCCACTCACTTCAAAGATGGCTAGAGATGCTATGTTAATCGATATGACATAACGCCTTGAAAAAAGCGCACTTTTGCAAAACGTATCTCAATCGTGTTTCCAGGATGAACAAGTACTTCTGTAATGTATGTTTTGAGGAAACGTGCTCGTGCCTCCCTAAACAACCGTTCAAAGATGTATGCGATAAATGGCCACTGTTGTAATGGTTAGAGGGGAGTGAATATGCGTATGATCCGCACAATAATGAATCTCCAGCTACGCAAGTGTCATTAGGCATAAAATACCCTTAAAACACACTACACCCACCTCTCATAACCCAGACAATGCTCAGTTGAATAGTAAGGAAAGTAACTACGGAAGTCAGGTGCGGGTGTGTCACGCACGAAACATCCAGTCGCGTGTGTGAACAGAGCGAGCATAAAAACCAGTGCGCAAACTTGATGCGTATACCAAAACAGCTCAAACTTCTGATGCCTGATAGACGCATGTGCTGTTGTAAACATGATAAACATGGCGAGTTGCCTAAAGCTCGGTAAGATGCAAATCTTGTGAATCGCTGCACTTGCATGATATGTCCTGTTATACCGCCCGCCTGTGCATAGTGGATCTGCCAAGCCATGACGGGACGAAGTTCTGAGAGTGAACTTAGAGTGTGCTTTTGGGAATAAAAAATGCCCGCTCTCACGCATTCTCTCGACATTGATAAAGTTTACCTGCTCACATCAGCTGAATAGGAGGAAAGCCAACTGACACCAACATAGTGTGATGTGACGTGAATAATGGTAAATAATAGGAGCATGTAAGCAACCTGCTTGTGAAACCAGCTTTTGTTGCTATTAGACGGCTCTTGTAAAGCTCGTATCACGTACACAGGCTCATCAAGTGGAATAACCGAACCGAAACAGGAACGAATGACATGAATCAGATTCTTGAGCACTGCGGTGTTATCAGTGTGGATAACACAAAATGCCTAAAATGCCCACTCGGAAGCAGAATCAATCCGCCATCCAGTGCAAGCACCAGGCCTGCGCCTCTGCTGGCCCAGACAGAGATGCCGAGCTTGTTCAACCCAGCCAGCCGTTCGTTAGTCTGCTGTGACCACCATCCGTAGACAAACTAGTTTGCTGTGAGCTGTGAGCCTCTCATATCCCGCGTAACGTACAAGGCCGAGATGGACACCGTAAAAGGCGAGCTGGAACACATTAGACAGGCATAGCGTAAGCGCGGGCCACCCACGTAGAATGCCACCACTCTCGTCATCAATCTGGCTTTGATAGTCCTGAATATCTTCATCGTGCTACGTCTAGGCCACGACACACAATGAGGGTGCTAATATGTGAAAATTTTGACATACATCTAGGACAATAAACATACAAGAACGTGCTACTATAATCATTAGAGTTAGTCGGAGTCGCTGCCGTAGCTAGCAAGGCCGCCCAGTCCACCCACTCCACTCAATCCACCGGAAGGCGGCTGCGCTACCGCGACTGCTGTTGGCTTGGTTGCGCGCAGCTGAGCTAGCTTGTTGATAGCCTGGAGGGATGTGTTTGATAACAAGCCTTGGTTTGTCGGTTGTTGTGGAGGGTGCGAAATTGCGTCATTTCCGCTTGCATCTTCCTCACCCTCAACCTCACTACCTTCACCATCTGCAATCTGCTCGAGTGGCGGCGGTGCTGGAAGGCCATTCTGCAGCGCCTCCATCTGCCTTGTGGCATGTATGAGCTCCGTATCCATAGCCAGCCTCTTGGTGACCTTCTCTGAACCCTCCTCGGCAGCTCTCTTGCGATCTTCCTCGATGGCGTCTGCCTTTGGGTCCTCAGTGGCCCACCTCACGTTGAGCGTCTCGCCTTCGTCGAGCGACTGACTGCCCATGGCTTCCTTTGCGAATTGTGCATTACATTCGTTCTTAAACTTGACAAATCCACATCCTCTACCATGCAGCACTCTCACCTTCTCGATCTCACCAAATTCACCAAAATGCTTGATAAGCTGGTTCTCCCCTCTACCCTCACCATACTCAGCCATTCTACCGATATAGAGGGTGGAGTTTTGTCTACTAAAGCTACCAACACCGCTCATGTCATCACGGTAGTTGGCGTGCTTCTCTCTTCCGAACACATCTCTGGACAAGTCATGTAGGATATTTTGTGGACGTGGCAATCTATGCAAATACTGGCACTGAGCGCTAAGTAAAAAGGGTGTGTAAGTTTGCGCTCCATCTCCAATTCAAATAACTCACCCTAGTGGACAGCATCCTCTAGCGAAGAAAAGGCAATAGGTTTTAGCACCGCTAGCATCTGCGCGTGTATATCCCGAGTCCTTGGGTACGTCTAGCCTCGTTTGGGCGTGTTCTTTGCTGAGGGAGAAATGTCAGCTGCAACCACACAACCAGCAACGCTACCAACGTATTTGTAGAATCCTCGTAATCACCGCCTGCCCATTTATTGTACCAGATATCTATCAGGCTCGTCAGCAACCCATCTCTCCATCTTCCATCTCTCACTCACTGTACGTGAATCCAGTCTGCGCAATCTCCGGCTTCTTAAGCTGCCCAGGCTCAACCTGTCGCCTGGCGGGCTGCACTAATCTCTTGGGTTTTGGCTGCGAGGTGCTCATGGCCGTTTGCGGAAGAGAAGGTTGATCCCAATCTCCCAAGATACACAACGCGATGCCGCCCAAAAGACCAGCTGGATTGGGTGCTGCCAGTAAAGCAAAGAAGAACAAGCAGGATGAAAGCAAAAATGAAGACACATCAGTACAAGTGCAACCTACAGCGGCACAAGATGATGAGGATGGAGATAACTGGGCGGATCTGGTAGAGCTTTGGGAGAAGTGCAGCAATAGCTTACAGAGTGGGTTAGTTGCGCGGAAGAAACTTCTCTAACCAACGCTATAATGTCATCAGGCAGTGAGCCAGCTTCAAGCGCACCACTACTGCGAGGCGTGCTTCACGAGACTTCACGACTCGGAAATATGCATGGATCCGATCTGTCTGGTTTCCTTACCGAGAACGACAATGGCCAGAAATATCAAGTGCCCTTATCGCACTTCAGATTGATATTGGCTTCTGCAATGCTGGAGTTGGGAATTTTGATAGCAGCTTCTTCCCATTTAGGTGCAGGTAAGAGTCTAGCAGCCACAGGTGAACCCAAAACAGGAACACCGTTCTTCTCTAGAGCATACTCAGTCGCTCAGACAATCGAAGACAGTGCTTTCTCAAAAGATAGCGAAATTGTGGCTGGTAGAGCAGCCGCTGAATACCTCAAAGAACGTCTAGAGAGTGAGCCAGAAGATGATGCAGACGACGAACTCAAACATGAAAGCAAAGAGCAAATTCTCACTATCGCCAAAGAAAGTCTAGTCAAAGGTGACATGGGAAGCAGATCTTCTTCACTTCTGCTTTCAATTGGATCCTTGCTTTCCACCCTTGAAGAGGAAATCATAGATCTCAACTCACCATCCACTGCGGTCGTTGCCTTTACAAGTGCGTTGAAAGCCGCTGAAAATACACAGGCCAAGTTTGAATCTCTCGTCGGGAAAGCTAGAGTTTTGGTGTCTCGTGGTAGTTACGTAATGGATAAGATCTTTGATGAGGAAGATACGTTTGGTGACGAAGACGTCGAGGAGTACATTAAAGCTGTGAAGAATGAGTTAAGAGAAGGTGAGTGCGTTAGATCCAAACCTATCTTTAGCTCAATTCTCTCAATCAACACTAGCAATCAGTAGTTTGGAAGATGCACAAAATATGACCGACGATATAGATGTTGGTGAAGAAGAAGCCGAAGAACTAACGTCACTTGTGGGTATATTTTCGACAATTTTATACACCTTCCTCACACTCATCATAACAGCACAAAGAGGCAATGATTGTACTTGCTAATATTCTACCCGAGGGTAAAGAACAAGAAGAGCTTTTCAATAAAGCGGGGGTGGAAGACGACGAGGAGTGAAAAATAGTTACTTGTTTTGTACCTAACTTATGATGAAAAATGAAGCTTTAGAGGTGATCCAAGGGAGTGCATTTTACAGGAACATATTGCGCAACTATATCACAATGTACAGTCAAAAAATGCTCACTCCACCTCCATTCACCCGTTGCATCATCCTCGCTTCGGTAGCTATTCGTCATGACCAGTATCCTAAGAAATGGAAAAAAGTTGCAAATTCCAAGCATACCTAAGCCCAAGAAATCCAGTAACCAAAAGGAATACACTCACGATCAAGCCGTCGAGCTAGTAGCCTCATTCCTAACTCAAGATATTGCGAGAGGGAAGACGGCGATACTGAGCGGGGCGGGTGCGAGTGTAGAGAGTGGGATAAGATCGTACAGAGGAAAAGAAGGACACTACGAGTTACACAAAAAGTAAGTTGCATGATGTTGTAACGTTCGCCACCAGTAAGCTAATGCAGGGTTTAGATATCGACCCATATTCTATCACGAGGTTAGTTGCTGAGCGCATGCTGAGAAGCCATTTGACCGATTGTAGTTCATCGAAGACTCAGATCAAGGACGTCTATTCAGGCAGCGCTATTGTGAGTGCTGATTACCGTGTCTTCTCGACACAGTTGACGAGATAACTCACAGGGGCGCGATCATTTTTTGGTTATATCCCCGTACAGAATGCCAAACCAAATAGAGTGCACTACAGCGTGGCTGCACTGCAGTACATGAATCTGGTCGACAAGCTAGTCACACAAGTGAGTACAACAGAATGTTGTGTGTATAACCCCACCCTAATAACACGCCACCCGCACTACAGAACGTAGACAGACTGCACCACCGAGCTACCCCCGAATCACTCAATCCAGATTCACGAATACTGGAGCTGCACGGCACACTGAACTTTGCAGTGGTGCCGAGCCACCCGAACCACCCAAAAAAGCTGCGTTCAGATCTTCAAGCTGAACTCGCCGCTCTCAATCCTAGTTGGGCGGAGTTTGCGGACTCGCAGGCAAAGTTGAAGCAAAATCCAGATGGCGATGTCGAACTTCCTAGTGGATTGACATACGAAACATTCAAAGTACCTCCTCCTGACGGATTAGAAGGCGACCGCAGCGCTTTTTACAAACCAGATGTCGTTTTCTTCGGTGAGACACTCAGTCCGCATCAGAAAGAAGAAAGTATAAAGGCCATTGAAGACGCGGATAGGGTGTTGGTTGTTGGCAGCTCCTTAGCTACATACTCTGCTTTCAGACTAATCAAGCAGGCTATAGAGAGCAAGAAACAGGTCCTTATGTTGAACGTGAGTGGATTTTTGTTACGACGCAACCAATTCACACAATGCAGGTCGGACCTTCTCGTGCAGATGATTACGATATTACAAAGATAGAGTTGCCCGCTGCAGACGTCCTTCAAGGTGCTGTTAAATTGCTTGCATCGAAACTGCCACACGATGACATGCTCAGCAAGCTTTCTAGCAGCGGCGTGAATATCTCCATCGAGGACATAGGGCCTATGCCAGATCCCGAGGCTACAGAAGCCAAATAAAAAAATTTGCAAAGATGTGAAGAAACGGATGAATTACATAGTAAACAGTATTAATAACAATTGAGACATAGCTGAAACAGGTAATGCTAAGCAAGAAAACTGAAAAATCTATCATGTGTGACTTAAGTTCGTTGAGAGTAACACACATCCTATCAACCACTCTCAAAGAGATACTCTGCAAAGGAGACAGTTGGCTGCTTCCACGGATGAGTTGTAGCAGGCTTAGGTGTGAGCTTGCGAGGAGTACTTGTTCTGCTTATGCTTGGGGATGTGCGTTCGACATCACTCTCTTCTGTATCGCTATCTCTCACAGCTCTGCTCGATCTATCTGGGGTTGATGCACTCCTGCTTATTCTATCCCTTGGAGAACTTTCATCATCGCTAATGAGTTTGTCTTGTATGTTGACCCTGTTATGTAAATCATCGGTAATATCGGCCCAAGCAGCGCTCGCGCTTGCGTCTCTATGATCAGCAACATTCTCCTCTGCCTCTGAAGGAGTCATGTTGAGATCGCTTGCTGTATCACTAGCCGCCTCACTAGCAACCTCGCTGGCCACCTCACTAGCGCTATCGACTTCACTCGTTGGTGGCGTGTCCAAATCGTCATGTTTGATTTGCTTGTCGAGGGGCAAGCGTGGTTTGAGGAGGTGCGTAACTCTCTCACCATCGCTGTTGGACTTGGAGAAGCTAACAACGCCCCACCAACGCGCTACACAGTGTACGACGAATCTTTCGAATTTCTCCGGAATAAGCCAAACGAGACTGCTTGAAGAGCGTGACAACTCAATAATGCTGGGTAGTTCAATGCACTCCTCGTTATCCTCGTGGAAGTGGCCATTAGCGTGGCAAGTGGTTGTGGCATCGATTACTCTACCACGACTATGGATGTTATCGTCCGGATTAACAACCACATGGCTGTTGACGCCAAGTATCCTAAAGCTTACTGTGAATACCAATAGCCTGCTAGACAGTAGCCACCCACCAATGACGTATTTCAGACTCAGTTGCCTGTACAACGAATCTGGCCCTGGCGGAACCAGTTCCTCTTGGAGCCAGGGTTTTTCTGATGCCTTTCAAGCTTACGTAGAAGGAGCCTATAGTGAGTGTCAGTTGAGCCCCTTTCCAACTTAGCTATGTCACACCTTCGTCACCTGCAGCAGGCGATTTACGCTGTGATCGGCCGCGGGCGGTTGTGGACGAAGGAACAGGCTGATTGCGAGGCAAGAGCGAAGGTGGGAGAGGAGAAGGGAAGGTAGATTTGTAGGAGTGCACTGGCGCAGATGCATCATCCCTTTCAGCGCCTTTAGCTCTGCTGGTGAGGGTAGAATCGCGCTCTTGGATGTATCTACGCCGCTTTCCGATATAACCGTCACTCTTTGATTTGTGTGTGTTGTTGATGTACTCGCCACGGAGCTGTGTAAGCTTTGGATTTGTGAGAATGGCGGGGAAGCTGGATTGCTGGTAATGGATTTGGCTTGTCTGCTCAGTGACAGCTGTGATTGGCTGCGATTTAATCCTTATATCGTGACTATCTCCCATTTTTCAGCGTTGACGTCGTCGTGATGATGGTAAGGGCTAAACAGTCATCATAGATATCCAGGCAAATGAACTACATTTACCAACTCACTCAAGCTGCCACTACGGCTGTTCTTGAGAAATCTGGCAGGAATCTCCCTTTCTCACTCGGTGCTGCTACCGGCAAGCATTCCATCTGGGATACCTTTGAGGGCGAGAAAAGAGACGACAGCTCCCCGCTTACTATATTCGTCTATAACAAACACGCAAATCAGAGATATACCCAGCTCGCTACAAACGCAATGAGGAAGCTGCGTACACTCAGGCACCCACAAATACTCAAATTCATCGACGCTATAGAAACTGACTCAATGATATACATTGCAACTGAGAGAGCCACGCCGCTTTCGAAATTCCTCCCTTCCGATGACACGATTTGGCTCACTTGGGGGCTACAGAGTGTATCACAGGCTTTGGCATTCTTGCACACTCTCACACACTCTATACATGGCTCTGTGTCTAGCGATAGCGTTTTCGTATCCCACTCCGGCGAATGGAAGCTTGGCGGGTTCGAGTTGTGTACAACGCAGACTGAGCTGAGTAATGGTATTCTGGAGAGCAACTACGACTCGAAACTGGCTGCACCCGAAGCCAGGCAGGGCTTTGATGCCATTCCAACCAACCCTGTTTCCAGCCTCGACTCATTCAGCTTGGCACTGCTTATCAGCCAGCTATACAACCCCACAAAACCACTCCCCGTAGACTTAACAGCCGCGCCTGCACCAAATAGCAGAGGTATGATACCAACCAGTCTATTCAACTCGTACCGCAAACTCCTCAACCCATCACCGAAGAATAGAATCTCAGTAGACACTTTCTTGCACCTTGGAAAGAACACACAGGAAACTCAAAACGGAGCGTTCTTCACGCAAAACCCTCTGATCGAGTTGTGCCAAGGATTGGAAATGTTCAGCCTTATGAGACAGACGGAAAGGGTAGTATTCCTCAAAAACCTATCGCACCTCCTCAACTACGATAACTCTAATGAGGGTATACTAGGTGAGAATAGAGTGTCAATACCAAACTCGCTAGCAATACACAGAATACTACCAACATTAGTCCATTCGGTTGAGTACATGACAGCGGGTGATTCAGCCCCTTCACTCGTACCTCTGATTGTTAGAATAGGTATGCGTCTAAGCACGGAAGACGAGCGCAGCACAGCCATCAGCAAGCCTCTGCTAAGGCTATGGATGAGTCCAGACCGAGGAACGCGCATGGCGCTACTCGAAGATCTCGAGCGGTATATAGATGTGCTATCGAACAAGATAGTAATCAACGAGCTATGGCCACATCTGCTTACTGGATTCAACGATACCGCTGCTGTTATTAGGGAAGCTACCATCAAAGCCGTCCCGCTCCTACTGCCGAAACTCTCCGACAGAATCATCAACAATGAGCTCCTCAAGCAGCTAGCTAAGGCACAGCTAGACCCTGAGCCTAGCATCCGCACCAACACGTGCATCTTGATCGGTAAACTTACTCCCAAATTGTCCCTCACGACGCGCAAGAAGGTCCTAGTTGCAGCGTGTGCACGCGCCATGAAGGACAGCTTCCCGCCAGCCAGAGCAGCCGGTCTGCGCACGTTGCTAGCTACAGTAGATGACCAAGAAGAAACAGACTTAGCGACGAGGGTGTTGCCGACGATATGTCCCTGCCTTCTCGACAAGGAGAAGAGCGTTCGCGATCAGGCGTTTGAAGTACTCAGGAATATCGTTGACAGAATCGAAAATATAGCCTCTAAGATGCCAGAAACGGTTGTTAAGCCAGACGAAGAAATTGATTACAGCTACAGCGGCACTGCTGGTAAATCCTTTTTAGGCGACGATCAGCTGGGTAGTGCTGCAACAGCGATAGCCGGCTGGGCATTCGGAACATCGACGACGAGCAAAAAGGTAGGGTTAATGAAGCTTACGACAAAGTAAATCACTCATCACACCCCAGCTCGAAGCCAGCGAGGCTACTACAGCGATGTCGTCAGCAGGTCCAGAAGCTGCGGCGAGCATGCCTTCTCCAATGCTACCAACGCAATCTACACCCCAGCTCGATAAACCGATGTCGTCTGGAGGAATGAAACTGGGCAGCAACAAACCCTCACCCTCTCCATTGCCTTTCGAGGACGACGAAGGCGGGTGGGGAGATCTCGAAGAACCTAAGAGCATACCAAGCATACCCGAGATGCATGCGTCAAATACATCTGTATCTGCTCCAACCAGACAGGCTGGTAGTGCACCAGCAGCACCTTCACTTCAGCCGATAAAACCAACTAACACTGGCAGCATGGCCAGACCAGGGTTAGGTGCACCATCACCAGCGCTGAATCGAGCTAATACCACCAATAACGCACCAACTGAAAGCCACATCAGTGTCCAGAAATCACACTCTTTGCATACACTCTCCCCATCCCCATCCAGCCCATCAACACCACTCAGTAAAGAAGAAAAAGCGCAAGATCTCGCTCGCAAGAGAGAAGAGAGAGCACAGAAGATCGCCCAAATCAAGGCTGCGAAGGCTGCTGCAACTGCCAACACTGGTACACTTATCTGAAACAGTACCTACCATGCAAATAGTGCTAATAATACTCATGTCTAGACATAACATACAATGCATATATATAATAGCAAAAATAGCAAATTTCAAAACTTGTGGGTGCTCGAAATTAATGTATATTTCATCACTCATCCTAGTCCTGCTGGTAGCCTCCTCTACCCCTGTAGCCTCCTCTGCCTCTAAATCCACCTCTACCTCTATTACCACCTCTATTACCACCTCTGCCACCGGCACTACCATGGTTCTCTGAAGCGTGCGTGATTGGTATGTTGTGATCACCAAACTGCAAAGATGTCGGATGCTGCTGCTGCTGCTGACTGAGAAGATGAGGTGGAGGTGCTCTGTTGCTACCGGCTGGGTTCGCCATATGAGGTGGAGGTGCTCTGTTTCTTGGTAGAGTTGGTTGAGCTGGTTGAGCTGACACAGAAGACCCAGAGAAAGCAGGTCTGTCATAATTAAGTGGCGGTGGACGCGGTCTAAAAGTAGGCTGCTGTGGTTGCTGTAGTTGCTGCATTTGCTGCATCTGTTGATGTGGAGGCAGAGGACGACCGCTAAACTTGGGCTGTCTGCCAACAGCATTCGGACCACTGGCACCGCCACCCAAACTCAATGCGTCAGCGAGATTTTTCTGATGAGAAGATGGCTGCTGTTGATTGAAACGTCCTTTGTGAGCACCATTATAGCCAGATTTCGGTCCTGGTGAGAAGTGTTCCTGCGGTGCTGAAGTCGCTGGCTTCACATAGCGATCACCACCCAATGCCGGACGCGGTCCAATCTGTCTCTTGAATGGTGGAGCGGGCTTTTCATACTGCGCATTCTCGGCCATTCCATCCATGCTAGCCACATACTGCTCATTACTAAGGTTGAGCACGGCATATGAAGGTATCGTCGCACCCCTGTAAGCGCTACATTTACCGCCAAGCGTCGTGCCACTCATGAAGGGCTCATCCATAACCACATCGATTAGATTGTTTGATGCTATTCCAACGACTGTGCCTCTCGACGTCAAGTTCACCTTGCCGTGGTCGGCGACATACACCACTCTGTCACAAAGTCTGAACTGCTGGTTGATAATACGCGTAGATGCGTGGTTTGGCTTGAGGACAGCGTGGCGAGGAACGTTCTTCACTATCGCCTTCTTTGGCTCGACTTTCTTACTCGCATCAGCTAAATCCTCGGAAAGCTTCTCGACTTGGGCTATAGACTCGGTTGACATTTGGTTGACGAATAGAGAGACTGTCTCGAATGTATTGACCTTCTTGGCCTTGAGCCACTTTTGTATTTCTGCCAAACGCACAGCTGCTTCATCTTGATCTTGCCATATTTCGTCGTAGTTGTTGACACCCTTGTTTCTATCAAGACGCATAAATACTTCGGGGAAATTTTGCTTTTATGATTATAAGAAAATGACTCATGAAACCAGTAAAACTTACTTTATACTCTCCAACAAGTTCAGAGGCTTTATCGGAATACTCCCAACCAACATGGTTCTTTTGCGTATAACCCGCCACCTTCTCACCCTTAGCTTCAAACTTGAGATTAAGACCAATGTTGATGTTTTTACCATCAGGTCCTACAATAGTCAATGCAGAAGTGATCTTTGACAAAGTGAGTGATTGAATACGATGGAGCTGTGCCACTTTTGGTGAGATGTAGTAATTCTCGCTGTTCGAAGCTTTGCCAATCGCGTTAAATTTAGGTCTTTCAGTAAGATTAGGCATGAGAACAAGACGTAGTGTCATAGTGTTGCTCTTGTTGTCGGCTGCTTCGACTGTAGCGGGCGAACCGTATTTCACGCCTAAGAAGAACAACTGCGTACCGACAGAGAACTCCTCTTCAAGTGGTGGCGCGGCTTGCTCCAAATAACGCTCATCTTCAGACTCTACTTCAAGCACGGTAGTCTGTAGCGGATACTGTTGCTCATTCTCTTCGTAGTCTTTGACGAGTTCGCCTGAGAGTTTTCTCTTGAGACCTATGCAATTGAGTTAGAATGAAATAGTTAACTACCACTAAACCCACCCTTCAAAGGACGCGCATGAACCATGATATCAACCACACCGATACGTACAGCGCGGCTCTTGGAGTAAGTGGTCTCCAGACGTTCGCTGTCTCTAGCAAACTTTGCTGATAAGCTAGCTTCCTCTTGTACGATATTTCCCTCAAGAGTGTATTTGGCATTCTCGTCGCTAATACCGGCAACGAACGCTTCCTGCAAGAAAGGCCAATTGATGAAGACCCTCTTACCCAGCAAGGACCCAGCGACATCCTTAGCAGTGTGATTCTCATACTTGTTGACGGTCACAATCACGATAGAGTCCTTTCTCGATGGCTGGTTGAACACCATAACGCCATGCTTGTGGAGCAGCGACTCGAACTCTAGATTGTAGAGGGTGGGAAATCCAGCAAGTGCTTGTTTACCACTACGTGCGTGTGGCACCAAACCCTGTCTGAAAGCACCTTCGCCGAGAGCTGGAAGAGTATAGACACACTCATTACACTTATCGTTGACTATGGTGGTGAACTTTTCATGTGTCGATTCGTACTTCTGGCCCTCTCTGGTGCCATCATACTTGAAAATTGTTGCATCACCAAACGAGTTGCGGAGTCTCTCTTCTGGGGTCAAGGCTTGCTCCACTCTTCTCATAGTACCGAGTAAGAGTTGTTCATCGATGAAGGGAATCTTGATGATAGCCTCCCATTCCTGCTTCTTGCCATTCATATCCTTTTCGAATTTCTCAGGGTAGAACTTGATAATTGGTGATGTCTCCTCTGTCATCAAGTCTCTGTATACAAGAGGCACCAACTCTTTAGAAGCAGATGGGAGAACACCCATGAGCTGTTCAAACGGCTTAAACGGAAAGCCTTTTTCATATTCGCACTTAATATCTCCCATATCAACGATATCTGAGATTTTTGGTGCGTAGTAGTAGTCGTAAAACCAGCCCCAAGAAACGCAGCCCTCGTAGTAGTACTTAATAACCCATTGAATACCCTCGACATAGCGCTGTACCAGTCGTCTAACTTGTTCAGGTTGCGATGTCTTATTGAAACCCAGCTTGCTGCTGTAGTACTCTTCCTTCCAACCCTTGAATCGACCTTCGAAGCTTCTATCAATGGCATTTTCTTGTTCTTCGTAGATTTCTTCTGGATCGTCAACAACCTTGCGTGGATTCAAAGCTGTGAAAGATTTCATGAAGTTGGCACTGAAACCGCTGACTTGGAGATTCTCCATTTCATCCTCGAGAGCATCTGGATTGTTGAGGTCGTTTTCAATTTCGCTATCAGAGGAGTTGTCATCAAGCGCCATGCCGATTCTTTGTGCTGCTGATAGACCTTCGCGTTTGGTAGCTGATACAGGGACTCTGACCACAGCTTTGGGTACGCCGTCTGCGGCAAAGTGATCATATTCAAGGACGAGGCTGAAATTTTCAGAAATTGCATGCAGGTATTCCCTTTCAGATTCGCCAAGTGGGAGTGGCAACTCCAAGAAGCCACCCTTCTGTGAGAGGGATCCAGAGGTGATACTTTGAGTGAGCATTTCATGCAATTTAGCCTGCTTAGTGGTCATGGTGGTCTTGCCCTCTTCAAGGACTAGCGGAGTGTGTTGACTAACTGGACCATTAGCCATATCAGTGTCAACCATTTCATCCTTGAACACGGTCTTTTCAAAGTCGTGAAGATGGTTCATGACGAGTTGCAAACGGTTGAAGTTGATGTTTCCAAGTACATTGATGTATCCACCGGCGTCTTTCAATATCTTCTTGTAAGATGAGAACAAGAGCTCAAGTGCGCCGTCATTAATGTGAAAACCAGGCAAATGCGGAAGGAAATCATTACCGACGAGAATAGCGAGGAGGATAAAGTCATCGATGATTCTCTCCAAATCATAGTCGAATGGGAGTGTGTGCCTAATTTCCTTAAACTCAAGGTCCAAGTATTCACGGAAGAGCGAGAGGTGCATCAAGTAAAACTTCTGATGTTCAAGGCCTTCACTCTTCTTTTTTTTCTGTGGACCGAAAGTAACTTCCTCTCTAAGCAGACAGAAGTGAGGCTCGTGGGAGAGAAGGCCGAGCATGATGAGATCAGCGTCTAAACCGTAAAGACAGTGTCTCATGTTAGGGTTGTAATGAGGCTGAGCCTTAGTAAGACGAATGAATTCCTGGATCTTGTGCTCTCCTTCACCAGGAACTTCGTGGCCAGATAAGATAACGTCAATGCCCTGCCATAAAGCATCCTCGGAGATTTTCTTGTGAACGAAATATTTGAGTTGCTGGGAGAGCTTAGCCATGAAAGTGGTTCCTGGAGTGATACAGTTGCTGTTGAATGCGTCATCAATGTTTTCACCCAAACGTTCAGCTTTTGTAAGGTTTTCAGCGTGTTCTTGAGCAGTTCTAAATCGACGGCTACGTTGCTGGTTCATCTTGGCACGAGGAGCAACACCGTCAACGGCCATGAAGAATGTCTTGCGAGGTCTAATTTTCGAGAAGAGAAATTCAATGTACTAATTGTTGTTGTTAAAACATCTACCATATCTAATATATCCAAACTAACCTTGAATATATTCTGTACCATATCAGTCTCATTAACCTTGCGTACGGATCCTTGGCCTGTATTTGCAGCGCAAGTGTGGATGATACCATTCATATCCAAGTATAAGCAGTCTGTGTGGTTGGTTAGAATCCAATTCGATATCGAGTGGCACACCTACCAAACTCAGGAATACGATTATCTTCAACCAGTTGACTTGTAAGCGGGTATCTTTCACTGTGGATGCTGTCAGCGTCATATAAATCACGCATATTCCTCTACTCACGATACATATCTGAAGAACTGAGAGATATCAATAAGTATTATACGTATTGGAGAGATGAACGTACTTTTGGAATACCTGAGATTTGCTTGTTAGTAATGCGAATTTAAATTATTTAGACTCACCCATTTTAGATTTACTATGTGATGATGGTTGTCGTCAAATGAATTGAGAAGATACGGTAATCAACGATATCAACAAAATGCATTAATCCTCCCAGAGGTTTGCGTTTACAAGAAATAAAGTTAAGAATCGTGAAAACAAATTAGACCAAGTCAAAGATCCCTCTTTACTTGGACTGTTTCACTTAGCACTTGGCACTTTGCACCTTGCAATTAGTGATGGAATCTGCGTCTGTTGTGCTGATCCCTCTTAACTTTCATTCTCTTCATTTTGTCATCGTCTACGAGTCTTCTCTGTACTTGTCCACGGCAAGATACGAATTCATCTTGACACGAGTACGCAGTACCTGGAACCCAGTCGTTGTTACATTGCGTCCATTGTGATTCACAGTCTTGTTCGGCAGTTGCTTGTTGGCCAGAGTTGTTTTTCTGGTTTGCATTGTTATTCTGCTGCCCTGAGCCTTTGTCTTGTTGAGCAGAGCCATCATTTTCGTCGGCATCGTCATAATCATTTGAATTGTTGTTGGACCCATCATTAGAGCCATTGTCAGAGTTTCCGTTGCCTTGGTTACCCTGATCTACCTGTTGAGCATGAACATTTGCAGAAGATTGAGCAGGAGCGAACTTTTTGAAGTTAGATTGTGTGGCGCTTGATGTAGAGTTATCAGAGTTATCAGAACCATCTGAAGTACCATCACCACCACCACCGGAAGCAGCACCCTGTCCAACAGTGATAAGCTCAGGACCTGGGAATTGGTATGCTGAATCAGACTGAACGTTATAGATATCACTACCACTCGAAGCTAAACCAGCATCAGACCAGCTGTAAGTACCTGGGAAAGTAGCCGTTGCGTCGTCGCTGTAGGTGTTTGAACCATCACCTGTGATAGTCCATGACACGCAGCGAGGGTAGTACTGTGGCCTTGAAGCATGAAGTGAAATTATCTCAGTTCTCATGAGGTAGTCACCTGTTTTTAAATGCTGTGAGACAATCTTCTAGATGAAAAATCTTCTTTTGTCACTCACCAGCTGCGAGATCCTCTGGGATAGTCACTTGGTATCCGCCACCATTCATCAATGAAGCTTGCTTCCACTGTCCGTTTTCGAAACCAACTTGATCGATCTTGAACCATTTAGCTGAATCAGCGTTCATGTTGGCACAGTCGGTGGTACATTGTGCCATATAAGTGATTATTGGACCTGTATTGTGTGGCCACTGCTGCTGAGCTGTCTCTTCCCACCAGAGAGTCATAGTGGACCCAGCACCAATCGTAGCAACACTATTTGGTGATGAGTTTGGACCACAAAACATATCCGATGAGTATGGGTCCTTGATTGGGTTGATACCAGAGGTCCACTCTGGTGCATTTTGTGAGGACTGATTAGGGTCAGGACCGTTGAAGCCTTGACCATTCACGTCTATGTAAGAAACCACACCGTGTGCGAGTGCTGAGCTAGCTAAAGAGAGTGCGACGAATGCGTTAACCATTTTTACAAGACCGGCTTGTTTGAACGACTTTTGAAGAACTTGGGTTGTTGAGATGACCTAAGAGAGAACAATGACATTTACGAATTTTTCTTATTACAGGGCAGGAACGGTAAAAAACCGATGACCAGGGTAATAGCGCATGTACATACGATCGGTCAAATTGATAACAGCAATTGGTAAATTCTCATATAATCCTGCACACTTCCTACTATGCTAGTTATCTAGTTGCCATTCCCCACTTCAAATTTGGTTACAGGGCTTGCCCGCTATTCAAGACCGGCCAACCTCCACATCGAAGAGGCGGGAAACTGCTCACTGCCTCAATATATGTTTGTAAAAAGACCCATTCAAAGATCACACTTGGAAAAGTGAGACTATGCGGACAGAGAGACACACAGTGGTGATGTCACCGATAGAAACTTTCGTGTGCGTTTGACTTTTAATTTGTATCCAAACATAGATACTAAAAATAGTACAGTCAGCTTCACTGCGCGCGTCTCAAGACAGCGGATGTTGAGAAGACCCTGGTATTTTGAAAAGTTCCGAGATTCGCTAAATGAGCGCGTTTAAAGGGTGAGTTTAAGAATGTGAGATAAGAGTACTACATTCAAGAGCGGATAACGTAATTGTATCGATTGCTTATTCACGGCTTCCCTGTAAGCACGGCGCAGACCTTCTAGTCGCACGTTCCTGAAACAGTCTTAAACGAGACGGCATATACATGAATAAGACAGTTATCCAATCAAACTTAAAATCCAAAAACATCTCACCAAGTCACAAATCAAACAATACTGAAATCCAAGACGCCATATTCATGAGAAGTAATAAAGATATAGATGCCTTATCCTGAAGGTATCTAGAAACGAAGGAAATATCTACACGATATATAAAGCGGGTAAAAAACGAAAGGTTAAAGCAAAGCATCAGAAGAATTCCATTCTCCGATCCGTTTTGGGTGAATGAACATAACCGTCTCTAAAAAGCAATCTAGTGGTGGCGACGAGCGTGTTGAGCGTGCTGGTTGTGCATGTCTCTCTTGACTCTCTTGGTCGTCATTTTGGCGTTAGAGTTCAATCTTCTTTGGACAGATTGGCCACGACATTGTGCCCATTGGTCTTTGCAGGTGAAGTCAGTGCCTGGGACGTAGTCCTTGTTGCATTGAGTCCACTTAGACTCGCACTCATCCTCATTTGCTTGAGTTGCACACGATGGGTTTGAGGACGCGGTGTTTGAGTCGTCGTTGCAAGTTGATGACTCGTCTTCCTCATCAGCACCGTCATCTTGCTTATCACTGTCTGTGGATTGGGAGTCGTCGTTGCTTCTATAGGAAGCTTGACCACCTTGACCGACGGTAACAAGTGGTGGACCAGGGAACTGGTATTGTTCGTCAGAGTGTACGTTGTAGATACCACCACCGCTAATAGATAAGCCAGGGTCAGACCAGCTGTAAGTACCAGGGAAGCTACCCCAAGCGTCGTTACTGTAAGTGTTGCTGCCACCGCTACCGTAGATATGGAATGAAACACAAGATGGGTAGTATTGTGGCTTTTGTGCGTGAAGGGAGATAATCTCAGTTCTCATGAGGTAGTCGCCTGTAGTAATCAACTGTGAGTCAATGTACTTTGAAAAGAAAAACACACCCACCCTCTTCGAGATCCCATGGGATGGTGATGGTGTAACCAGCGCTGTTCATCAAAGAAGCTTGCTTCCATTGGCCATTCTCGAAACCTTTTTGATCAATCTTGAACCAGTTTGCCGAGTCAGCGTTCATGGTCGAACAGTCACCGCTCCAGCAGCGGGCCAAGTAGGTGATAATTGGACCCGTGTTATGTGGCCATTGTGAGTATTGCGTCTCCTCCCAGTAGATGTTCATGGAAGAGCCAGCTCCGATGTAGCCTTTGCCATTGGCGTAAGCGTTTGGACCGCAGAACATGTCTGGTGAGTATGGGTCCTTGATAGGGTTGATACCAGCGGTCCATTCGGCAGCGCCAGGAGACGCTTGGTTTGGCTCTGGACCATTGAAGCCTTGGCCTTCAACGTTAATGTACGACACGATACCGTGAGCGAGTGCAGAGCTAGCTAACGAGAGTGCGGCAACTGTCTTAAACATTTTCGTTCGTAAGTAAGGACCGGCCTTGAATTTGGATCTAAAGTACAAGAAGAAAGAACGCACGTCCCTTTATACGTAAAATTTGTAGGGTTACACTGGCGGACGGCACTAAACGTCACTTAGTAGTTTTAAGCGTGTGAGGACAAGCACCGCTATAATAAACGCGTATATAAATAAGGTTGACTTACTTTTGGGATAATTCGTGGAGTGCCTATTGAAGGGGGCTAGCTTTACGTGACATGTTCGAGACCTGGCGATGACGAGGAGACGTTCTCTAACATCTATTTTTGTTTTCAAGGGCAGCTCAGAGCACAAACGAGTGCGTTATGGGAAATTTGTGCATTTCATACATGTCATCAGTTGAAGTGGTGTTTTGAGGCTGTGATTGGTATATACGCACGTGCTTAGAAGCCATGTAGCTAGAGCCACGAGTATATTTGCATTTAAGCGTGTTTTGAAACTATTCCACACAGCTTCATTGGTGGATGTAGACAGCTGTGCGCTGTACCAGAGACCTTATTAAGCGGACGATAAGAGCTTCGAAAGGGAGCGACGAGTAGAGCGCGCAATTTATCGCCCCCACTGACACCCGCAAAGTCAAAATCACTTGCCCACAATTGATGACTCAAGAAGGCTGCGCCGGAGACTGAAAACTTTAACAGTCGTCTAGCGTCAAAAGAGAAAAGAGAGCACAGACGAAGTTCTCAGTCTTTTTGTAGTACCACTCACCTGAAATTGCAAAATTAATTTTAAAATCTCTGACCAGCAGTTACTCTGATCCAAGATTTTGGATTTTCCCGACCACGACCTTGGAAATTGGATAAAATGAGCATGAACAGTAAAGATATAGATAAATTAGAAGCGTCGTCTTCAGAAGAGGAGGAGGAGATAAAGGAGAAATATGATAGCCACAGTCGGCCGTCATCTTCCAACAGCACGACGCCGGCGAATCCAGCGAGTGCGAATCCTACAAAGTCGCACAATCACGGCAGCACATCGCCAACGACGCCACGCCTGCCGAGCAGCTTAGCAGCGAAAATGGCAGCGATGGTGAATAGAGGCAGAGTATCGAAAGAAAGAGACACTGGCAGCACGAGCAGCGGTGGTAATGTGAGCAACATGCAATCGAAAGGTGGCCAGCCAGTGGGAGCTGGGCTTCGGAGCATGCGTCAAGCGCCCCTCCCGCCGAACCAGCTGCGTGAGAAGATGGAAGCCATGTCAATGAATGACAAGGTGGAAGTGGAGAGGTCATCTCCACAGCAGAAAACAGCAGCAACGCCCTCACCCCCTGGTGGACTCGCAGCGAGACGGGGTATGAAACTTAGCATGAACAACAACCCCGCGCCACCAGCAGGCAACACACCCAAAAAGCGTGGCCCGCCTGGAAAGCTGAACCTCAGCAACGATGACGGCAAGCACGATACCCCTTTCTCCAAATTCTCAGACATCGTTGACCCTTCTGGTAAACTCAATTTCGGAGAAGGGAAGGCAGTGCTGCATGCATCAGGAGTCAACTTTTCCACCGGGCACTCATTTAATATTAAAATCGAAGATCTAGAACTGCAGGAGGAGCTTGGCAGGGGAGCGTACGGAGGGGTGCGCAAAGCCAAGCACAGATCGACAGGCGTGGTGATGGCAATTAAGGAGATACAATTAGAACTAGACAAGAGTAAACTCGCAGGTATTGCTATGGAATTGGATATCCTTCATCGCGCAGTCAAGCCCCAGATAGTTGAGTTTTACGGTGCATTCTTCGTCGAAGGCTGTATTTTTTACTGCATGGAGTTCATGGATGCGGGATCGCTCGATAAACTCTACTCGCCTACATTCGGTGTACCCGAGGATATCCTAGCGTTTGTGACGAAGAATCTGATCATTGGATTACAATTCCTCAAAGATGATCTGCAGATTATACACAGAGGTGGGTGTGTGTTGATTTGGTTGACTGGATTCTAACACTTCTTCCAGACGTCAAACCCACAAACGTGCTAATCAACAGACGCGGTAAAGTCAAGATATGTGATTTCGGTGTATCGGGACAACTCGAGAAGTCACTAGCCAAGACCAACATAGGATGTCAATCGTACATGGCAGTGAGTGGGAGATATACGCATGTTTACACCTTACTAACAGAATACATAGCCAGAAAGAATACAGTCACCAGAAAGTGGTGTGCACGCCTCGTTTTACACTGTAAGCTCCGACGTTTGGAGTCTAGGATTAACAATGGTGGAGTGTTCGCGCGGTGAATACCCATACTCTTTCTCGAATGTCCTCGCGCAACTGCAGGAGATAGTCAAAGGACCAGCGCCCGAACTGCCAGCTACATACTCGGAAACGGCAAAGGACTTTATACACTCGACGCTGCGCAAGGACCCGAACGCGCGACCACAATACCAGGAATTACTGGAACATCCCTTCCTTGCATATGACAAAGAGCCAGATGTGTTTAGGTGGATTGAAGACGCACTGAGGGCTAAGAACGGCGGCAACTTGCCAGATTCGATACCAGAGTCTGAACCTAGTCATCATTATGAGAGGTCGCATTAGAGTGGTATTAATTGACATGTGTAATTTTGATTCTATTTCTTTTATGTTGTGGGTTGATGAATGGCGTTGATGGGGTGATCGACCGGTGGACCGAGTATCAGTGGAAAATAAGAGAAAGAGCTGTGTATGAGGATGAGGATGGGGATAATAATGAGGGCAATTATAATGCTACAGATACAAACGAATTCAGTCCCGTCGTGCATCACCTACCACAGCGCGCACTCGATGTAAAAACAGAAATAGTTGGAGGAATAGACATAACACCCGCCTCGTCATCGCATGACGAATGCATAGTAACGATAGTTGTTCTATCCGTCCACGCCCAGCGCGTGCTCTACACGTATCACGAGGCGCACGCAATCAGCGAACCGTACGTTCCTTCGTATCTAGCGATGCGGGAGAGCGGGCCAATACGCAGGGCGTACACCAACTTCACAGCGCACACGCTCAATCCGATGCACACACCCGCCGTGTGGCTGATAGACGGCAATGGCAGGCTTCACGAGAGGGAAGCAGGACTAGCTACGCAGGTTGGCGTCGAGCTCGGTATAAGGACGGTGGGGGTGACTAAGAATTACTATCCAATGACCCATTTCCACGGTGCACTCAGCCATCCCAAGCTGTTTAAAGGGCTGGCTCAACAACTACTCAATAGGCGCGGCGATTGGATTGGGTTGCCTGGCGCGTCTGAGAATGCTTCTGCTAACACCTACATCGGCGCTGCTCTCCTCACCGGACGCAATGCTACCAATCCAGTCTTCGTGTCAGCGGGTCATAGATGTTCATTGCAATTCGCCCTAAGTGTCACATACGCTCTCTCTAAACACCGCATTCCTTTGCCAATTGCCCTTGCTGATAAGGCGGGCAGGCAGTATATGCGAGAACACAGCTACCACTGCTAATATTGATAAAAAATCATGCTATGAATTTGTATGTGAATGACATGTGTAATGATAATATGAAATATATAAGAAATTGAAAGTTGAGTTAGTTAGTTTCTCACTTTGAAAGTAGGTTCGATGAAATCCAGCTTGTTGCTATATCCACTGCGATGCTCTTACTTGGCAAGCTTGGGACCAGCGTTGATGACAGCCTGGGAAAGACCTTGGGCATACTTGTCGAAAGCACCGTTAAAGAGACCGCCAAGCTTGTTAATCTCCTTGTCAAGTGCAGCAGTGTCCTTCCATGCTTTCGATGGGTTGAGAAGCTCTGAAGGCACGCCTTCGATGCTCTTTGGAATCTGGAGGTTGAAGATGGAGAAAGGCTCGAATTCACTCTTGCCCAAGCTGCCGTCGTGGATGGCGTTGATGATAGCACGAGTGTACTTCAATGGACACCTCTTGCCAACACCAAACTTACCACCAACCCAACCAGTGTTGATCAACCAGCAGTTAGTGTTGGCTTTGTTCATCCTCTCTGCCAACATCTTGGCATATCTACCTGGATGCAATACGATGAATGGCTGACCGTAGCAAGTGGAGAATGTTGGTGATGGCTCCAAAATACCATCCTCAGTTCCAGGCGTCTTGGAGGTGTAACCTGCAATAAAGTGGTATTGGGCTTGCTCTTCGGTGAGTTTGCTGACTGGTGGTAAAACACCATAAGCATCACAAGTCAACATGATGATATTTGATGGTTGATTTCTACTCAGGCAAGGTATTTTGGCGTTCTCAATGTACTCGATTGGATAAGCGCATCTAGTGTTCTCGGTGATCATGACATCTTCATAGTTTGGTTCGCGTGTACGAGAATCATAGACGACGTTTTCTAAAACAGAGCCAAATTTGATAGCGTTGTAGATTTCAGGCTCCTTCTCTTTAGAGAGACCGATAGTCTTGGCGTAACAGCCACCTTCGATGTTGAAGACACCGTTATCAGCCCAAACGTGTTCATCGTCACCGATAAGTTTGCGTTGGGGGTCTGCAGAGAGAGTGGTCTTGCCTGTACCACTCAAACCGAAGAAGAGAGTGACGTCACCTTTCTCACCCTCGTTGGCGGAAGAGTGCAAAGACAATTGACCAAATTTGACTGGTTGGAGATAGTGCATGACAGAGAAGATACCCTTCTTCATTTCACCAGCGTATTCGGTACCTAGGATAACCATTTCCATACGCTTGAAGTTAATTTCAACCGAGGTGGCGGAAGTCATACCGGCAGTGAATCTGTTGGCTGGGAATTGACCAGCGTTGTAGATGGTAAAGTCAGGTTCGCCCCAATTGTCCAATTCCTCTTTGGATGGTCTGATAAGCATATTCTGCATGAAGAGAGCATGGTATGCTCTAGCACAGATGACTCTAACTTTGATTCTGTACTTTGGATCCCAGCCAGCGAAAGCGTCAACGACGTAAACATCATCGCGTGTGTTGAGGTAATCGATGGCACTGAGTGGGAGTATGAGATCATAGAAGAATGATAAAGACGTCTACTCACCGTTCGCGATTAATTTCAAAAACATGCTCAGGCATTCTGATATTCACAGGGCCCCACCAGATATCGTCCATAGAGGTCTCTTCAAAGACGATACGCTTGTCGCGGGGACTGCGGCCAGTCTTCTTACCAGAGAAGTTGATGAGAGCGCCGTTGGAGGAAATAACAGCGCCTTCTTTCTGGACAGCGTCTTCGTAGAGCTGAGCGACGGCAGAGTTACGCTGAGGGTGGGGTAAGATGGGTGAAATGGACGGGTAGCCATCAACTCACCTTCACATGAATTCTATCCACTTCAAAACCAGCGTCTGAGAGAGAATGCAATTCATTTGGGAGAGCTGTGATTGGTTAGAATGGACTAGCCTGTATGAATCCCAACACACTAAGAAATTGCTGCTTATTTAAAGACATATTGTAAAATCCAAGTTGGTTGTACAGGATAAAGAGTATTTTCCCCTTTTTTAAATATCTCGGCACTGCACGGTTACCACGAGTAGCATATGACATTAGACGGAGTGACCGAATTATTTTCATTTTTAGTTTTAAATGTGTGTGATTTGAGGGTATATTAGGTTATTTACGGTGATATATGGTTATATTAGGTTATATTCACGTTATCATATGCAGTTCCTGTCAGTATCCCGTGTTCAATCGAATTGAAACGCGTTCAAATGTGTTCATTGAGCTGATTTGATCAATAATCGAGATATATCTCAATTATTATTTAATTCATCATCTAGTTATATCCAAATACACACAAAAACACACACTCTCTCTCAAATCTTCATTCTAATTCCTGCGGCTACAACATCTTTTCTAGTCGCTTAGCGAAGATGCGAGATTGATAGGTACGAGGTGATCGTAGTTTGTTTAATTAATATATTCTTAGTCTGTATCTTCTGTGTATTCATTCTGTGTTCCTTGTCTTCGCCGCTTTGTTTATCCCTGTTGCTTGGCAGTGCGCTTGCAAATCATCTTGGCAGATAGATGCCAAGCTGGGGTAGTATTTCCGAGTTTAAATGGTGTAAGCGGGGTTATTCAGGGTGGCGTGCAGTTTAACTGGTCATATCACTAGTAAAATTGCGCTGTCTGATGACATGTATATTAGTAGATACACTCGGATATACTCGGATATACTCAGATACCCTCAGATATTCTCGATTATACCGTAATAAATAATTATCTATTAATAACGACTATAATATTAATGCGATTAAACATTTGGGTATAGACGATTCCCTCGTCATTTAACCTGATTACTCTCCTCCCTCTTATTACGCTCCCTACGCATTTTCAAACTACGCAGCATCTCCTCCAACTCCTTCATGCTCGCCTTTGGTCTCATTCCGTTTTCTGACTGTGACGACAGTGGCGAAATATTGCTACCGGTGCTGCTCATTGATGGGTGAGCGTGGTATCTCTTTGAGTTTGTGGGTGTGTGCATCGGTGTATTTGTCTGTATTGGTTGCGGTTGCGTTCGCGGTTTATAAAACAAATCTTCTTTGTTGTTCTCCCCATCACCATCACCAATCTCGACCACCTCACCCCCCTCGTCTTCAGCCACTTGCCCAAGTCTACCACTGCACTGCCTCGATATTCCCATATTGAGGCTGTTCAAATACGCATCAGTGCTTAAGCGCTTAGACAGTGAATCGCCGGGTGTGTTGAATGTCATATTAGCGTCACTATTTGCGAATGGGTGGGGTGTCTGCGAGGCATGCTGGGTGTTTTGGGTGTTTTGAGTGTGTTGGTGCTGGGGTTGCATGAGATGCTCATCATGCCCCGAATTTCGCAGTCGTTCAGCAGAACGCAGCTTATTATTCACCATTTCCACGTCAAGTGCTAATCTCGATCCTGATTCTGGTGGGTGCACAAATCGCAGCAAATCAACAGACGGGTTTATCGCTCTATGACTCCTACTTGCAGTACTTATATTAGCCGATTCTGGTGCATTCCATCCACTTGCACTTGCACCTGGACTTGCTCCTGAATCAATCGCCTCTGGACTTTTGTCTTTTTCTTTACACATCTGCTCCACCCCCACTTCCACTCCTACTTCCTCAGGCCATCTACGTGGTATAGGGTGGGTGGTAAATGTAGTGTATGACTTCTTTTCTATCGACTCCTGCGCTCTTCTCCTCGGCGACTTTCGTGGAATTGGCGGTGTAGGTAGTGGGTAACCAAGGAAGACAGGGTGATCTATATCTCTACTCGGCGGATTTGGTGAAGTATGCATATCAGTAAAAGTATTTTCCTGTGGTGGGAGCGTGATTGTAACCGCTGGTGCAACTTCTCTGCTGTGCGTCACAAGTAAGTAATACCATCCAATCCAACACAATGTACTCACTCACCTTCTGCCTTCACCTTTGCGTCTGCGACTATCTTCTCCATTGAGAAAATCGCCTGGTGCATCATGTGCATCACTAGTATGCGACACATCTACCCCCATTGCTGGGCTAGGTCTAGTAAGTGACGCTTGAGATACACCTCTCGACGCTTGCATGATATCGCCAGTGCGGATAGGGGGTAAGGGAGCATCACGCAACTCTTCCATTACGCTGCTCGTGCTGTTGGTGTTGCTACTATCACGTGTATCGTGTACGTGTGTGCCGTGTGCGCTGTGCACACCTGGCAACAGTGTTGCTGATGGTGGTGGACGATGATCGAGTGTAGCGACATCAGAAGCAATGCTGCGATTGGCTAGGCTGTCATTCACTTCTGACTCCTCCCCATTCCCCTTTTCCACGGCGTGGTAGGCGAGGTAGGTGTCGTATGCCATGCTTCGGCTGCTCGTTGCTGACATACTCCTCGATGAGGAATTAGGAGCACTCTCACGGCTACTCCCACTCCCACTCCCACTCCCGCGACTATGACTGCTCCTTTTCCCACTCACTCCCCCACCTCGCCGCCGCAACTTGGTTTTGGTGTATTCGCTCCCAGTGATAATCGACTTGGAGGGTGAGTATCTCTTCGAACTTCCGCGCTGCGGTATGACGATGCGACGATTTTGTGTATGTGATGAGTGTTCGTCGGTGGACGTAGCGACGCTCCTCGCCGTGGGCGTGGCGGGCGTGGGCGTGGGAGTGGGAGTAGCAGGAATAGCAGATTGCATATGCGAGCTGCCGGGTGGTGCCGGGGAGGAGCTAGTAACAGCGAGGCCAACTTGGCTGGTAGATGGTGACGGATCAACTGTCTGTGCACCGTATGCATAACCATACCCATCGTCATCGCGCACCTGCCCATTATCGATGCGTATCCTGTCGCGCTCTCTCAACACATTCACACTGTCTTTCCCCTGGTTGCTTATGTGCAAATTAAACCCACTCGTCTCGACGCGTAGGTGCAGATCATTCGGGTGGGTGTTCTCCTTGTCCTTGTTGAATGTCCACGCTTGGCTTAGCACTCTCCCACACCCGAGTACTCCTTCCTCTTGGCTGCGCGCCAGGTGTATCTCGAGCGGCTTGCTAGGAACACTCAGGCTTTGTGAGTGCGCCAGTGACGATTTGGTGGAGGATGTAGAGCCTTTGCGGGAGTGCTGAGGGTGCTGAGATTGCCTTGGAGGCGATGAATACTTCTGAGCCGGCTGCTTCTTGGGCGATAACTGCCGCACCTGCCTATTCAATGGCTCTGTATTTGAAAAGTGCCTGCTGATAGAATTCGAAGATCGTGCAAGTGGGCTATTCCCCAGTCTCTGCCAGTAATTTCTCTCTAGATCGAGAAGATGGGCCTGGTGGAGAACATTGGAGATATTCTGGTGATCGTCCCAGCCATTTTCAAGAATGGGTGATGGCTGTGGGGCAGACGCAGACCTGCGACGGTGATTGAGGGTGTCTTGTGGTATATGAGGATGAGGAGGAGGATTTGGATGGAATAAATGCTTTAAGCTATCGCCTCTGTTGTGCTGTTTTTGGTGTACGACGCTGGGAGATTCACCGATATGGGCGTCGTCGATAAGGCTCGGAGGAGGGAGATAAGAACGATTAGAAGGTTTATAGGCCGTGTATTTCTTTTCTTTTTTGTTGAATATCTTGTTCATTGCATCTTCCCCCTTAACGTTCCAGATAGAAAGTGATGTTCTCTAAATTCGACAAAACTCAAATTGGTAACTCGACTGCCATCAAATCTTCGGTACAGAGAGCTATCAGACAGAAATTGCTCGATCAGTTTGAAGGACTTAGAGTGAACGACGGCGCGTTACTCGAACAAATTTGGCCAAAGAAGGAATCTATCTCACTCATTAAATGCCACAATCAGCTTCAGCTTCTCTCCTTCAACGGATTTCCCCTTTTCTTCCAATCCCACGATGACCCTTACGTACCTACGTTGAGACTTCTTCATTTGTGTGCGTTTTTACTGCTTTTCGAGGGGAAAATTCTTACTAACTGATCACAGACCCCCACCTTCTCCCTCCAGTCACCGTCGACAGAGGCGCTATCAGATTCCTAATAGCAGGTGCAAACGTCATGTCTCCCGGTTTGACATCGAAAGGCGGTCAACTACCCCCACCTGAAAAATCCTACCCAGCTAACACTATCGTATCCATCTTTGCTGAAGGTAAGGTTCATCCTGTCGCTATAGGTATCTGCAAAACCTCCACCGAAGAAATCAAAAAAGTTAACAAAGGCATCGGCATTGATCTTCTCCATTTCGTTGGTGATGGTCTCTATAAGTTTGAAAGAATCTGATTTATTACATAGATGTATTTTAGCGTTGATTTGTGTGTGTTTTGTGTGGATTTTGTGTTAAAAGTGATTGTGAAGCTTGAGTTAGTAAATCACTGGTTTTTTAAATTAAGCGCTCATCTTTTTGCTCCAATTTTCGGTTCCGAGTAGTCTCTCAAAGTAACTCCACGAACCGTTCTTAACCTCAAACAAGGTAGATAGCACCCAACATATACTCCAAAAACCACTTAATCAAGCTCATGCTAGTCAAATCACCTGTATAATTAAATTTTACTACAACAGTTTTAAGAGTTTGCAGTTATTATATGAAAATTTGAATTTGATTGTTCAAATATATCAGTTATAAGCAGGGACGTTGTCAACAATTCGAATAGTACAACGGTGCTTGCAATCAGCTTCGTGGCCAAGAGGAATGGCGTTGGGCTCATAACCCAAAGATCCCCGGATCGAAACCGGGCGAAGCTAAAACTTTTGCGCTTCAAATCTTTGCCTAAACGAGTCCTGGTGAGAAAAGATAATTTAATATATTGTGCCACTCCTATATTTTTCTGAGACTATAGGCAAATATTTGCCGTTCGAGATGCCTAACAACCAAGATTTTTTAATTTGTTTTTACGTCGCGATGCTCCAATTGCGCACAAATTCTCCATCTCAATAGCTAAAACAAACATTGATTTGATCAAAAATTTATAAGTTTGCTCATTTCATTCTGGCAGTGATTTCAATCTTCTATTTCACGCTCCACACAAACGATTATAAAGAATTTGTGCAATAGAATTTCCTTAGGATCTCACTCAGTAGTTATAGGGCTCATTTCGTTAACAATATAAATCCTACCGCAGAACTCGCAGACTTTGCGCCTTATCTGTAGCGTGAAACATTGCAAATATGGTAGATATTCAATCTTAATTAAGTCATCTCACGGTGGCGATAGTGTTATGCCCTAGATTGACCATATCCAGCGCGAATCACTTCTAAAGTAGAAGAAAAAATAGTGACGTAGAATGTTTTTGCTTTTTAGGCCGCGTTTTATTGTGAGTCTGAGCGTATTCTATAGGTTTACTATAAACGATAACCCTGTTTTGAATTCTTTTTCTGCTATAAGAGTTGGGTTGGAAGGGATAGCGTGTAAGAAAGAGCGCTTTGATTTGCTTTGTATACCATAGTCATGCCATTACCTCACTTTTTCGCCCTTTTTTACCCAAGTCTTCAGCCCACTCCGGCACGCACTAAGGCACCCACCAGCCAGTCTCCACATACCGAGTCAAGGTGAGTAAAGTGTGATAACGTCATTAAGGGGGGGGGCTAGATAAAAGGTTGGCCAGCACGTGAACTGATTTACACCTAACCTAACACCGCAAACCTCTTTACACAAGAAATGCCATCAGTATTCATTAGGGGGGCTACAGGGCTAGTAGGAAGAGCGTTAGTGCATGAGCTGCAAGAGCACGCATATCAGATAAGCGTGCTAGCTCTGAGTGAAGCGAATGTGCTCCAACTGCAATCTCAAGGAGACGGAGTGAGAGTGGTTCGCGGGAGTCTCGATGACTTGGCCACTCTCAAAGCAAAAGCAGCGTGGAAGGATATTGATGGGGTGATCCACCTTGCCTTCATCCACAAGTCAGACCAGTATGCGCAGTCGTCTGAGGTGGATGCGAAGGCCATTGCAGCTTTGGGCGACGGACTTAGGGAGGTTGCTAGTGAGAGCGAGGGAAGGCGCAATGCGAAAGCGCTCGTGGCGAGCTCTGCTGTCGCGGTAGATGCCCAAGGTAGTGACGGCGTGGCGAGGGAGGCTGATGCTCCACTCGATGTTTTCCGCGTAGAAGCGAAGCAGCTGCTTTGGAGATGGCAGTAAGTGGCGTCACACCAACTGTCATGCAGCTGGCACCAACTGTGCACTGCGACGACGACAAAGCGTTCGTTCGCATCCTCAACAATAGCACTCTCACTCACTGGAAGGCGGTGTATGTGTATCTAATCACTTGGTCAGCTGTGCACCCTAGAGATTTCGCGTCACTCTATCGACTCGCTTTCGAAGCCGCTCGGAAAGGTAAATCGATTGTTTATCACGGTGTGGATGAGTGTCGAGTGCCTTTCAAGAGCATCGCAGAAACTATTGCGCGTAAAACCGACAGCAATACTCAACTATTCTCGCCTCATCAATGTCTTCCAGTACATCGGCTTGTTGACTCATTTCGCACTCCCTGTTTAAACCCACATACAGCGATCGGACTCGCAAAGAGCTCGGCTGGAACCCCACACAAGTAGACCTGTTGAGCGATATTGAGCACAACTATGCTGCTTAGGTTTGTATTAAGTCTGGTTTGGGGTGATAATTAATCCGCCTCAGATCAATTCAGGAGTCCTTGTGAGAGTGTGCTTGCTATCGACGAATGTAACGATATAAAGATAATATTGCAAAATGAAATAATCAATCGAGGCTATAGCTTTGTTGCAGTCCTTGGAGTGTGTCAGTCATTGTATCAAGCTACTATCCTAGTCAATTACACACCAGAAACAAGCTTTGTACGTATACTGCAGCATGCTATTAGGGTTATTGGTGTAAGTCGTATCAATCATTCTCTCCTCCTGTTTAAAGGTGTTTAAACGTTGATTAGCCTATTCCCAAATCAAAACACCCCTCTCACATCTAATCTGAATCCGCATTTTGGTAGCAACGCCTTCAACTCTTCCAGTGTGAGTTCAATAGACGGCTCACCATCTTCGTTACTTTCAAAGTGGTATAAAAGGGGACCTGTTGTAGGTGAGTGGGTGATTGGCAGTTTATCTCGACACCTCGTCGCAACCCACCCAAATTGATAAACTGCCCTCCCGGTCTAAGTACGTGAGAGATTGTTTTGATGTAGTCGATAATATTCTTAGCCTGTGTTTGTTTTTGTGTGTTAGTATCAGAAAGAATTAATCCACACTGCAAAAACCACCCACCGTATCCAAGTAGAAGCATGTCACAACAACATCCCACTGCTCCTTTTCATCATCACCGCCGTAGATTTCGAGGAACTCACCCGCTACGAGTGAGAAATCACTCTCTGGCCCACGGAGGTAATCTAAGGGGAGCACATCAGGTACGGTGATACAGCGTAATTGCGAAGCCGCTGATGGGTGGTTGGAGGATGAGTGAGCGAAAGGGAATAGAGTGTGTTCGTTGCGTTCAGTTGTACGATTGAGAATGAAGAAACTGGCGAGGAGCATAAAGTAGCTGAATTCGTTTCCTTGAAGAGGGTTTTTTTCGTTAGACTGAAGAGCTTTCATACATGCATACACACAAACCTTGACTAGAAAAACCCATTCTGGCAATATCGAATGCTAGTCGAGCTAAACCGGCACCAGGAACGAGAATTTTGGTTTGTAATCTTGTGTAAGTCGTGTTGTCTTAGCTGGATGCTTGAGTAGATTAACAGATATTTACCCACCTCTGCTCCTTTGAGAGGTTTCCGAACTTTTTCTCCAACGTGTCTAGGATTGGGCCGTACGAAGAGCTTCTCTCTTTTTCACCCTGCAATTATCAACGAGTGGAATAGAAGTACATGTCCACCACTCACATCAGAAGACCAATCGCGCACGAATTGCTTCAGTGTCGATAGCAGCTTTTCCATTTGAGTTGGTGTTGGTTTCTCTGGGTGGATTGAAGAGGAAGCGGGGGAGAGTGGTACCTCATGGGAGTGTGAATGTGAGTGTGAGTGTTCGAAGTCTCCAGAGTGTCCTGAGTGCCCCGAATGATCGTGTTGTCCACCATCACACGTGCCAAGTTTTTCCATCTCTAATAACCGATTGAAACTCAACCAAAGCATTCCAAATAGCAAATTACCCACCTCTAGCCTGCTCCTCTTGCTCCATATCTTCAAGCAGTCCATCTCCTTGGCTTCTGATAGCGCTAACAACGAGTGAGTTTGCGTTAATTGCAGTCTCAATCTTCCCTAGACGAGATTTGAAGCCAATTTGATTGAGCAATTCCTTGTGATCATCTGCTAGGCTATGGAAGACACTTAGTTTATTCTTAATTTGACCAAGTGAAGCGATTTGGTAGATATCCAGGACGTTGAGAATTGATTGGCTGATTTAAATGGATGAGATTATATGGTAATATGCACATGTTATACCCACAAATGAGCCTTCTCTTTTGCTGCATTGTGTGCCTTTTCTTGAGCGGAAGACATGTTGAATGTTTAACGAGAAGAGAATAAAAATACAAATTACAAGAAATTACAAAGCAGTACCCCTTTCGAATGACTCGCGTATTTCCCTGTAAAATGAGGTTGTTAGCATGGTGATATAGACGTCACTAATAAAACAAACTTTGTATACTGATTAAAGTACCTGTTGATCTTGTTATTGAAAACCTTATTACGATCATTGATATAAGTCTTGTCTTCCTCCTTCTCTGGTCTCTTTCTTGAAAAGTTCTTACGACGATGAATGTCGTCATTGACTTTGTTTGTCAATTTATCCAAATCTTCATCTGTTGGCTTGTGATCAGCATATATCAGGCTATCAGCCTCTCTATAAAGATCCACGGTTGATGATTTATCTGCATTAGATGAATCATCTGTGATTGTACCAGGTGGCAAACCAAGTGCCTGCTCTTTCTGTTTATTGTAGGTTGCCATATTTGGTTTAATGTATGCAAGATCCTTCTTATAACGGCGCTGGCTGACTTGTTCAGCGTCTGAGTAGCTTTATAAGCCACAAATAACCTAGACAAGGAGAGAACGCACCATCAAATTCAAACCTCGCATTCCTTGCTTTCTGCTTGAGTTTCTTCTCCCAATTTTCATTATCCTCAATGGAATAATCCATATTCTTGGATCTTTCAACATCCTCACCTTCCTCAACGACTCTCTTCTTCTCCTGAATAGCATCTGCAAGCTTCTCCTTCTTTTCCAACTTGTGAGCCACTCTTACTTGATTTTTTGAAGTATTATGCTCATCGTGTACAGCAGCTCTGTTATCTGTTGATGACTTTTGCTGTGAAATGTGAATTTATGATAAAACGAATTGAATACACCAACCATACGCTGCCTCAATTCTTGTAATTTGTTTTCTCTATCGTTGCTCATGGTGGTTATGGTAAACGGATTAAATGGGTTAAACTCAAACCACCATGAATGGCTTAAATGGCTTGAATGGTTCCGAAGTGGACAACAATCCAAACACAGCAGAATCTACAGATGCAAATAATTTAGACTTAAATAATGCAGATGCTAGCTCACCATCTCCACCACCACCCACAACCACTACCCACAAATCCCACCAATCAAATTTATCTATCACTAGCCTCGGTTCAAACCCTTCAACCATGCTTTTAAGCTCATCTCTCGATACCCTGGCTAACACGAAAGATGGAAAGAAGTCTCCACTACGTGAATCGATAGCTAAAGCCAAAGAAAGTTTAAACAGTGCAAATCCCAATTTGATAGAAATATTTGAACCACTTAGTCAAGGTTGCTACTCCAAATCAACTTTAGCGACTTCAATTGACGCAATTTCAAAGTTGGTCGGTAGCAGCTTATTTAGAAATGTTAGTAGCTTAGCAGATAAGATTACAATGACTGTCTGTGATTGTTACTCGAACAACAACTCCCTCGATGATCACATTATCCTTCAAATTGTCAAGGCTCTTCTAGCAATTGTACTTTACAACAACCCAACTGGTCTCATTCACCACTCCACTCTTCTCACTGCTATTAGAACTGTGCACGATATCTTCAAATTTAGTAAGGATCAGGGCAATCAGATGATTGCGCAGGCTGGTTTGACTCAGATGGTTAACGCTGTATTTTCACGTCTCAAAAACGCATTCCCTGCTGAATCTCCTCAATTCCATAAAACCTCAATTAGTTCAAATCCAATTTCTACTAGCTTTTCACAAGAAGACCACTCCAAGCCTATCGATCAAAATTCTACAGAGGAAAACCTCGAAAACATCGAAAACTTCGAGCAACTTGAAAACTCGAATGACGACGAAAAACCTCAACTTCCTTCGGCAACTGAACAAATGACCCTCAGTACCTTTGAAGGAAGGAGATCCTTCGACGCAACCCCAGCCAATCAAATATCTGACCCTCTCAACCCTCCAGATGAGGATGTTTCAGACGAAGAGCTCCTCACAAAGGATGCTTTCTTAGTCTTCAGAGCTCTATGCAAGCTCAACATGAAATCTCTTCACAAGGATAGTGAAAAGGAGATTCGCTCACCGGATTTCAGATCCAGATTGCTCAGTTTACATCTCATCAAAACCATTCTCAACACCCATATTAATGTCCTCCTTGACAACAGGATTGTTTTACACAGTTCAAACTCAGATGAGCCTACTCAACTCTTCAACGCTGTCAAACAATACCTTTGTTTGAGTTTGTCGAGAAACGCTCCAAGCTCCATACCACAGCTTTTCGAGTTGTGTTGTCAGATCTTTTCTAGAATTCTAGAAAGCATGCGCATGAACATGAAGCGTGAGATCGAGGTGATACTTCGCGAGATTTTCCTCCCAATCTTGGAACTCAAAGAGAGCTCATCCAATAAGCAAAAAACTATCCTCTGCTCAACAATTCTCAAGAATCTTTGTCAAAACCCACAAGCCATTGTTGAGCTTTACTTGAATTACGATTGTGACAAACATAGTCTGGAAAATATCTACGAGCACTTGATGAATGCTCTCTCCAAAGTCGCATCGGCACACCTTCCACCAGGTCCAAAGGAGGCTGTTGGTACGAGCACATCTGAGGCTCTATCTAGCTTTTTTAAACCATCAAAAAGTGAACTCCCTCCAAGCTTAAACACTGATGCTCTCACACCCCCGCCCGACGCCAGTCCTATCACTGCTACTTTCTCAAATCAAGCCGCAGTACAAGCACACATTTTAGATGTTGCCGTTAAGAGACAAGCGTTGGATTTGATTAGAGGTGTACTTAGCAGCCTCGTATCATGGGCTGAACGTGGTGCTCTACCTGTTGCTGCCGTCTCCGAAGAGGCTCCACAGTCACAGGAAGGTGAGTTTTATTTACTTGAATCATTCAACTCGGTTTACACCCTAAGTAGCATCTCCACCCGTGGGCGTTGCAGAGTTTTCCAATGCAATTCCAACACCGGACATCGCAAACACGTTTGATTTTACCAATGCAGACGATCCAACACAATTCGAGAGCGCAAAGGCACGCAAAAACGCTCTGGTCGAGGGTATAAAGGGTTTCAACTTTAAGCCTAAAAAAGGTGTATCATTTCTCCTCGAACACGGCTTTATCAACTCCAACAAACCGCAAGATATCGCTTACTTCCTCTTAACAACTGAAGGTCTCAACAAGGCTCAGATTGGTGAGTATCTTGGTGAGGGTGAAGAGGAGAATATTGCCATCATGCATGCATTCGTCGATGCAATGAACTTTAACGAGATGTCCTTTGTTACAGCTTTAAGAGCATTCCTGCAAGCATTCAGACTACCAGGAGAGAGTCAAAAAATTGACAGATATATGCTCAAATTTGCGGAAAGATACGTCCAGCACAACCCATCAACAGTCTTTGCCAATGCCGACACAGCCTATGTGATGGCATATTCTGTCATTCTTCTCAATACTGATGCTTATAATCCACAAAATAAGCGTAGAATGACCAAAGAAGAGTTTATCAAGAACAACAGGGGTATCAACGACGGCAGCGACCTTCCTGAAGACTATCTGATTCAAGTATACGATGATATACACTCGGACGAGATTAGAATGAAGGATGAAATGCATCTCCACAACGCCCCTCCACCACCCAACAGCAACATAGTCAATGTCCTAAGCGGTGCCGACAAGAGCTATCAAAGGGAGCAAAATTCAATGCGCTCCGAGGGTATGGCTAATAAGACTGAAGCACTTTTTAAATCCATGTTAAGAGCCCAACGTCGCAGTGGTATCAAGAATAGCGAGACTTACTTTAGTGCATCGCACTATGAGCACGTCAAACCAATGTTTGAAGTAGCTTGGATGGCTATTCTTTCAGCAATGTCTGGTCCCCTTCAAGATAGCGATGATAACGAGACTGTTGTGATTTGTTTGCAAGGTTTCGCGAGTGCAATTAAGATTTCTTGTCTCTTTGATTTGGAGTTGGAGCGCAACGCGTTCGTTACTATGTTGGCAAAATTCACTCACCTCAACAATCTTGCTGAAATGAAACCAAAACATGTAGACGCTGTGAAGGTGTTGCTTGAGGTGGCGATGCATGAAGGCAACTATTTGAAGGGCAGTTGGAAGGAAATTTTAGGTTGCGTTAGTCAGCTTGAGCGTTTCCATCTGATTAGCAATGGTGTTGATCTAAGTGCCGAAAATAATGACGTTGGTGGACGACCAAGATCTGGCAGCACTACGCGCAAGTCTTCAAACATCCCACGTCATCTAGTCCCCGCCGAATCTGTCGCTGCAGACGGTAGAGCTTTGCAGGTTACCGGTCGCGGTGATATGGTGTTTGCAGCAACTCAAATGCTTTCGGGTGATGCCATGGTCGACTTTTCACAAGCTCTGGCGGAGGTATCGTGGGCGGAGATTCAGCAATCTGGCAGTCAACAGCATCCACGTCTCTTCAGTTTGCAAAAACTGGTTGATATTTGCTACTACAATATGAATCGTATACGTTTGGAGTGGAGCAAGATTTGGTTAATCTTGGGAGACCACATGAATAAGGTAGGATTTCAGTGCAAATTGCGTACCTTCTAACAAATGTAACAGGTCTGTTGCCATCCCAATCCATCCGTTAGCTTCTTCGCTATCGATGCATTGAGACAGCTTGCGATGCGCTTTCTTGAGAAGGAGGAGCTTGCCCACTTCAAGTTCCAGAAAGACTTTTTGAAGCCATTCGAACATACCATGATCCACAATCCGAACGTAGATGCAAAAGATATTGTGGGTTGAAACGGCATACTTGGACTATTATCAAGCTGACCCAATTCAGGTCCTACGTTGTCTTCAACAAATGCTCCAGGCACGCTCAGTCAATATACGCTCCGGTTGGAGGACACTATTTGCCGTATTTGCAGCAGCTGCCAAATCCTCAAGCGAGAGAATATGCTTACACGCATTCGATATCGTTTCCAGTATAGAGAAGGAGCATCTCGGCTACTTGATCAAGTTTGGATCATTCAGTGACCTCTCAGTGTGTATTACGGATTTCTGCAAAGTTCCATTCCAGCGGGTCAGTCTGCAAGCCATGCAGCTGCTTCGCTCAACCATCAACTCAATGCTGACAGCGCCAGAGTGTCCCCTTAGCAGAGGCGACGTTGGATTCTCTCAATCAGGCGACCAGCACCAACCACCCGCAGACGACCCAATGGTGATATTTTGGTACCCTATGCTCTTCAGTTTCTACGATATCGTCATGAACGGTGAGGATCTTGAGGTGAGAAACATTGCACTTGACTCGCTCTTTTCTACATTGAAGATTCACGGTTCTTCATTCCGCGTCGACTTCTGGGATACAGTCTGTCAGAAGATTTTATTTCCTATTTTCTCAGTCTTGAAATCGCCCGTTGATTTGAGTAGATTTAACACACACGAAGATATGACAGTTTGGTTGTCGACAACCATGGTACAAGCCTTGCGTGATATGATCGATCTTTACACTCATTACTTTTATATATTGGAGAGCAAGATGGAAGGTTTATTGGAGCTTCTGAGAGCATGCATTTGCCAAGGTGGGTGTGGTGTTTCGAGATGGGTAGTTCCTGCTGATATATTGCACCATTAGAAAACGACACGCTTGCTCGTATTGGTTCATCTTGTTTACAGGCATTGATTGAAAGCAATGCTGACAAAATGAGCGAAGAGCGCTGGGAGACGCTTACTACAATGTTTACCACACTTTTCCAAAACACACTCGCTAGCGAGCTGTTCAATGAGTCATTGAGACAAGGTTTGGATATAGCTGACCAGCCACCAGCTGAGCCAAGTACGTGAGACTGCTTTTGAGAAGGTTATAACTGACGCATATTAGATCAAAGTGGATTCACTCTACCACTCCCACTAGCATCACCTTCAATTGAAGAAGGAACGGTATTGAAATCTACAGAAAGACGCACACTCTTTAAGCAAATTATCACAAAATGCGTACTGCAATTGCTACTCATTGACACAATCAGAGAATTGCTTTTCAACGACAAGGTTTACATATCTATACCACCAGCCCAACTGCTCCGATTTGTTCAACTTCTCGATGAAAGCTATAGATTTGCGAATGCTTTCAACAATAATCAGGATCTCAGAATGGGGTTATGGAAGGTAGGTTTTATGAAGCAGCTTCCAAATCTCCTTAAGCAGGAGAGCAGTAGCGCATCTACACTCATTACACTGCTCATCAAAATGTACAAAGATACCCGTCAACAACACGTTGACCGTAGACAAGACATATCAGAGGCTTTGATTCCATTCGGGTTGAGTGTTATTGATGGCTTCAATGAACTCGACTTTGAAACTAAGCAAAGAAACATCGCGGCGTGGACACCAGTGGTTGCCGAAATCATTTCTGGTGTTTGCTACTTTGAAGATGAAGACTTTGACAAATATCTGTCAAAGGTGTACGCACCAATCACTGATATTTTGACAAAAGACATGGGCGCAGAAGTGAGGGAAAGTTTGCGCAAGTTCTTTACCAGAGTTGGTAGAGCAAAGGTCGTTTGAAGAGCTGTTTTGTATTTAGTGATTTATCTTTATTCCTATTATGTTTCCAATTTGCAGGTAATAATAGTGAAACAACATTCATCTATTAGGTATGCAAAGTGATATAGATAGTACAAATGACCGTGAAGAAAATGAAAGACATATCTAGGTTTGCGTATCCACACATTCCTCTCTGAGGCTGTAAAACTCCTCTCTAAAAGCATCTATCTTGGCTTTTGCGTAGAGAAGGTACTCAAAGTCATCCCCTCCGCTCTCCTCCGGTGTCTCTTCGTCACTTGAACTCTCGTCATCGAGTACGACAGCTGAAGTCTTTTCTTCGAGATTCACCGCCATATCAGCGCCGGCGGAGGTATTTAAACTAGGCACAGTTGTTCCAAACTTACTGCCCATCGCTTTCACCTGATCTCTGGACTGCACTATTGCCCAGATACCCCACATAGCTAAACTGGCAGGAGACCACGTCTTGCGCTCATCCTCTAGTCTCTCTATCCAACCGGGTTGCTTTTCAGATTCGCTCATGTACGCCTCGTAAAACGCTCGTCTGTCTTGATAAGATGGGTAGCTGAGGATAGGCTTCCATGAGAGCGTATCGTGGTGGTAGTCGTACCTATTGAGCGAGTTAGTTAGTTGTATAGTTTGGTAATCCTAAGCCCACCTCCACTCTGTAAAATGATTCGCTAAATCATATCCGCGGGCATTTGGGGCTGCATATTCAAAGTCTATAACACATATCTTATGATGACTTGGTTTGTCTACTGGCTTGCGATCTAAGAGGAGGATGTTACCAGGCTGAGTGTCATTGTGACAAAACACCAAGGGTGATGGTTTCACTTCCTCCTCAAACTCCCTCAAGTAATCTTCGTAGGCATTGAATTCCTGGATTAGAAGTGGTAGATTGATATCTTCTACCAAGTTGTAGTAGGGGTGGTTTTGTGGGAACTTTACTCGGGACATTCTCTTTAAAACGACAGAAGCTGGCGTGAGCCATGATGAGATGTTATCCCACACGCCATATCTTGTTGAGCGTTCGTTGTATCCGGGGGCGACTGGGCCAACTACATCCATCTTCCTGAGATCAACCTGATGAAGCTCTTTCATGCGCTTAGCAATGTCTATTTTCAGGTCAGAGCGTATATCATCCTTTGAGCAGGGACGACTGCTGAACCACTCTTCAACCCTGCCATTGGCAAAGGTACCGTAGATCTTTGGACCAAGGTTGTAGTGCCTGGAGAGAGTATTGAGGATGTGCATTTCTCGAGGGCGCGAAATGAGCAAAGTGGAAGAGGGGCCGTACACACGCAAGAGAACGGTCGGAGCATCATCGTAGCTGACAAAGAAGATGGAGTTTGTGAGTGCGCCTGTTATGCGCTGGATCTGAATATCGGATGGATCGATATCTTTATCGTGCCATCCCTCAACGGAGAGGTCGTCGCAGAGGAGTTGCTGTACTTTCCTCAAGAAAGAAAGCTTGTTATATTTTTTAGCGTTTAAATATACCTTTGGCGAGTGCCTGAGCTCGTGTAACTCAGAGAGTGCTGACTCCACCAGACCGCTGTCCTCTTCCTCGTAGACGGATTGCAGCGAGGATGAGAACAAGTTCAACGCCTGGCTGTAATTTGTGGATGGAATTTTAGCGGAACAGTCTGCGCTATTGTAAACCAAGAACATCGACGTGCCAGCTCTCTTCAGCGTTGAGGAAAAGATGCGATATTTGACTGATAAGAGTGGAGTGGTGGATGTAATGCAGCAATTCAGCGCTATAATACGCAGGTTTTTACAAACTATAGCTTAAATTTAAATCTTGCGTAGAAATGATATTCATAACCTAATCAGAAGTATTGGCACTAATTGAGATTCGACTTCTAAGCACTCAATCAAATGAGAATACGCGTAATCTTGTCTTTGATATCAATACTTTCACTGTTCAAATCGAACAACTCACTGGACGCACCCGACTTTTCGCTCGGGAATTCACCTGCAGAATGTTTGATATCATCCAATACGACTGTTCTTACACCTGGACATGAGCTCTATGACACCGCAAGACAGACGTGGAACTCTCGAACTGTCTTCTCCCCTCAGTTCATTGTCCGACCAAGTAAGATTGAAGAAGTCCAACACAGCGTAATCTGTGGTACGCACTACGGCCTGCCTGTCACTACTAAATCTGGCGGGCATGGCTATTCAGGTGAGTGCCACTTAATTGGTCTAACGCCATTTACATTTAAAAAGGATACGCAATTGGCGATATAACCATAGACATGGCCAATATGAAATCTATTAGCATTGAAGACAACGGTTTGGTTCATGCTGAGACGGGTAACCATCTTTTTGATCTCTATCAAACGATCTATGAACAAAGACACCTATCTCTACCCGGTGGAATATGTCCGCAAGTAGGTGTGGGAGGTCACACTGCTTTCGGGGGCCATGGTCCATTGTCAAGAAAGCTGGGTTTGCTGGTCGATCGCGTAGTCGAAGCTGAGGTGGTATTCGCAAATGGCACGGTGTCAAATGTCACTGAGGGGGAGGATATGTTTTTCGCAGTCACAGGCGCAGCTCCCTCGTTTGCTAGTGTGACTCGGTTCACCTACGATGCGGTAGAAGCGCCAACTAATACCGTTATATTCAGCTACAGCTTGAATAATCGCACAGCTGAAGAATCTGCTAATGCGTGAGTAATCGGTGCTTTTCTGGGCTTAATACTAATCTAAGAACAGCTTTAATTCATTTCAGACATTCATGAACCATTCGGAACTGACCAACGACTTCAACGCGCAGCTCACTCTTGGTCCTGGGTCTTTCGAGCTTTCAGGAACATTTTTTGGGGATGAAGAGATCTACCAAAACATTTCCAAACCCCTGCTTGACAGTTTGAAGCTTGAAGATGGCGATATAGAAGAAGTATTTTCCGTTACTGAGTTCATCGACATGTATAAACAAATATACGGTGACTTTTCACCCGTCGCCGAGCCGAAATCATTCTACAGCAAGTCTTTAATGGAAGACCAGCCGCTTGCGTTGAACGATTTACAGTCATTCTTTGAATATCTTTTTAACAATGCTACAAAGGCAAATCAGGAAGGTGTGTGTGGGGTATATGGCGTGTATACAAGCAAACTAATGGAACTAAGGGATCGGGTGGTACATTATCGTTGAAGCTTACAATGGCGCCGTTCATGACATTTCCGCGAATACAAGAAGCTTTGCTCATCGTGATACCCTTCTCACCTTCCAATTCTTCGCTGAGATCGCCAACGATGAGGACGAGTTGTTTGAGCTCGTCGATGGTATGCTAGACAGCATCACTTTGACTCCCAAAGCCGCGTATCCTAACTATGTCGATCCAAGGCTAGATAATTGGCAATATCTCTACTACGGGGATAACTATGCTCGATTGAGGAGAATCAAAGGTGAAATTGATCCAAAAAATACCTTCAGGTTCCCACAATCAGGTTTGTGAGGTTTTTAATACATAAAATATACTAATTGGTCGCAGTGGAATTGTCATAAAGACGAATACTCGATTTTGTTTTTGGACAATATACCCGATGATCCACGAACAAGTTGTCAAGATTCTTGCCTTTAGTTCTTTATCTAAACTATTCCATCCATCTCTCAAAAGTCAGCCTGCTTGAAAACTTTACATCGTCAACACAATCAGTCAAAATCTAGTTGAATCTTCCGAATCAATCAATTTGTCGCTCTGGAATTTGCATTTCATTGTCTTATGTATTGTGCTTGCTGCGCGTTGTGTGAGTGGTTTGAACCTCCCATCTCAATTTCTTAGATTAAATAATGAAAATCGTTAATTAGTTATTTACACACTTTGAATTTGCTTCAACATCAACCAACGCGGTTTCTTTCGTACTCTTGAGCGCTTTCTTCTTGCTATTACGAAGCTGAACAGATTTATGGACATTAAATCCATCCGTCAGTAGACTTTGCACCTCTTCCAAGTGTAGTCCTGCTGTCTCTGGGTAGCAAAATGTCAAATACGCCCACCCACAGCAGACAAATCCCGCGAACAAACCGAATGTTCCCGACGGTGTAAGACCCTTTTGCATGGAAAGATAAGACTCTGAAATGATCAAGTTGCATGCCTGTTAGGTTGAGTTGCGGCTGCTGTGTACATATGGAAAACTTACCCAGAGTGTGGCGGTGCCAATACCAGTTCCGAGACCTCTAGTTTCTAGAGGAAATAGTTCGCTCATTGTCCATGGTATGTGGCCCAGACTGGTGATGTGAGCTTGTTGCTTGTATCTAAAAAGGACCTACCCGATACCATAAGCCCCGACGTAGGCAACAAAACCAATGATTACAGCAACCTGTATTCCAGAATCGTACGGGATGACTGGATCTTCAACCAAATGGAATCCGGAGTCTTTGGTGAGGTAGTAAAGTGAAACAATCGCCCACACACAGCCTAGGATCACGCCTGGCGCGCTCAGGTAAACCAACTTAATCAGTGGTTAGAGTATAAATTGTACTAGGATTCGAAACTTACTAAGGGGCGACGGCCTGTCCTATTGACAACAAACATGCCTACAGCAGTGAAGGCGAAGTTAGCAGCGGCAATAACAAGTCCACCTAAGGGCGCGTTCTCAAATCCAAGCATCTGGAAAAGAGTAGGGCTATGAATGTGAGACATTGTTCAGGCAGAAGATTGCCGGTGAAAAATTTCAAAGAACTCTTTCACCGGTAGCTTTTCACTAGAAATGATCACTTACGCGAAATACATCAAGCCGTTGAAACCTGATAATCTAAGCTGAGTCAACTTATGCTATTAATTAAGCTAGATCGCTCAACTGTTGTGTACTTGTTTTATAGTCAGAAAAAGCGAGAATGAAAAATTGCACTAACGCCTGTAAAGTCATGGCGAGAGATAGTGCCCTTAGATTTTTTGGTACGATAAACAGCGACTTGAAGAGTTGCCATGTAGTGCTTTCTTTGCTGATCTGGACGCTCTCATCAACATTGGCGACAAGAATCTGCATGATGTAGTAAGTACGTGCAACAGATATACAAGCTATTTACATCGAATTTGAGAGCTAGCTCCTCTTGTGTAGCTTGTTCATACACTTTAGCGAGGGCAGTATGCGCCTCTTCGTTGCGCTCCTTTGCGAGCAGGTAGCGAGGAGATTCCGGAAGAAAATGTACTGCGATAGCCTGGTATATCGCCGGAGCAGCACCTATCACCAGCATGATTCGCCAGTTTTCAGGGTTCTCGAAGTTGACGAGACCTGCACCAATGCCATACGCTATGCACTGACCCAAGGTAATGGTGACGGAGTTGATAGTGACGAGTGTGCCACGTAGTTGAGGTGGGGAAATCTCACTAATAAAAAGTGGCCCAATACAACTAGAAAATCCTACCCCGAATCCAAGAATGAGTCTGCCAATCGAAGCCTGGGTGACCGAGTACGACGCTCCGAAGATAATTGTGCCAATGCAGTAACATATGTCACTGATAACGAGGACCCATTTGCGACCAATCCTGTCACTCAGAGCTCCAGCGAAGAGGGAGGAGATGAAGGCTCCTGCTGTGGTCATCGCTGTGATTACCTCTGCGATATGCATTAGATGGAGCATACGGTGAACGGTGAACACACCGAGCTCAAAATTCGCACCAACCTTTATGATTCGAAGAGAGGGGCACGTTGTTCAAACTCGTACCAATAGAGACTGTAATACTGCCAATTATACCAGTTTCATAGCCTGCGTGGGGTTAGGGGGGTTGTCTCTAATGGAGAAGGCACGTACCGAACTGCAAGTCATTAAGATGAACCATCGGTAAATCTAATTACTTACCATAAATCCTGCGACTGCAGCTGTTATACAGACAAAGATAATGTAGAGGGTGATCTAAGCGTGTGAGCACAAACAGCCATGACGAACGCACTCACTTTCTCCTCGCCCTCTGCCACGACCAACTTCTCGTCAATATCTACAAACTTTGCGCTGGTGTTGGGTTTCCTGCTTTGAACATCCTCAACATGCTCAATGGTGTTGTTAAATTGCTTTTTGTCATCATCTGTGAAATTTCGCATTATCGACACTGCGTCGATCCAATGAGGGATTAATGCGTTATATATAGCGGTGCTTGAATTAATTCAGATGATTGACACACGAGGACAATCAGGGTCACAATACTCAACGTCCGTTGCAACCGGCGAATTTCTTAATCAGTTGAAGCGAAGGGTGCTGCCTCAGAGTTAGGTTAGGAGTATAACCTTAATCGATGCTTAAGGCTTATATAATCTTATAGATTATATTCGATTTGCGTGCTGGCGCGATGAAAAATAAAACGCGGTCACGTGGGGTAGAGCACTAATATAGAGGTTGCAGAATTTGAATGTTGTAAGTGAGGCTTTAGCTGGAATAAAATATGTATGAAAAAAAATAACAAACGCTACCTTGAATTTAATCTTTCCCAATCCAAGTCCAGTTGATCTTAACATTAATCGACAAAAAGTCCGTACTAGTGATGCGCTACTACC